ACTACCAAGACTTGTCACAGATACTAGCTATGGTGTTGAAAACTGTTAACTAGAAACCTGCATTTTATCTCCTACCGCAGGTAAATCCCCAAATACACAAATTTCTTTCTGTAATGGAAAAATATTACCTACTTGACAACAGCCTTTGAATCATAATATCAAAATAATTATTTTGTTATTTTTTTCATTAACAGCATTTTTAACAGTCAAGTCTATGATGTGTAAATTATGAATAATTTGTAATCGATAATGCAACCAAAATAGATGTAATTCTTAAATAAAATGAAACACATATCCTTAAAATGTTATGGTACATTGACAGATGAACAAGGTACTTTAAGCACCCTATAAATATAACTCTGAAACTAACTTGTCAATGGACCCAAAAAGTAACTTCAAATTGATAGTGCAATAACCAAATTCTCTGGATCTTTACATGTGTTTCTGTGACTGATTACAGTGGCTTCATCAAATTTTAGCACATAGCTACGACCTAAAGCTCCAATGTACAGCATGCCAATACAGGAGGTTACAGGCCCTTAATACTCTCTTACAAGGCTATAAACTACATCATGACATCAGCTGTGAAACTGATTACATACTAGTATTACATTGAGTTACACCAGTGTCTTGTAGATATCACAGATCAATCTAGTAACATTGATTCCAACAAATCACATATTTTATCTTTATTTCAGCAATAGTTAAACACTTTTTCCTTTCATTTTGTGTTCATAATCACTTTTTCAAAGTGATTCACTGTCCTGTAAGAATAAATATTGTTTCCATTAAGGAAATTTTACAACAGTTATCTTGTATAATATATACATGTTGTTATACTTTTTTCACTAAAAAATTCATTGAATATCAGATGGATGTTCTTATTTTTTGTGCATCTTGCAATAAATACCTTAGTTCAACAACCTACAGCATTCCACACAAGTACACAAGCAAAGTATTTTTTTCTTAGAAATTTGTAGCGAGAAAATATTTCCGAACATGTTGAATCCAAATTCTGCCTATAAAAATTTGTATATTTTATTACCTGTGTTATTGAAGAAGTCATAAGGTCTCGTGACCTTTAACAAAAAAACTTTATCAACACAGCCAGTGATAATTTAGTTTAGAGAGAATACCTTAACATTTCGATGTAACTATTTCTCCTGTTATATGTTATCCTATAATGTCACTTTTTTTTCCACCTAAATCAATTCTTTTTTCACATTTTTGATTATGGAACAAATCTAAACTGTGCTAAAGGCAAAGAACAAAGGCAGCTTCACCCAAAAACTCCAATGTCACTGTACATAGCTCAATTCCATTTGATAACAAAGTCCTTGATACAGAAAAGGAAGCAGCCTCCATATAAGAGGCTACCAATATTGATGATCAAGATTTTGATAATATTCAGACACATTTTTCATAATATATAATTACTCCATCATATACTTCATATTGTACAGTGGTTTAATTTATCACAGTCTCATAATAACATCTAGTAACAAACAATTTGTTATATACTGTTGTATACTGTACAGAATCATTTCGTTTGTGAAACCTATGCAGTCTTTAATAAATTTATTTTTTCAAATTAATGAAGATGAATATGCAGTTGGGTAAAATTATACACAAGAACCCTTCTGATGTCAATATGTGCACAGATGAATGGGCTAAATATTTATGTATTAATGAAATGCTGTTTCATGGGATAGACTGGCTCGATCTGGTATCTACCTAATGGTCAGGAAAGGAAAATACAATCTTGATAGTGCATTATTCAGTGTGGAAAATTAAATGATCACAAAAATACCTAAATTCTTACTTGTAAAAATAATGATAGCTACAATGCTTTCCATCTGATTAACACTGCTATAGTCGTTAGTTATCTATGAAAAACTTTGGTCTACACACCATGCTTGTATTACAAATATTACATTATTATCACTTTACAAAATTGCTCCCCTTGTTTTCAAAATTTTTTTTTTTAAAAAATGAGACATTGTGTGACTAGCATTCTCAAGATTTATATTTTGTGATAAATATGGACTATTCATTAAGAACCAGATGTAAACAATTTCTTCATGAATATCATGTAAAGGTTTGTATCATGAAAGTATCGACTTCCTCCATTTGCCAAGCGAAATGGATCAAAAATGAAAATTTTAAACTTTGCACCTAGTTGTATATCATATAGCCCACATCTAAATCTAAAATCAGGCACAAGAATTTTCACCAAAACGTTTTAAGATGCAATGGAAAATGATTTCCTTAATTTTCAAAATGCTGTTGTATTGTTTTTCTAGGATTCAAAAATACTGACTTCCATGACAAGTAGGACATTGGATTATTGGGAATTATAATACTGCTGTTGGTTGGGAAAATAATGTTGGGGAACCTGCTACCTGAATATAATATTAATATTTAACTTAATAGTTATAATACAGCTAAACTAAAACTTGATGCTACTTATAAGTTTTCATCGATATGAAAAAAAAAGACCTGTAACAAGGTGTTGGATTCCTAAATACTGCTGGACTATTTCTAAATCACAGTCAGAAACTCTAAGTCAGAATCTGCTGAAATGATCATGACAGAAATGTAATTTAATCACAGAATTTAAGAAGTTTACAAATATTCCATAGTAGCAAGGTTCTCCAAATCACCATTGAAATACCGATACTCATCACAAAAAGACAATAGATATGAAGCAGGGGAGATAAGACTGTAGAACTACCAGAGGTCTGCAGTGTAATACTGGGGGGTTGTGTGGACAATGTCCTTTTATAAATACCAACTATATACAACATCTACACCACATATATTCTGTATGTACATACCAAATGACTATTTACTGTAGATTTATTTATCAAAAACCTGTACATAACTATAATAGTAAACAACAAAGATCACCTCTTTAACAATGGACGGATTGAAATGGAGGATTACAATGGCGCAATATAATAATAAATTATTTTACCTCCAACTATAAAGGCAAGCTACAAGAATAACTATAAAACCATTCTAACTGCTCTCACAAATGTGAAACATGTACAATGGTACTGAATAATAAAAACTGAGTGTGGCACAAATGTCCATTAGTTTAATGTTCCTAGAGGGAAACAGCTCAAATGCTCCATAAAATTATGCACTTTCGTATTCCATGCGCTTTATATAATGGATCTTATAATGAAGGAACATACACTGGCATTTTCAAAACAGAAAGGAAATTGTTGCAACAAATGCAATTCTATAATCTAATGAATGTTAAATTAACATGGTTTAAATCAAATGCTATGGGAAGTGTTTATATTTTCTGTACATCAACACAAATAATAACAGCTTATAGAGCTTGAAAGGTTAATGGTATATACAGATGAACCTCAGAATGAAAAACATCAGCCAATTTGCAATTTAGTACATTCAATGATGTTGTGGATTCATTGTTTAGAGCTCAAAACAGATTCCTTCTATGTGCTTCATGATTTAGAAAATGTTGATCAATTTTATATGTTAATAATACATTACTGTACCATAACAGGAGTTTAACGGTACAAAGCCAGATGTATTCTGAATTTGACAATGCCAATACATTGCACACAATATTAATGAGCATAACATACAATTTCTTTCCGTACATCATAACAATATATCCACAAAATCTGTCTTTCCTGAAATGGCTATAAAAATTCAATCTGAAATATGAAAGTCAAATGAAGAGTTTCACATGACCATGAAAAAAAGTTATAAAGCAGATCTCATCTAGCTACTTGAATGTTTTTAATAATGTCCTCGTGTCAGCTATGAACGCAGTTGAGTTATAGCACTATCTCCCCATACCTTTACACACATTAATCTTTGATGAATCACATTGAATATTTATACATCTATGTTTTCCACAATTTTACACATCCGCGACAGCTATCTAAAATAGACATCATTCTATATAACACTATTTAATTTTAAACATAACATGTATTTGAAAAGGAATGTTATTAAGCAGAGCTAATTGCCTTTTAATACAGCAGAACCGTGTTGGTCTGGAATGTTAAAATTTTGGAAAATTTTATTTCAAAGGACATCTAAGAAATCCCAAAAATTTTCTTCACTGAAAAAAAGACCAACATTCTACTGCAGAGCATAGGCTACGTAGACAATTTAGTCATGCAATGTATCAGTAAATAATGATTTTCATCATTAAAGAAATTCTACATCAGCAATATCTCATGAAATAAAGTACACATTGAGTCCTTGCAATAAATGTCTCATTTATTCTATCACATTTGTTCTAATTAGCACTTAATGACTTGTAAAATAACCATTTATCCCTAAAATGCAAATAGCAATTCAAACTACTGATTTTATCTTAGAAAACACCTGCTCTCTTATTCAATCTTCTCTGAGAAAATCAGCTACAAATTTACCAGTATGGGATTTTAGTTGACAAATCATTAGTGAACTGAGAGTGAGTGCCATAAATACAAACATAAAGATATATTTTTGTTTTATTCCTATGAAATATTCACAAAACAGTGTTTAGTCTTTATATCTGATTTTAAAAATGATCGATCATGATAAATGATTTCTCTTACTTATTCCATAAATGTAAAGTTTGTATATCCCATGGGTGTTATTCAAAATAAATTTAGATTACGCCTAAAAAGCTACATATTAAACACTTATGTCAAGGCATTTCATACACTTCTAACCTATACTATTGATATATTTATAAACACACTGAACAGGCAGCAAACCATTCATTCTTCATGATAAATCACACAAAATGACTATTTTATATCTTCATAATGAATTAAAACAAAATTAAAATAAAATGAAAATTGAAGAATATATATCATATCACATTTTATCACAGATATCCGAGAATAAACAAAACAGGATGGTTTTGATGTAACCAAAGTATTTAATACAGACTCAATTATCGAGTCTAATGATTAGTTAAAAATTGTTCTTAACCAATCTAACAACACTTTACTTGTCATGTTGACATACCAGGCAAATAAAATTGTCTGGGAAGAATGAAAATTTTCTTCTGATCACATCCATCACAACATATTGTCTGTCAAGAGTGAGAAATATGATAACCAATAACATTTGAAGTCTTTCGTCAATTTCGAGTAGTCTTTGGGACAGTTTTTAAGTTGAATCATCTATCTATCAGGTCCTGAAGGAGCTGAAGATGACGAGGGGTGACATTGGGATCAGAGGTGGCCTTTTCTAGAAGACTGTTGCCCATGTGTGAGTACAGAGCATTGACCAGGGAACCAGTTGCAGACCTGATACTTGAACTTCCTCCCTGAATGGCTCCACTACTGTGTGTAGCACCTAGTAAGTGCCACACCAGTGGAAGCACATGCAGTATGACCTGCTTGTGTTTGCGTTGATAAACTTTGGTCACAAGTTCTGGAAAAGACAAGAACAGTCATCCTTAAATATTTACATTAAATGTTTCCACTGCAAAAAGTTGTAATAAAAAAGTACAAATTTCTGATGCAAAAATATGTAATGGAAGATGTGTGTTTTATAATCATTTACACAAATCCACCTATCTACCCTAAATTGAAATCTGGACAGCAACTAGCTATTAAGAATACAGAGTCCTTTTCTATATCTACCAAGGTCATTGGATATAAGCCTTGAAGAATTAGTTACACCATTCTGAAGCCTGAAACTGGTACATTCTTTCACCACCACTTACCAGCCACCTTTTCCACCAAGTCTGGTTTGCTTCTGGCACTGGCAGATTGTGCTTGATTGGCAAGCGGTTGAATCAGAAGTCCACCATCTACAAAGAAAAAGTCTCAGTGATGAGTGCATAATGCTAATATTACTACATACTATATGATGGTCAAAATTTGAAGTTTCACCAAAAGCTTAAAGCAAAATGGATGTGCTTTTCATTGTAATGTAAGAGATGATTGATTTTGCTATCAATTCTTTGTTTAAGAGAATAAATGATATGACATTTTTAAATCACGAATAAATGAGACATGAAACCTTTTGAAAAGGTAACAACTTCACAGTAAATAGAATTTAAATGTATTTAATATAAATTTGAAATATCATCATCTCACAAAAATTTGTTAATTATCCTTCAGGAAAGAATTATTATTAGGAAATTAGAAAATTTGTAAATTGAGCCAATATAAGTAATATTTAAACAAGTTTATATAACTCAAATATAAATAAGTCAATGCCGTTTATAATTGAGTATACCCTATTATTTTCTATGTTTTAGCCGTATGTTAAATAAAAGACATCACACAATTTTCATTTCTTTCATTAGTAGTCACATCTGACAGCAAAGAAATTTGCCTCAGAAGCTTCCTATTTTCCACAGATACAAATTTGTTTTATTGTAGGAAATCATTCATCAATCCTTAAAAGAAAAGGCATTTTGAAACATCAGTAGATAATTACCTATATTATCCACAAGAGCATCTATAACATCCATTGCTGTTCCATATATTTCCTTGTTGCGAGAAGAGAGATTTGGTGCCACATTGCCCACAGCAATGTTCAACACCACTGCTAAAGAGTCTGATAAAACTGGGATGATCTGAAGAAATACTTGGAGAGCATATAGGTTCACTTTGCTGTTGGGATCTTGAAGACGAGGCAAAAATTTGTCAAAGATCTGAAAAAGAAGTAATAAACTATTCAATTTAAAATATCAATAATGTCTTCAGGTCATACGGTTAATGTCAGTTAAGTAATGGGTAGTTTGATGCTTTAATCATTAAAATTGTTTCTGACTCAAATCTTTTCTGTTTTCTGTTGACCTGATTGGCAGGGTTAATTACCCTGCATGAAAACTGATGCAAAGTGCAAACATGATGAATTCTGACTGACAAAATGACAAGCATTTACCTTAAATACTAAATTAAAAAATGAATAGAATAACTTGTTAAATATTTAAAAAGATAATATTTCTGCAGAATAAATCATCTTTAAGTAAGGGAACCAATTTATACATGCCTGAACAACATTTTGAAAAAAAAAAACAAAACAAAAAACAAAAAAAAACAGAATATTTAGCATTCTACAGAATTTCCCTTATGCTTTTCTTCTGAAAGAATTTAAAGACAAGAATCTTCTGTAGCTCACCTTTACCATGTTGGCCGACACAACTTCAGCATGCGTTTCACACATCTCAAGGAGGCGTGTGATACCCTTGTAACGATCACGCCAGTCATTAGCAAATATAAGGGAGGTCATCTGCTTCACCTCCTCTTGGGTAGCTTCATCCGTTCTCACCCATTTTTTAGGGGAAGCATGCTGATTTTCACTATAACCAAGAGAAAATGTTTAAATCTGTGAGACAACAAATTTTTGGGAAAGGCATTATATTGCAATACTTATTTAGAAATCATTAGCAATTGCTTAACATCCATCACACTGACTTTCATTGCAATGATTTTTCAGCAAAAGGTATCCATTATCGAATGTCAAAGATAACCATTAATGTTTACTTAACATATCAAACGAATTGCATTCTATCTACTGACAGACTTTACCTGTTGGCAGATCCTCCACGGATCATGGAACTGTTGCGACTACTTGCATGTGACCTTCCCCCTCGAGCAGATGATGACTCACCAGGAAGGTCTCCTAAGCCCTAGAAACATTAAATAGCAATATGATTGAACTCTATAGCAAAAATAAAACTTTTCTGTGCTTCAGAAGATGTCTCAACAATTCCCTCAACTTTTTCCAAATGAACTAGTCAATGTATGCATTTGTACATGTTTTCAATGTTGCAATGTTGTATTCATTAATTGTCACAAATATACTTTTGAAACCAAAAAAGTTTTCTTTGGGGAAGTAAATGGTGTTAAATGCTTAAATACAGCACCAAAAAATATGCTACCTTTGTTCTCAAAGTGTCCACGATTTCAATTACATTGCGCAGAGTCTGAGGAGGTAAATGCTTAGAAAGCATTTTGTCAAAGTCTTGGTGCACCATAAGAATAGAAAAAATTTTCCTGCCATTATATCTGTAAAGAGATCAGGACAAAATCTTCAATGACACAAAGAATATAAACCACATTATTTTAGTATAAACATAGACAAAATCACTTGCAGTAATCAAAGTTTTCTCTCACTAAATGTGACAATTTCACATCATTAAAAATTAACTTTATTAACTTTACAACTATTGTATAACAATCTTCAAACTTATATTAATCACTCTTGTGTCAGAATGAAGCACACCAGAGGTCTTTTTGTGGGAAAACAGACTACCCTTGAAAAACGAATGCAGTCGTGCAGATGACCCCTTTTCATGTTCATTCAGGGAATTATGTCTGGGTAAAATGCAACTGTTCTACTAGTGAACCACCCAACCATCCAAAATCAATGATCTAAAAATTATGCTCTCTATAGACTTTTCCTCAAATTTTAAATTTCTTTTCTTTTTTTTTCTTAGATGAGGAAAGTACATGGAAGGTTGCTAAGCATACCGTGTCTCTTGGGATCCATCCAAACAGAAACTAGCTGCAGTGGGTAGTACTCTGTCCGTGATATCTTTCACTCCACTCAGAACACGTCCAGGACCCATTTTGTCCACAAGATCCACGACAAAGTATGAGGTTGTTTTTCGAACTTGAGGGTTTTTATGTCTGTTGAAAATATCAATACACATGTATATAACAGAACACTTCAAATCTTTACACTGTTTATAAAGTCAGCTAAGTAAATAATCTCAAACTAGGGAAATATTCATTCCACTTGAAACCCGCAGTTTAAAGGGATACTTTCTAAATATTACAAAGCCCTTTGAAATCTCTCTTCTTAAAATGAATATTGATGCATGTATGCAACACTTTAGACTTCGGAGAAAGAGAGTAAACGTTTCAATAACAAAATCGGCTTTACAAGTCAAAACTTCAAATTTCCTATCCACAAATTACTTCTTTCACATAACAAAAAAACTTACGTGGCACCTCCTGCTATCAGAGCCAAAAGTGACCGCTGAGGTGTAATAGAATCTATCATAAGGGCTAATGATTTCTCCACATCTTCTCGAATGAATCCATTGCTCTCTCCATTTTTGGCGAGAAGAACTTTGGCAGTAATATCAACTTCCTGTATAAGAGAAACACATGATTTCTAACTCAACTGTTTAAGAAAAAACAATTTCTGCATTTTTTAACTTTAACATAACAATTAGTACAATGGTTTTCATGATATATACTGGAGTCATAACACAGGTAAGAAGAGATCAAATGTTTTATCTGTTTGCTTGTTTGTAAATCAACACATGAACAGTCAGGGTCATTCTTAGGTGGGTCTCCAACATACAGGAGGCCTGTTGCATGTCATCCCCAGCAACACCAGAGAAAGGTCCCATGCTCAGCTTCCAGAGAAAGCAGACAGCCACTGGCATCATGCATCAAACAACACATCTCAGATTATCCCCTGATCTGTGCAGGCCAATGCTCTACCTACACATCTATCACAGTCTCTTGGTTTTGTTGTCATATATGAACAGGTATTTTAAAAGAACATAGGCAAATAACATTTTCTTTGTCAGTACACATTCCATGTTGAATATAAAGGAAATTTCTTATTCCCTAAATAATTTAATCTCTACTTAAGTAAACAGGCTTAAATCTAATTGCATTTTCTGAAGACTTCACAACTCTTCTGCATGAAAATTGAGGAAAGGTACTTACTGAATCCATATTTTTCCGAAGATTTGCATACAAGTCCCCTATACATACAATGGCACATCGTGATACTTGTGACCGCAAGTTTTTCACCTAAAATTGACAAAACATGTACATTAGTGATCTATTTCTATTACTTTCAACATGTGATAATAAAAGTTCTTTACCATTTCGAGAAAATTCTTAAAAGAAATTATGAATTTTGACCGTTGTAATTTCCCTTCCTAATGTTGACAACCAGAAAAGACTTCAACCAGTTAATTTTTTTCATGATGCTTGCTTTTGCTTTGGAAAAAATGAAATTGATCAACATTAATAACGCCACTCACTTCATTTAACATGGCAATGACGACACTGTGTAGTTGCGAACTGAGGACTTCAGGGTGATACTTTGCCAGTCTCCGTACCATGTTGATACCACTACACTTTATTTCCCTGTAAACCAAAATATCAAGACTAAAATAACATCACAGGCAGTAGTAGTGGTTTGATTTTTCATTGTAGTTGTCTCCCTTCCATCAATTAATAAACTTTACCAAGTGTCAAAATCGCTTTTGAATTACCCAGTTTCAGGGTGCTTTTAAAATGAAAATTTGACACTTTACAACATTTTTTTTCAATCATTTGAAACTGACTGCATCCAACTATTCAAGTAAAATCAAAACAGAATGCTATGGAACCAACCAGTCCTCTTGAGCAAGGTTCTTGTTGGCATCCCTCATTGCCTGATCAGGATCTCTGTAGGGTTTCCAGTCATCAGGATTGTCCGACTCCAAAGGAGAACGGGACGATGATGCTGATACAGGATGACTAGATGTTCCATTGACTTGACTGGAAAAATATCAACTAATTCATAATACATGAGACAAATGTCACATTATACTGAAATTAAAATCATTCGAAACTCAAAATGTTCTGTATTTTAACTTTTTTGAGTAATTCTGAATTTCTTTTTATATTATATCCATATGTAACATATAATCTTGCTTGCAAATACATAAAACTCAGAATTTTTTCAAAATACTATCATTAATAAGAATTCATTACATGAAGACCAGTCATCATTGGAGTACAAATAAGAAATGATACTGTGCATGGGTAAAATTCTTACGGTTTTGTTCTTTTTCGTGGTGAGAAAGCGGGCGATGTTTTCGTTTTTGGCGTATTGGAACCAGATATTGATAATGCTGAAACAGAGACATAGGATAATACATAATGACCAAGTTTCGAGAGATAATAAGGAAGAAAGTGAAAGAGATCAAAATATAGTATTTCAGATTATAAGAATGAAGTTTGATTTCAACTGTTTCCTGCTGATGTACTAAATCATAATGGCTATTCAGTCAAAATAAACTCACAATATTTTATTCACCACTGTTAAAATATTTTGAAAATGAGACAATAAAGCAGTCAATTTCACATTAAAATGAAAATATCAGTCATCACATCATGATGGTTCTGTTATTTCTTAAAATGTGGCACGTTTTTGGTATTTGGGTTACATAGCAATTATATTCATAGTGAAAAATATCAACAACACATTTTTTGTTGCATGGAGACCAACACATCAAAATATCATGAGGCTAAAACAGTTACTCAACAAACATTTCAGGACTTTTCTAGGCAAACTAAAAATCACATTATTACTACGAAATGAGCTACCATTACCCTTTTCATGGCTTTAAGAGCTACCTTATTATAAGGAACAAATCTGAACTGTGCTATTCAAATCTCTAATCACGATAAATATTTTAAAATGGTTTGCTTAATCTCTTGTCTAATTTATGAGCTTGTATCATAGAAAGGTCAGTTACAAGGATGATAAAACAATCCACTATGACCAGCATTATGACCTTCTGTCCTATCTCCTTTCACAAGGAATATCAAACTAGGAGGCAGTTTAGAATGAAGACCATCTTTGTGAACAGACACGTAGTAATTACACTGTGGATAAGGAAGCTCATCATTTGCTTGGTTACAGTTAGATGGTGGACAACAACTGTGAAGGAGAAAGGCTGTGTGCTGCTCAGTGTATGTTAAAACACTTACATTCTATACCTAAACTTTCACTGGTATTCAAACGCCGAAGTTTTTCTTGTTGTCTCTCTCTCTCTTTCCTCATCTTCTCTTCATGCTCTTGTTTCTTCTTTTCTCTGTCTCTTCGTTCCCTCTCTAGTTCTTCCTCCTTCTGTCTTTGAGCTTGCATTATTCTGTCTCTCATAGCTTTACTCATGGATTTGTTGGGATCCTGAAAAGACAATGAAGTTCCAGTATATTAAGGAACATTATACAATTGTGTATAATTGAAATTTTAAATCAATTTTCGAAAAAGCTAAGCATAGGATATTGATAAATTACAGATGAATTAATTAGATATCATGTTACAAGATCTTGAGCATGTCCAGCTATGTGGCATTAAGGATATCCATACAACAGTTGTGCAAATGAATTGTATTCATTGTTTTAATGTGTAGTCATATATCAACAACTTTAACTATGAAAATCTATAGAGATTAAACAATACTATTTAAAACAAAATTGCATACTAATAAATCACTCAGTTAACCGCTATTTGAATTAAGAAAGTAATTGAAAATATTGCTGACCTCAGCAATAAGGTCATTGGGGTCATCCAGATAAGGGTCATCGCTAGATCCCTGTCTGTTCATGCTGACACCAACAACAGCATTGGGCATGTCGCGGCGGTCAGACTTCACGGATTTTTTGTCATACCGGTCCTGGGACTGAGAGTTACCAACTGTCACTGCATGGTCAGTCCCATTACTGGAGTCGAACATTCCTGTATATACAAAAATTTACCTTGAAACAAATTCTTAAAGTCTAATGATTTCAAATACTCAAACTTGCAACACTTCAAACAATTATAGGTAAATATTCTGAAACTGTGAAATTTCAATTTTTTGTGATAATCTATCTACTAAACTGTGTAAACATGCCAACATTATAAGCATGATCAGTGACCAGTGAATCATATGACTCAGTTATTGTGAGGATTCTGTGGCAACACCAACACATCATGTCGTAGTTTTGTTTCACCATTGCATATTTATCAAGTTTTTACACAGAAATGAAATCCTTTCATTTAGGCTCAAGAATGGAGGGATACTGCTCCAGGATGTTTCCTCAAGTTACTGGGACAATATTAACAAAGTTATGACAATGAAAGGTATTGTGGGAGTTAATGCAGAAATGAGAGCTTTGTTAAAACATCAAAGTAATGACAGAAGATAAGAATGAGGTTAAGAAGTTACACAAGAGAATCCTTTGCCTATATAGAGTATCTGTATATATGCTGCAAAAAAGGAAAACTTGAAATGCAAGTTCACTACAACAGCCGACACAGAGAATGCAGGAATGACTCCTGAACTTTTCCTGCCCTCAATCCTTCCTATATCCTTGGTGTATATCACTAAAAATTGCCTGGTGTTTTGTTTCATACATTACACCAAGACTGGTTATAGACTATTTTAATGGTGTGTCTGAACTTTAACTAGTAGGTTAAGATACCTGGCTTCCAAAGCTTTACATATCCTGTAAATTATGACAATGTCTCCACCTTATGTAAGGATCTCTTCTAGAAACTAATAGATTATTCTAATAACTTTCCTCAAATTCATAGGCCCTTTTTTGACAGATTTGTACCCTCTCCCATGCCAAATTTCTACACCAGCAGTATAAATATGCCCCTATCCTACCCTGCTAAAATCATTGAAAAATAATGCCACTCTTTGGAGTGAGATAGGGGACCTCATCTCATCTCCCTAAGTTCTAAAACACTAAGGCTTACTGCATGTTTTCAACTTTAAAACATTTCACCGTAACACAAACACAATAAATATGTACCCTCCACTATCTAGCATTGTACACTTTTTAAACATTCTTTTCTTTTCTAATATTGTATATGCTATAGATGCAAACCCTCCCCACCTTTAGCATTGTAAATATTAAGGACAGCTTCCTCTAATCTAGCATTTTAAACAATTTCAGACACATATCCTTCCCTACCCTAGCACTGTAAATGCTATTGACACATACCCCTGCCCACCACTCGGACACCAATGTTTCCGTCCTTGGCAGGGGCTTGGTCATCATCCAGCTCCACTGAGCCGAGACTGCTGGACGAAGCCACGCCTAGAGGAGACAATAACGGTCCTGAAAAAAAGATATCATGGAATGCTGGGATATGTGATGTGAAGGTCAGTGACATGTGATATTGACCAACCTTATCAGGAATTCATTCCATTTGATTTTGATACCAGATATGAAACCTCAAAGATATCTGGGAGACATAATATGTGGGTAACAGTTACCTTGTTAATCATTAAAGCTGATCTTTCTATCTTTGAGGATTATGTACACCATGAAGGTTGTTATTCCCAAGTGGTTCTATCTCTTGCTATTTTTCAGTAGAGAACACTAAATTTCAGGATAAAGCTCATTTTTGGTTCAAGCTTTTCTAGCTAAATGTTGAAAAATTTCAACCAGAGAACAAAAAAATCAAATAAGTACATTATGACTGCCTACAATTAAAACAGCCTCTGATTTAATCAAATTCTGGATTAAAGTCTGGCACTTCCCATAAAAATGTTTACATATCGTAAAAACCAGCAAAATGTGCGCCCCTACATAATGTGCGCAAGTACTTTTTGGGGCTGAAAATGGTAAACAAAGCTTCTACTTGAATGATGTGCACACCCCAAAATTCTGTCAAAATTGATCTCCCAGAGCCAGGAAATCGATCTCAGAATGTTCTGCTTACACATCAGACCAACGATATAAAATATATTCTCTTCAAAATTTGTTTTCATCTCATTTACTGACTTTTAACAACCTTCTGTTTAATTACAGCCTAATATTTTTGCATCTTGTTTGTTTCTTTGACACCAGACGCATCATGCTGCCATTCACTAACCTATCCAATTATCCCTTATTTATCTAAGTACACACTTGTCATCACGTTAGTCCTAATCAACAGCGTTAAGTATTGAAATCACAGGTACAAGTCATTATCTACCTACTCATGACAAAAACGGATACATAGGATCTCTGCGAGCCAGCTGACATAAATTGAGGCCCCCAACTCTGTATATGTAAGCAATCTGTATATGGATCACAGAATGGCTTCACAGGGAATGTGTATATCTAAAGAAGAACAGTGTTTCATTACACATTTTCGTAAGATAATGGCACAAGGACTATTCCCTCTTTTTTATCATTTGACGATATATGTTTCATAAGCATCAATAAGATAAATATCAATAAATAATGAATTCAATCCATAGTCCCATGATAAGCCTCAATCTACACTCCGTATACTAATATGTCAACACTAACTTCCGCTAACACAAATGAAAACAGACATGTGCTCATCCGATAAAAAGGAAAATCAAATGAAACCTTAACAGTCGAACATGTAAGTGTTTTAAAAGATGATCAAATTATAATTGACATATTTTCATTGTCCCAAATTGTTAGTTTTCTGTCTGTCTAGTTACTGTCACGTTGTCAAACACTTTGCATGATACTCACTCGAATAGTTTGCATTAATATATACAGTAATTATCTTTTTTTTTTGTTCATAAAGAAGTAAAATCCTTTTTGTGTCAGTTTTAAGTACCAGATAATCCCGACAAACAAAGGTGGCAGCCCTACAAAATCTTTGATTTTTCCATAAAAAAAAAACCTTGAAAATCCTACAGTTACGTAATTTGCGCACCCTCAACATCGAACATTTACTTAAAAAAAAAAAAAAAAGCACACATTACATGGGTTTTTACGATACACCAATGGAATGACTTCCCTCCAAGGCAAAATTAATGTTTAATACATGAATTATATACATGCAAGTAGAATACAAAGGAGCCCATGCAGTGAAATATCACTCCATATCCACAATCACATGTGTCACTCTGACATGTCAACAAAGGATGGAGGAAAATGTGTTGTGAACTTAGTTTGGTTTACAGAACATCCTATTCCAATAGCCTGTAAAGTTAGAAACATGCATGCAGATGGTAGAAGTTGTCTGACAAGAAGTCTGTTACAGTGATGCATAGGATTGTTTGTTAAGAGTACAAAACTTCAGGAAAGCACTCAAAAACCTTCATTATCAAATTGAAGTTTTCTTCGTTTTAAAAATGACTGTCTTCTTGGGATTTAATGATCAAAACATTAACTAAGACCTTATATTGAAACGATCAAAACTTAGGATCTTTCAAGTTAACAGAAAGGAGTCAATTTTCTTGTAAAGAAAACTCACTATGATCTTACCAGTTCTTCATATCTAAAATAACACATTCTTTTGGCCTCCCTGTGCTTTACTTTATCAAGAACACTCTTTTTGTAACAGGATTCAAAACAAAGTGAAGAGGTTTGAAAGTTATTAGAGTAAAGACAGCCTAAGTGGAGTACAAGTTGCCATCAGATAACCCCAGCCTCTCTCTACCAAGAGGTCTGTTACCTTTTTGAGTACGTCGCCGAGTCTTATTGGCAGCTGCCGCAGCATTGGCCTTTGCCTCTGCTGTTGGGATGGCATCATCATTGTAACCACGTCCAACCACTTGGACATCTGAATTACGATTTTCCCTGAAGGTAACCCCACTGACAGGGTTGTAGTCTATGTGTAGAGTACTGCTACTACTACTCGAGTCTGTCATATCCGATCCGTAATCCTCACGATTACTGCTAGTCTTCCTTAGGTCAACCTCTGACCTTGCTAACTTTGGCCTTGACTCAAATGGAGATTCTACCTTTTTACTGAAAGATGAGAAATCGCAAATCAAGTTTTTTTCTTTTCCATATCAGAAACGTTTGTGAAGTGTTTGAGTTCATGGCTTTAAACAAAACACATTCTAATTTTTAGGTAATACAAGAGTTTAAGATTCTCAGATTAACTAAGATTTATCTGAAAATTTTAAGAAATATTTATAAAATCAATATGGACACTTATTTCACAATCAATCATTATCCATGAAAGAAGATCATTTCATGATAAATTTCCGATGTTCCTTGACATCTCAAATTAAAAAGCCTGACAGTGATTAATGTATACCTCTTCCTGCTACGGTTTGAAAGAGAGCTAGCATCAGAGTCATTATCTCGTGACGATGTGCTCCATATTCCACTCTCATGGAAGTCTGGTGAAGGAGATCTTGAAGTCAAGCTCTGCTGACTTGTGTTTTTCTCTAGCACAACCTTTTCCTTCTTCTTGTGGGCACTGCTCCGAATTCCTTGTAATGACTTCATCATCTGTAAAAACATACCATCATCTTGAAAGGTTATATAAACATATACGTTGTGTAAAGTCCCTCATGTGCGACAGTCTCCAAACAGAGCTCTGCATTGCTGGCACCTGTGATATTTTTTTTTTAATGTGAAAACTACTCCTGAAAAAAGATGAAAATATTTTGCATCAATACTGCCTGCATGGCCAAAAGTAACATTGATGAAGATACCATCAAAGGATTTTTGTAACTTTTTTGAAATTCATGAACATCTTCAAAACATTGGAATAATAAGTTCACTGCATATGGAAACATGCTATGTTTATGTATGGGTTTCTATCCTTCATGCACATAATAGATAATACATATTCAGTGTCTATCCTCGTGATCACTCCATCATGCACATTTCTTACTCAAACAAATCTCTTAATCTGGCTGAATTGCATTATTTATTGATCACACATGCAAGAAACACAGGAAAGTTTATGTTTATTCACAATTCATTCTCAGGAGGAAGCCAGGTAAAGGAAAGAAAAAATGTTGTAAACCATTTTGAGACCAATAAATTTCAAATACTGGCTCTGCTTTAAGTGTATACAGTGAGAAAGTAATCAATTTTATCAAATGCCAAAAAAAAAAAAATCATTGGTACATTTAACTAATTGAAGAAACAGTTCAAAATCAAATAAAATTTAAGAAAAAAAAAAAAAATAAAAAATAAAAAGCAATGTTAGAAAAATCATCAAATTATGTATTCCAGTTTCACTCATGGGTAGTAATTAGTGGAATTTTTAGAGTAGATGAAAAATGAACACTTAAAGTATTGAAAAAGCTTCATCAGAACATTTCAATGCCTTCACACTATATACAAAACACCAAGAGGATTCAGACTACGGTTTATAAATTGAAAACACTCTGAGAAGCAACATACATGAGAATTTGCAACAAAATATTTTTAGAAGAAAGTCACTGCGGCTACCAAAGTGCTTCCTATCAACATAGAGATAATATATCATTGTAAACATTTAATTACAATTATGCAGCACAAGAACTAAATTCCCTATTTTTAAATTGGCTTTACAATGAAACTCTTCCAACATTTTTGATGGATCTGACAAAAGATTGTGAATATTCCTATGTAAAAGATTCTGACATGAACTCCTCACTCAATCTTATTGCCAATATATAATTATACTTCGATAATTGCTTAAATGATCACTTCCGTAGTAAGTGGGAAGGATATCAAGCACTTGGTGTTTTGGGGATCATCATCTTTTTAGGGAAAATTCTGTTAAAATATCAGAGCATTTTATAGTACCGGTTCTGATACTTCTTCATTAACACACAAGTATTTTTTAAATACGGAGTCATATAATACTTAACAAATTTTATTTCATACTAAGGGCACTGAGCACGAAACATTAAACAAATTAGTATTATCACAAAATTTGTAAATACTGAATTTCACATAGAGTTAATGTTTTCAGATCACAACGATGCGATTGACTTACAAATTAAATATTTGATATATTTTTTTCATTGAGAGCTGATCAACAGATTGCACAAGGTACTGTTAATGAAAGTTTGTTAATATGAATTAGAATATAAACACAGGATATTTCTGGAGGTGAAAAATAAACCCAAAAAATGAAAACTGAATAACATGCGTGAGTGCAATCCCACAAACCTTGGAACCATTGCGGATACTGTTGAGGTACTTCATCATCTGTCAACAAAAAGGCATGGGCTCACTACTGAGTCAAAGATTTCCCAAAAGGAAAGAAAAGTATAGTTTCACAGTTATATTTCTAAAAAGGTAATAACTCCCGACAGACTTATTCCTACAAAGGAATCAAGTCTGAAAGGGATAGGCATCTCAGATTTTTTAGTGCTTTCCCCGTTAATGCCGAGATCCTTTCCATAAAATATGATACACCATTGCATGTCATCATCATGTTTTTATACCCCTCATTAATTTTACCCCATCCAAATCATTTCAATGTCAAAATCTGTTCATGAAAAGATTGAGAAAGATATTTTGATAAAATATACGAGTAGGAATACCAAAGAATAACGAAAACACTTCCCTGACGATGAAAAGATTGTAATGGATGATAAACATTTCCATGGGCTAGTTTGATAATTGCTTTCTGAATACTTTCTCAAATCTTTGGGGGCAATGATGTTGTAAAGAATATTCATTTTAATTTTCCTGTCATTGTAATTAATGAATGAAGATATCCAATACTATGAATGAATCCCAAGAACAACTCAGACTGTTGAATTCACAAACTGGCACTCAATAAATGATCTTCAACAACAGCCTTGCTTACACAATGGTTAAAATTAAAGGGCTGTATTTTCTTAGTTTTCAAAAGGCTAGCTTTTCAGTAATGGAAGATATAGACGCAAGACAGTTAGCTGCACGTTAAGGCAAAGCATGTGTCCAGACATGACCAGCTTTTTTTACACAACACACCTGTAATCTTATGCCTCAATTAGGCAAATGAGTTACATATACTTCTGTATTCTCAACAGAGAACATCACCAGACACAAGCCCCCACCATTTCATAGAAGGAAGAACACATTCATTACCAAAATGTACCCTAGCCTAATTGATTCGAAAATGATATATCAATGTCAAAAAGGACATATTGATATTACGGCTTTCTATTTTACAGTCATGGGACCCATTTTCAAACAGTACACTTAAAATGAATCCTTTTAAATTTTTTTCAAACAGAGAGTATGTAAATTTTTTCTGATGGATATTACCACTTATGTAGCAGTCTTTCACTACTATATACAAACACATGATAATTAGGTGAACAATATACCTATTACACTACTCATAGCTTTAGGATTTTAGTATATCATCTATAATCATGATAAAGAGAGTACACACCCAATGATGGCCAAACAACACCATGAACTAATCAAAATAATTTAATACACTAACCAAAATAGTTTGATCAAGCCAACTAGTAATTACCTAATGGCCACTTATCAAAAATTAAAGTCCTACAAACTACGGTGCATATATACCAACTACTGATTATTATATAAGATGAATATTTGAAGCAGAAAATGTGATTCCATATTTGGATAAAATGAATTGTGTTGAAAGGTGCTATTCATGTGTGTGCCTTTTGAACAGTTTATTTTTTAAAGAATGACAAATTTTCATTAGCTTAAACTAATGATATTTTTTTTAATGTTATGTGTTCAGTTGTGCTCAATGCTATGCACAATGCCTGGACAATATTAAATAACATGTGATGTACAGAAAGTGAACAGTAATACATTCATGCCACTACATTTGTACATCTAAGTAGACTATCACCAAACAACTGACCATAAAAACGAGTGCGTTGACCTCTGACCTTATAATAATGAAAAGCTGCTCACCTCTTGGTGCGATTCTTTTTCCATATTACTCTCCAAGGAAGCTGCATATGCACTATCACTATCATCTTCCTTCGGCATGGAAGAAAACTTGTCCGACTGAGCAGTGGAAATTGGCGGCACCTTTTTTGTACTGCGCTTGGTGGCAGAACGGGCCAAAGTTGGTTTGAGAGGGATGGGAGATTCATCATTCGCTGGAAAAGAGAAAAATTAGCACATTGAAACAGATGATACTGACAGAAATTTACATCTTAAAACTTCTTACTTCTCATTTCTCTGCCCCAGCATAATGACACTGGCAAGGACACTGGCTAATAAACTGAAATCAGTTTAGTTTACTAAATCTTTATTTCTCTGTGAACTAAAAACTCACAAAAATCATCATATCCATCAATCCAAGACATTATGTAAACACTGTGATTAAAAAATTCTCTCAAAATCAAAGATCATTATCTCGTACTTAAAGAAGAGCTTCCCATTCTGAAGTGTTCCTTGGTATCCCTGTATTATCAACACTAGGTAGAGAACCTTAAGAAATGGCACAAAATCTTAAAACTTCCATCTGTCAAGTTAAACAGGTCATGATAAATATATTCTGTAATCTAACATTATAAAAATATAAATCAAAACCTCTCAAGAAACTAAATCTGAATGGCATCCAAGTCTAAGTTGTACAGAGCCCAAGGATGTGATCTTAAAGTCAAGTTGAAAAACATGCAGATGCCTATTAGTATCAAGACTATATACAACAAAGATTAAGATGGCAAGACCAAACAATGCTATGACTTTCAGATTATCATGAAAATTCATTGCTAAATGTTACATGCAACATTACAACATAAAAAGGACAAAAAATTGGTAATTACACTTGATATTGTATGTAGTGAGTACTAATATTTCAAATATGTTTCTCTATATCTAGCCCAGGAAACAACAGATAATTGTAGACCTGGTATACAGACGAGGAATTGTACTATCAGCTGATACACATGATGTGAAATTATTTGCTACTCGTGCACCAAACCCTCCTTCAAAACAAACAAAATAAAAGGAAAAATAAATTAACTACACTTCTTCATATCATTTATAGCACTGATTTCTCTCACTGCCTTGCCCCTCCACTCCCAAGGACACAAAGCCATCAAAAGGTAAGTTTGGAGCACTAGTAACAAATAAACATAGAATTGACATCTTTACAGAATACCAAGCACACACAGACAATTGGAGAAATTGAAAAATTGCAAAAGCAAACATAAATAAATTGCCTTGCTGAAAATTCCAGCAATATCTGAACTGCATGCAGCATAACATTTTCTTAGAGAAATGTCTAGAACATCCAACATTGCTAAAATGGAAAGAACAGTAATCAAGTTTTATAAAATACAACATAAGGTGTTTTTTTTACTACCTCTCCAGTAGTCGACTTCAATGGGGCAGAAGGGTGAAGCAGCTACGTCTGGTGGAAAAACAGGATTTAATATAAGCTGAGCAAAGCTCACTTTAAGTGTAGAGAACAAAAACTTTCCCGTAGTCCCTAGAGATATTTACTCATCTTAAATACTAACTATGAAAAAAAGTGAATGAAATTTGTGTAATTGCAGCAAAAGTATTCAAGTTGTACGTTTACTTTTGAAAATTAATAACTAAAGGAACATTTTATATGGAGGGACATTAATTTTATTAAGAAGCTGTAATTACAACTTTGAAAATGTATAAATGAACATTAAACTTTTGATAAAGAACACCTGTGGAAGTGTAAAAATAATTTGATGCTATAACTGTATACACTCAATTTCAAAGACAAGACCCTCTTGATGCATCATCACAATGCAACTTCTAAAAAAGCTATAACAAAGTCAATATTATCTATTATACTAAGCTGTAGTGAGGAATAAATTACCTTTGGTTTTCTAATTCATAGATTGTCCTAGACCAACTTTTCACTTCAGACAATATGTCAGTTCTCAAAAATTCTTTTTCAACAGAACTAATGAACAGAAGTTTGTGCAACTCTACCCCAATGAACCAATGTATTCACGAATAAAGAGTTAACAAAAGCTTTTCTAATGTCATAGACCCCATTCCCTTTACAAACCATTATATTATGACAACTGAAGGAAAGTGATTTATCTCTACTACCCATTAATATGATCAATTCCTCTTAGCTGGTCTATACCTTCTGAAAAGGTAAGTATTAAGATAACAATCAATATTTTTTCTATATCAGAAAATAGAGTCAATGCTTTCTAAAATTCTATCCACAGCTACAGTGACATGACCTAAAGGCTCTTTGTTGAAAAAAAAATTGCTTAGCCATTTGACCGAAATTAACTTATAACCTATAACAGCTTTTGACATTGATGGAAAACAATCAATTTAGATAAATAATATTACTTGAAAAGCTTAAGTCTATTGAGAGCGTTTTATTGGTTAGGATTAAATTGTGTCATCACAGCACTTGTTAATGAAAACAAAATTTTCTAATTAAAGTATTACAGTTTTTAATAGCAGCAGCAGCCAAAAGGCAGCTTAAGCCTATCGACACTCCCCACTTACAAGTTTTGGGGATACTTGGGCTGGGAGCTCTCTTTACGGTACTAGTTTTGACTTTCTCAGGTACTGGTGGTGGTTGTTCTGGAAAGTGTAATTTAAGTACAAGTGTACTCAAGAACTACAAATTACATGATAAAGTAAAACATCGAACACTCCTAAGGTTTAAAATGTTCCCTACATCCCCAAAGTGCTTTCTCACACAACAGCTGCTTCAATCCACAAATTATCTAGATACAATTAAATCACAGATTTATAACCAGTACAAGTAACTTAAAATCCAATACATTTCAAAGTGTCTGTTATCAATCAGAAAGTTCCTAGGATTTTTAAAAGCAATCTGTAGAATAATATCTATTCAAAATTTGTGACTTGGTCTAGTTTCAGATGACAAAAAATTTGGTTGTATAAGAATAACAGACCTCAGGGCTCTCGATCTGCAAGATTTCGGCTCCATTCCCAGAGCAAAATAGTATCTTTTTTTCACAATTTAGACCCCAAGTTTTCCCAATTCTAAGGAAAACGCGGCGCCGCTATTTTCCCCAATTCTAAGGGCCCTGTGCACCAGTCCCAACATGGAGTGTGAGAGCCCTGGACCTGTATGCATGAAACCTGACAATGAATGGGATAAGTCATAAATTACAAATCAGGAGACAAATGACCACTTATCCCATCATCCAAGGACCATATTATGTTGAATAAGCTGACCAATGGTCAGAAGTAAATCTCATTAACTATGCATGACAGTACACAACTAATCCTTCTGGTCAGGTCATCCCTTGAGATGATCCCTTGCAGAAACACTTTAATAATAGATAAATATAGATACAGGTCTTTACTCTGAGGAACATTTAGGACAACCATATTGTAACTGAATACACTATTAGAAATTTTGTTCCCATATCATCTTAATGGCCAGTTCGGTAATCCATTACCTAAATCCAAATAATATCAACTGTCATCTGATATACAGATGCTGAGGCAATTAATCATAAAAACAAGATACAGTTGTATCAGTAATGATTTCTATTGAATGTATGGTTATCTCCATCTGTTCCCTTCGGCAATGAGATATATAACGAAAAGGAAATATGTCACTTCTACTTCAATAGCATTATACCACAGTAGTATTTTTTTTCAAAAAGAAAAAACAAAACATTAAAATTTTCTTTACTACCTGCAACAGAAGTGATAGTTCATTATGTTTCTTTTATGATATAGTAGCAAATTAACCAAAATAAACATAGCTGACTTATAATGAACATACATTTATGTTATCAGAGATGAAAACAATTTTAAACTTCACCTACTAAATCATATATCAGTCTCATAAACATTAAGACAATTTCTGAAAAATACATAATTCCAGCATAACAGACTGTACCTGTGGTGTTGGAAGTTACAGAACAAGTCAGTCCCATAACTGTTACCGCTATAACAGTCATCTTACAGTCAGATGATCAGACAAAATCCTGTCACACATACTCCACCTCATAATAATCATCATGTGTTGACACAAACACCAAATGATAGTAACTTTCTGTTGTTTAAAATCTAATGACACAATGATGATTTAATGCGGTGAACCACACAGCAACACTCAGGTACACTGTAGGATTAACCTATTATATACTCAAACAGCAGCCACATCTCCTATTTACATCCAAACTAATGACCAGTACTTAACAGGTGCTGCTGAACATGTGACCTCTCTGTAACCCAGCATTGATCTGATGCTTCCCTTGGGATCCCTTTCGAGGTCACATGACTACATCCAATCTTGTTATGGAGATATATTGTAGTGATCTACCTGTGTTCCGCCATGCATGCCGTGCATTAATTATAACTTAGAAGAATGTGATTTACTGCTGTGGTAATAGAAGAGAAACTGGCTATACATTATAAATTTTTTTATTAGATGAAAGCCTCTTTACTGATTCCAACATTTAAATGATAAATTCACTTACTTTTTATTATTTTGAAAGATTTAAAATTTACTTTTAACACATTAGATAAAATTCCAGGTAAATCAGTGGTAGGAAAGCGTCAAGTGTTTTATTTATTGGTGAACCCCCTATTCCATTTTATGTTATTAACAGATCAATGGGATCAAGGTGTTGGCTGACATTTCCATTACCCTCCCACAGTGAATATCAAACAGGGTCAAGTTTACTCTCCAACACCAGCATGTGTCAAATTTGAGACAAATCTTGAACCTGAACATGTCAGATTCAATAAAAGGAAATAGCTGTGTGGTAGACTTTAAGCGTGTTGTTGTCACAGTCATCTGTATGTTGTCGCATTGTTTGTAACCTGTTTATACACTCAGCCTTATCAACACTTCAAATTCATCATGATAAATACACAAACCCTGTGTTACCAGAGTCATAATGGAAAGAACCAACATATCTAGTCATACTGCTATTCCTAAGCTTCATATACATCTCACTTCATTTAACTCCCAGTAAAATATAATCCACACATAGTAACAGAGAGAGGTCGTTAATAAATGCGTGTCTAATATAAGGAGGTAATGAGGTAACATAAACTTGTAAAATACAACCAGGTAAAATATAGTGGGTACATGTTAATAGCCATGTCATTTATATATATAAGACTTTATCCATTAAGTGATGTGGATACACAATAAAATGGTGTTAAATTTCCAACTTTTCTTTTACATTGTCACATTTTAAACCAAGGCCTCATTACACAATGCTAGACATATTTAACAATTTAAAATTCTTTTAGTCAAGTCCACTTTACATTTAAAAACACACTTAAAATGTTTGCAAAGTCCGATTCAACAGCTTGCTTGATGTCATATAATCACAAATCATCTAGAAAGGACAATCTACTCCAAGCCTCTATAATATAGGAACCAAATAATAATTACAGCTAAGTCTCCTGTAATGATGTGCTCCTTTATTATTACACCTAAAGGTTGTAACCATAAACAATCTGCCCTTTCTACACTGAACTAAGTGTATTGAAGTACCTGTCAACACAAATTTTTATATACCAATAAAATGTAATCTTACCTTTACAGCATGTTACACATACACCTTGTATTTGTGAAGATTTTTTCTTTCTTTAATTGAATTTTAAAAGATAATAAAATGTTATGACCATAAATGAATTGCTTGGACATCGCTGAAGATCTTGTTATATCACTTTTTCCAAATGCATGATGTTTGGCTTCACACATCAATCAATTTTCAAATTTTACACATCTACTTTTGAATAGATGACAAAATCTCAACCAGCTTCATGCATATTATGTATAAAGCACCTTTTCAATCTATATCCGACACAAGAGCTGAAGCCATTAGTAAAGGTATTACAAACTACACCAAAGATGTTGGACTTCTTTGCACATTGAAATTAATTTTTCTTTCAAGAACCAACAATACTCGAAACACTCTAGCATATATATCGTACCATAAACTTACATTTGATATCAAATCTATCAAAAGAACACAAATGAAAGGAAAAAGTCTTTCTGACCCGACAAGTTATTACATGACAAATTTCTCACTTCAGCATTTGATAAGCTTTGAAGTTTTCCTGAATACAAGAACAAAACTTTCCTCCAAAATACATTGTAATTGATTTAATCACTTAATGCAGTTACTCAAAAATTCCCACAATTAACAGTTTCTTTAATATTTCAGACAAAATTACATTTTCAACCAAGCAAGTTTTCTTGAAGCTCAATATCAATTAGAATATTACCTACTAAACTGTATCCTTGTACATGTGTATACCTGGTAATAATTATACACTTCCTGCTCTATACATCAACCTATACCATGGGAGAGAATCTCCAGCAAGAGCAACTACAACGATATCTTATCCAAGGTAATAATTACACTTCCTTCTCTATACATCAACCTATACCATGGGAGAAAATCTTCAGCAAGAGCAACTACAACGATATCTTATCCAAGGTAATAATTACACTTCCTTCTCTATGTAAATCATCCTCTACCATGGGAGAGAATCTTCAGCAAAATAATGATATCTTATCTCAGGATGAAATGGTTGGTAATTTATGGTTCTAACTATCTCATAGTTCCTGGTTATATATTATAGAAACAACCTTTCTGGATGATAAGATTCAGGCATTGGATCAACATTCAATTGAAATTTTCCTGCTAAAAATCACATAAATATTATGTGCAAATCATCAAATGTATTGTTAACAATATTAGTGAAATGTTTCTATAATTCTTTAAAAAGAATTCAAGACCCTTATAATAAATGAATCGTTTTACTAGATTTTCATTGCCCCCTCTCCCACTTCCGAATTAGCTATTTGTTGGTATGCTAACTCAATACAACTTGCATGTCTATATGAGGATCATAGCTACAAAAGAAGGTTGAACTGTTGCCTTTGTTTATCAATAACTTTCATTGCTATGCATCATCGACCTACTGGCACTAATGAATTCTACAACCATGTACTTCCATTACAGTATGATCAGTCATCAGTGACTTATGAAATCAATGGTGCTTCCAGATGTAAGGCAGGTCAACACAGTTTCTATTCATAAGATAGTAGTGTCAATTAGGATACATTTCTCACCAACTTATCGGAAATTTCAAACATATGAAAAATATAATTCCATGACCATTTTCATTCTAGATCAATGCCATCACTTTGTTGTTGACATACATAATGCTGCTATGTAGAAATCACCAAAACATATTAAGATATTATACTAATATATAGCCATGTCACAAAAATCCAATCAATGATCAACATGAATCTAATATGCTATGTCAAATTAAATTATAATCCACAAAAACATTTAACATTTGAAACTGGAAATAAGACCATGAATTACATTGATCAGTAGATCTTTTCCATTCCAATAATAGAATTTTGTTCGCTTAGAATGACCCTATACCACCCTACAGGTCTTACTACGTACTCAATGTTAGGCACTTATCCAATAACCCAATGCGGATCTATTGTTGTCGACTTAGCTCTAAATAACCAGACATTTTACAGGCCTCACCAAGCAGATCTTACAACTTTAAAACCATGCATTCACAGTTATTATCTCATGTGTTATATCTCTAATCCAAATTAATTCCAATCCTGATGTATATATATTCTGGGTTTAGTATAAGGGACTTATCGTTAGCACTGTGCCTATTATACACAAATCGTATACAGTGATAACAGGGTTTAAGAGAGCTTTATGCAGATCTAGCACAATCAAAATGAAAATTGCTTTATAAAATACAAAATTTATGCTAATTTTTCTATCAGTTGAATATTGTCAAAAATAAATTGACCAACTAAATGATCAAACTAAAAAAAAATCATAGGAGGCTGATTATAGTTGAACAGAGGTTTAAACAGAAAATACAAACACAATGTCATTAATTTTGCGAATGAATTATCACAATTTCCTATTTATTGTTGTTGAGATGCTGCATAGTACTTACTTAAATACAGTGTATTACCATATCAAACTTATCTTTGATATCTGATCATTTCAAACACATTATGTAATGCATTTTCTAATGTGGGAACAACCTTACCATGAAACTGAAGACAATGATTTATGAACACTTGGATAAATCACACATGAACAAATAACCTATTTTCATATAAGATAAACCTGTTTTCAAAATGTGTATTCAGAATTTCCATTTTGAATAATTGGAACTGCCAAATTAAAGACCACCTCAGATCAGCCCTCCCATCAGATTTAACTGATATTGGGAAATACCTCATCAATTAAACAGTAGTGTTGATCCTATTTTAACCTTGACCTTTTTTGTCTCACTTTGGTAAATTGGAGAAGAAATCTTCAGGTGTCAATTGCAAATTTTTGGATTTTGCATACCTGTCCCTAAAAGCCCTCAAATATGCCCTGTAATCTACAGGCTTTTTCATAGATGAAAAAAGTTTCTTGGTGGTGTTAGATATGAAACTCAAAAACTACCTAGTCAGACACATGTTTACCATCAAAATGATAATCAATGTACAATCATCTACTTCATCAATTCATCCTAACATGGCTAAAACCATCAAGCCTAATGCTTGATTAAATAGAAGCAAAAGAATGTTTTCTAACATAGCTCTTCTAAAATTCATAATTGTGATATTTGTAACATGGTCAAATCTTAGAAGTGAACAAAATATTTTCCTAAATGTTCTGTTGATTCTAAGTTTGTGTTTATATAAATCAATCATCAGCAGTAATCTGTTGAATATATTAATTATCTCTAGAATTCATAAGCAATAGTGGAATGGTATAAAAGTCAGCATCTGAAATGAAAGGTTTATCAGGCTACACACAATGTCATTAATTGCTACAGCCCACACACCTGTTGTTGTTAACATAACCATATTCCCATCACAAAATATATTCCCAGTAGTTCATGACAAAAGACACCATCTAATAAAGATAATATCTAGCAAGCCGTGTGAGTGATGACTTATCATTAATGTATATAGATCAACAGTATCTCCTGTGTTCACTTTCACTATATAGAGCTGATACATGTTTACATAGCATCTCTACCAACAGATTAACATTGATGAGAATGATACATGAACAATAACATAAACATCAACTCCTCAGCCATAAAAACTCTTTTCAGACACAGATGTTTTGGTACTGACTTTATTGATTTTGAATTTATCTATTGAAATATGGCACATGCATTTTTTTAATCAATATCCATCTTTGATCAAAAAAAGAGGAAGAGAAATATCAAAATTTGTTTTTGTATTTAAAAAAAAATATATTAGGTCTTTTATAGCTAAACTATCTATACACAGCAACATGAAACAAAAATTGTTTCAAAAACAAACCTAGACAGAAATACCTGTGCAGGTGCATATATATGAACTGTGATCTTTAAACGGATTCCAGATTGAAAAGCACCTTGCACAGGTGTATAAACCAAGATATATAAAATGAACCATGACCCCAGAAATACCTGTATGGGAAGCTCATCGATTAGTACCAAATCTGTTTTTCAGGTGAACAAAGATACCTATTGATCTACTTATTGTTATGTTAGGAATGAAAAGTAAATCATCTCTCTGACATCAATATAGGATCTGTCATTGCATATCCACAGATACAAGAAACCTTGCTAATCATCACATATAGAATTTCAGAGGACTAACATCAGTCTATTTTTGATACAGTGCCTGTAGCTTTCCATGCTACAATCACCAACTATAACAAGAAAAGGTACAGACCAGTGCATCTACATAATATACCTGTATGTAAACACCTTTACTGTTGTTGGTAGATGTGATGCATAATTAATTAGTGTAGGTTTGGATGGAACCAGGGTATCAGCTCGGTCATTACCAGGAGATAGAATCACAATAACAAGCCAGTCTTAACAACCGCCGTAAATTTTACCTAGAGGCATAATAAACAGCAACCAATGAACAGGGTAATTTGTGTCGTATACATATATCTTATTAAGGGATGGTCATTACTAATGATTATCAATGGATGTATGTAATACTAACCTCTCTCAAAATCTGATTGGTCAAATGCTGTATTTGGACTGGCATTAAATTTGCCCTGATTTCCTTGGTTCTTCTTCAGTTTGTTCAAGTGCATCTGAGCATAGGAATCTGTAAGCAAAAACAAGCACTCAATTAAACAGATAAAGTCATACAAATTCTAATTCTAGTCCATTTCATTACACTGATGTTGCAGAATACTGCTTAATCACTGAAAATCATATTCATGCTTACTAGATTCCTGTTGGGCTGTCTCATCTGCTGTATTGAGCCCCACCACTGTAATTCGTCGTTTTGGTACTCGTTTTGGTGTTGGTACATTACCATGGTTATCATTGCCATCAACTCCAGTATCGTCCACAGACCAAGATGTGTTTCGTGGTTTGGGTGGACCATCATTCTGAAATAAAGAAAAACATTGAATGTGATAGTGTATACTGGTTAATACAGAACAGCCACTCCATAGTAAAAGTACAGTGTGTCAGGAATTAGTACTATTGATATCCAACACTCCCATAAATTTTTTCATAAACCATTTCTATTTTTTTTTTTTATCTTAAATGTTATTGCAATACATTGATATAATGTAATGAGGAGGAAAACCACAAGTGAAGCACTTACAATGGTAGTAAATGGTTAATTTTTAAATTTGCGTGGAAGTCAAGGACAAAACATAGGTAAACAAGAAGGCCATCCTATACATACAAGCTAGAGGCTTGAAAACTACTTTGAAAAGATCTCATTTTTCAGTGGCTCCAAGTTTCAGGTTCTGCTAAATGCTTGGAGCGAAATGGAGGATTTTTTTTCCCATTTTGCTTCTTTTTTTTTTTAAGAAATCATAAATCTTTTGGTCTCGTAAGTAAAGATTTGATCATCACTGACTAATGTAAAATGTTCTGCAATATCATTCAGTTCTAGAAAATGTAATGTAAATGAAGAACCCCTTGAAAATAATGTTTAAAAATCAAAACCAAAAACCATTGAATTTATAGTATAGGGCAATTAGATCAAGCTTAATAATTGATGTGATATTCAATTCTTTACATTCTCTCAACCTGAATATCAGAATGAATAGTCTCCCTTTGTTTGCTAGATCCATTTAATCATCTTTTACCTGCAGGAGGCTGTGATTGTCTAGGTCCTAAATACAAGGTTTTTCTTTTGTTTTGCTTCTTTTACTCAAGCAACCAAAACTATTAGAAAATATATCATTTTTTGTTTGAATGATCATCATATTCTATAACTTACAATGACCATATACTCAACATACTTGATGTGATTAAATATCCACCTCCTTTAACATTTGTACTACAAGTGTTTTACTTTAAAGGTGCTTTCTCATATACTTTGTTCCTGAAAGCAGTAGACACGGACAATGAATGGATTAAATTGTTCTAGTCCACATTACAATTGGGTTGTCTCATCTCTAATCTGTTAAGTCAATATTTAGTATCCCATATTCAAAGCTGGCAACCTTTTATGCTTCATACATGTATACCAAAATATCCCTTCCACTCATACAAGAAACCCTTTTAAGGACTCAGGCATATATCATAGGTAGACTGTGGGTTCTATAATTGGGCAAACATCTGTCAAAAGGATTTTCACATCTGAACTTCATTATTCAGTACAAACTTTGGACTACTTTTGAAAAATTAAAACCCAGTGTTACTGTGGTCATCCAAATACTGGGTTGTGACCTTTCGTTGTTAAGTCATCATGTCAGACTGTTGTGATTGATCATTAAAGCAAGTCCTCATTATTGAACTTGGTAACTAACATATGATCCTTATGATCCTTACACTATAATGAATACCTATAAATAACTAGCTATCACAGCTAGACTTTCCATATACCAGTTTATGCATAAATCAATATGTATTAACATATGCCAAATTTCCAATTAAGTATTTGGATATGAACTTTTCTGGAAATGACATCACTTCTTTTTAAGGCAATTAATATATCAAAAGTGATTAAAATTAAGAATTCAAAATTATTACATATAAAAACCCACACTGGTCATACTCACTGAACTAAGCCCATTTTGCATGTGAATTGGGTTGAAATTCAACATTTCTTGGGGGCAATTATGATTATGAATGAATCATGACCAAAAGTAATCTTTATTCACTATTAGGAGATAAGAATGAAGTAAGAATTAGTTTGTCTCTATCATATTTGTAACATAAAGTCAGAAAATAAGTTCTGATATGCATATGATACAAACTTTGGTCGAAATCACTAGACAATCTAATCTAAAAACAATTTTTGTACGCTTTAGAAATACTCAATTGAACATTGTTACAATACATGACACCGGTGAAAATTTGTATAACATCAATAATTCTAGAAAGATAAAACAAACATAAAAAAAAGTTGTACCTATCTGTGGCTTTTTAAAGTACATATGAATAAAATTTCAATTTGTTTGTCAATATTCTGCCTGAGTGTCAACCTGGTTATGAACAATTCTACGAACAATTGAAATCATGTTTTGTGTGTTTGACTCTTGAACATTCAGAATATCAATTTAATACAGTGCATCTCAATAAAACACAAAGAGCATATCAGTACTTGATATTGCCAATACACTGAAAGCCTAAAAATGCTGGCTGACGTCAGGCCTTTGAGTATTTAGATGAGCACACAAATATTTTGGTACTTACAGGGCGAACTGTGATGACAACAGACAAAGTCTCCACACCTAGCGAGGACCAGGTGTCGAGGAAGCCCATGTTTGTTATCCCGTTTGTGTGTAAACAAATGTCTGCACTGCTATTACATTTAAATCAAATGTATACAGTCATCTTGATCACACTATTACTTGAAACTTCAGTCCGAATCCAATATTGCCTATATTTTGCTAGTCTATCTCAAAAGTCCTTTCTCCTTTGCTAGTTGTCTACAACTGTCATGCTCCGCGAGTTTTCTTTCTGTATGTACACACTGACAGACCCCTCATCAAATCTTAATGAATACATATATACGTCAGCCGTCTCTGATTCAAAAAGATCGAGACACACACCCTATCGCATTTCGCAGTTGAATAGAATGGTGTATAACACAGAGAAAGCCAACATAACTCTCTATAGCAAATTCTGTATGAACAGTTTATTCAACCATATTTGATTTTCCTACTAAGCTTCTCAAATCCCTGTCACCTTTTAGATGCATATAATGTAGGAGACCTACCATGAAAGCCTTAGCATGATTGAGGTCTATTTATTGAGAGTAAACACAACCTGCGCATACATGTATCTCAAGGTATCACTGTATGCACATTTCCCAGCAGGCTTCCCTACCAAGTTCTAAAAATCATATCCGTACATAATTATATGTGAATATTTCCCAGTAGATATTAAAATGTAAACAGATAAATAAATTACACCATAGAAACCAGGCCAAGTTCTCACTAGAGGAGTGTAAATAATTTATTTATGAACCATTTGGGCCATATTCAAAGTGACTTCCACTAACCCAAATAGATTTAAGTGCGAGGACAACATTGCATACATTTCATTTTTATATCATACATGTACATAACCTCACCTGAGTTTATGTTGATCAAGCCATTGTCATATGCTTGTTAATCCTTCTTAAGACAAAATGAACAGCTAAAGGTTGGATAAATATTTGGATTTCTTCCTACATATAAGAGACTGGCCTCTATAGTTATCCTTATCCATACACTATCAAAGAGGCACTATACACCCAGGTAATTGGGAATTTTCATAACACTTCTACATTGTTCTGCCTTGTGATCTCTTTCCCAATAAATATGTAAAATGTTCATGATACGATGTATGTCTGGCAATTAACATCATTTCACAACTAATTATAACACTGTGTATTATAATCAAATAGTTATTGAATGATCTCATAAAGATAGTTGCCCTATCAAGCAAACTTTGAAGTTAGAAAGCATTGGCATTTGTTGTGATAACAATTTAAAAAATTGAGACTTTCGTACTTTGTTAACACATAATTGTGATCATGATCTAGACTGGAAATCAGGTGTCTTTATCAGTAAGCCGCATCCGTTAATCTATCACAGCTGTTGTGCCATGTAGGTAGAGAAAATGTATAAATACCACATATAGTTACAACTAGCGTGAGATAGAAGGTCAACCATACAATGCCTTTTCTATCAAGATGTTAACTTGTCTGCTTAGACACATTGTGGCGAGCAGTGCAGTGTATTGTTTAACTTGAGGAGACTAAAACAAAAGTACACATTTTATTTATATATATATTCATTAAAGCCCACAACTCTACTGGGCTATAGAGCCAGTCTAGGGCCAGTTATTTCATATAATTGACAGATTTAAAACATTGAAAAGCTCTGACCCCGTTCCACAGGGTAATTCAGAACTACCATACCCATTTCAAACATACAAACCAACAGGTAATACTTATTAGTTATTACCAAGGCACAATGTTATTCAACTGGACGTAATTCAGACAATTGCCAACACTGCGTCACAAAATCTGTCACCTTATTTGCAAGTCAACTGTCATATAAACGCCTTTGATGAGGACTATGTAATGCTTACATGTATATCTACAATGTGTTGTGATAGGTGTACACAAGTATTTTATGTCAGTGAATTTATGACATTTACATAGCTACCATTCCTTCACCATACAATATTACACGTACTCACTCTCTGATTTTGGACAAACAACAACTTATCAAATCATTATTATTCAACCTATCACATTAAAACAAATCAAATCAAATAATCAAAATGAATATGTGAAAGAGCACTGGTGTAAGTTATGTGATGTTGGTCTATAAAGTTTTGTCATCTAAGCTGACTATAAATTTCAAACATCTAGCATGTAATAATGCATGTCATATTAAATGGTCATGATTGCCTCAAGAACGTTCATAAACAAACACTTATATGAAATGGGGTAAATCTACAAAAACGCTTGTGTACAAATAGAAAGTTTACCATAAAAATTAGTTTTCATCTATTTAAAAGTTTTAAGACACAAGTCACTTTGCCAGCTAAAAATAATTAATTTCATAAAACTTTTTTTTCAAATCAGTCTGATATCCACAGTAACAATTCATAGACTTTACATATAATTCATATATCTATATCCCATTTGTAATAGTAAACCTCAAAATATTTTCAAAAATATTGGTTTTAAAGATATTATTGTGAACAGATTTAGAGAGAATAACATTATTAATGATAATGGATATTGTAGATTTAAGAGTCCATCACCGTTCTTGTTAAATTTTTTAATTTTACTTAAGAGGTTGGAGAATTCTCAACTATTGAGTGCATTTCCTCTCTCTGCAGTCTCATTTAAATAATAATCTAACAAAACAAATAATAAGAGAAATACGATCTTTTCCCATCAGAAATGATATTCAATATCTACACATAAAAGTTTTGGCTTGAAGTTTACTCGAGTCATCCAATTTACCACAATCAATAAACAGTATGTGTTTTCCAATTCTAAGACAAAATACATATGTACATTATGTACTAGTATATGGCAAGCAGTATCCTTGAACTTGGATGTGTTGGTAACAAGAGGGGAGGATGTTTATTTGGCATGTATAAGTGATGTCGGTGTCCTCCTTGGATTTGTTCCCTAAGTGACAGTCGGGTGTGTTCCTTAAAGTTCTATGGGGCTATAAATGTTCTAATTCAAGTTTTAATGTTGTGGACAAGATGACATCAAGTAAAATTTTCATTTTTCATGAAACAGTATGTAACATCTGCTTACATGGGCCAAAATTTCAGCTACAACTGTAAGTGAACATTTTTCAATGTTGCAGTGGGCTGCAATACACTATATATTCAATATACAAAACCATACAAAACGTAGATGTCTTTTCATTGTTTTACCTTTTTGTGTGTATGTATCAGCTTTCAGAGAAGGGGGCACACAAAAAAGAAATAGAAGTGAAACACTAAAGAAAACAAAAATGTCAGTACAACATGAATGTCCCCCACCTGTATTGACATGTACCACAGGAGGGATAAAAAGGACTTTAAACAGACATAAATAACAAGCTTAGGCTAGTAATGACGGCAGAATGAGATCTTCATCTCTATCAAACCTTAAGTTCAACAAGTATTCTTATTTCAGCAATTTTTGTATATTTTTTTCCCATGCACATCCAGAACCCTATTTCCAAAATTTTGAGGAGTTCCATTACTAAGAGATATAATGCATTCTCAAAATTTGGGCGAGTCCCACAAGAAGCAATCAGTAGTCTATGCCGAAACTTAAACATCGGAGTCCCAAAATCCACTACATTTTTACTGCATATTGTGAGACAGGAAAGAAAATCTGAGATAAACTTGGAAATAAGAGAGGGATTCAAATTTGATTGGTATAAATTCACTTCTCTAAATCTAAAAGAAGTACAAAGGGTCCAACTACATAAAATTTTGATGTTTTTTTTTTTTATTTAAACTACATCTATAACTCTGTTGAGCTGAAGACACAAACCAATGTTGAAATAACTATCTCAGAATAATCTGGAAAACTGCTGTATATGCACAACATTAAAGTGCAAACTATAGGTTGAAGCCTAATACCAGAACCAGATTTAAAGTCTTCTCAAATCAAACATCCACTTTGAAAAAATCAGTTAGAAAGGAAATTTATGGAGTAAACTATCTGTTTTGAAATTAAGCCACATTATGAAATCAATCCAGTTAGATGATATGGAATCTGCCCTAAAAAACAGATAAATTCCTCTTTTAGTCTTTTCTTTCCTCCTTTTTTTGAAAATATTCTTCCACAACAAAGAAAGACAATACACTACCAATAATACCATAAAAGTTATTATTTCAATATGTAGTGCACCAACTGCCCTGATTCTTGCATGCAGTGTGTGCTTCATGCATGAAACATTTTCTTTTCAATTGGTTTTTGAAATCCAACAATTTCAACTTTGGTTAAATTATTAGAAATAATTTCATACAACCATCAAAAGTTTTATAACTGCCAAATATATGTGTGCAATGTTTTTTTATAGCAATAGTATGTAATGACAAAGTCATTCAATCATTATTCAGTGTTTACTTGCTTTTCAAATTGTGGCATCACTTTTTGAAGATATGTTCAGACGAATCCAAGTTTAATCTTAATGACTGCAATTAAATTCTCAATATATTCAGCTTACATATATATTGGTTTCAATATAACATATTGTTCTTGAATGATCACTCTTGCCTCAGTGAGAAAATACATATGAAATGCCAGTCCCTGTAGGCAAATATATGGCATATATGTTTTAACTATACTTAACTGTTTTATTTTTGGCTCAACAATAAAGTTGAAACCTATCAATGAAAGTTTATATCAGGGGCAGATTAAGTTGCTGGCCTGTTGGCCCAGGCCAGCTGACTTAATTTGCTTTGATTCAGTTAGGTTTACAGTTAACAGGACCATCGGGCTAGTTTTATAAGTTCAGATTGAAATATATCCGACATTTTGTGGTTTTATTGCTATGTACATTGAATTTTTTATTCGGAAGTGCTGATCATGACAACCCATTTCCAGGCAATCAGGATTTCAACAATTCCTATGTGCCTTGAAAGATGTGCCTTTGACCCATCCATGGGTCTGCAGTCTTATTTTGACCAATATACTTAATTTCATTGCTTGTGTTGCAAGCAGCTACCTTTTTTTTTATACCTGAATCGTTTTGTGACTATTGTATTTTCCAGATAATAGAATGTAACATTTTTTGTAGGTCTGATGTACAACTAGGCAACTTATATGTGAACAAAACAAAAAAAAACAAAAAAAAAAAAACCCAGCAGAATGAACAAAAATTGTAATATACCAGTACAAGATGATATTGCATTTTTTATGAGTACCTGCTAACAATGATTGTGACTGAAATAGATTGTGTAGGACTGTCACTTATAATGGTATACAGGATAATTTGAAAATTGCTGTAAAGATTACTTCAATAGTAAACCATATATGATGTCAGACTCTTCATCTTTGCGTATTTGCTATTTCACATATTTTCAAAAACAAGAATAATTTTTTTAAATATATCAACAAAATAAAGAATTATTTGCCAATAATTCATATGCAAACATCATTAAATGTTTCACTGATGATCTTGAGAAATTGCCTTCCATTGTCCATTATATCAACAAATTTTCGTCAACATAATGGTTACCATATCATAAGAAAAGGTGCGGCTGATTTCTTGGTGCAGCTTCTATGTGGATCAAATCGAAAATAATCAATAAAATCTGGCTCTGCAACCCATATACTGGTTCAACTTCTAACCTGGAAAATACAGTAGACTCAGAATTTAACATTGAACTTTTATATTACCTGTCGATGTCCTTCATCTTCTTCCCATGGCAATTTATTTCTTCCTCTGCCAGCACTCATGAATCGCCGACTGGTTGCTGGTGTTGCTGCTTCTATGACTGCTGGAGTTGAACGTGCAGATGAAGATGTCACAGATTCCACCTCCATTGTATCGGATCTTGATATTTGGCGAGCAGAACCAGTACTACCGACTGCCATTATCCAGTCAAGATCAGCACCAAGAGATTGAACAGGTGTTCGAGAGGAGGCAGAGGAAGGAATAGGAGTAGCATACTCAACAAGGCCATCAGAATTCAATTTAGGAAGCTGACGCCTTGCAAGTCTTGCCTGAACAGCAGTCATAACCCCCTCCCCCTCAGAACTTAGTTCCACACCATCTACAGCATGCACAAGAGGTTGTAGTTTCCCTAGTCCCATGGCTTGTGCAATCACAGCTAAACATTCAAGTGCAGCTTGACGAACTTGTCGCTTACTATCTGTTAGAACAGGGGCCACAACTTGACAAATTTTGGGCAAGTCAAAATCATAACTAGGAAAAGTTAAAAGTGCTGCTATGACGATATTTAATGTTTCTTGACGAATTCTTGAGTTCCTGTGTTGCAAGTTTTCACATAGCACTGCCAGTACAGGTTTTGCTTGATAACTTTGCATCATCTTGGTTGCAACCCTCATCACAGCTTGACGTACAACTATCTTATTATCACCCATACGTTTTGCCAGGATGTTTGAAAGGGGTCGCAGAAACTGTTTAACGTTTGTCCCTAATTTTTCCACCAAAGAATTCAGTATTTCTAATGTGACAGTTGTTATCTTAAAATTTGAATCATCCATGAGATTGTTTAAAAAGCTAATAAAAGGCATCATGTGTGGATGAAGATTTCCAGTAACATCACTACTTTGCAATTCTCTCACTATAGACTTCAGTTCTTCAACACCTTGTGCTCTTAGCTTGAAATTCTCTTGGTCATTGATCAATTTCATAACATGACTAGGAATAATGCCAAATTCATAAGTTTCAACAATTTGTTGTCGCCCTGTATTAAGATGATTTCCATTGTCTGGTTTTGAAGGTTTTGAAAACGCATGTTGTTTAGAATTTCTAGGGGTAGGGGCTTGGGACAGAATTGGATCAGATTCAAGATCCATTCCTGTTAACTGGCAATAGTATCGTTTCAAAGGTGTTGACAATTTTTGGATGTAAATCGCAAACTCTTTCTCCCCAACTAGATTCTTGATCTTGTCCATGGTCATTAATGCACAATCCCTGAGGTTATCTCCAACAGATGAATTATCAAGCAACTTTTTTGCCAGAGATTGGGTTATCTCATAGAAGTTTTCACGTTTGAAATCTGGTGTAAATAGCATAGGTAATGCCACCACCGTCTCTTTAATTACCCTTGGGTCTGTGTTTTCTAACCCATGTTGAACAATTGCTCGTAAAAGGCCTTGTACTTTGTTGGTATGTTTCATGTACACATGCAGGGTTTGAATCACAGCTCGTCTGACAGTTATCTTACTCTCCCCAATGTTCGGTATGAGTTTTCCCAAAATGCGTGACATGCAAATGTCCAAGTCATCTCCGAATTGGGGAATGACTTCATTAATAAGTTGTATACACTTGAGCCTAACGTCCCAATTTGAGTCCGCGAGGGCCAAGGAAAGACCATTGAATATGGCAAGAGGATCTGTGTATGGTAAACGTCCTCCATTTCTCCTGACGGTAATTAATAATTGTTCCAAAATCTCAACACGTCTATTGAAGCTCTCATCACTTAGCTGATCGAGAACCTCATTTTGTTCCATATTCCACAGCCCCGGCGTATTTGTATCTAGGTACGATGCATTAAATTCATGGACTGGAAACTTGGCTACATGAACCTTGGCTACTTTACCAGCCATCTAACCTAAGGACAGGAATAAAATCGAATAAAAAATGTGACCCGGATCTTTCCCAAGTCAAACCTCAAGTTGGTGTAATCCTCCGTCTGCATGGCATACATTTCATCGTCCACAGCATGACTTAAGGCTCACATGCATCCACAAATATCACGTTACTGTTCGGCCATTGTAGAGCTGTCAAAGATGGCGAACTTCTCCACAACAACACAAACTATGGTGGTCACATGACCACTCATTGAGAAACCCGTATGTCGAATAAGGATCCGTAACTTTATTCAATATGGAACGAACTCAATTAATCTGATTATTGTTACTCACAGGTGCATATTTGTCACATAAAATGTATTCCATCTCTCGTTTATTGTCAAATAAGGATACGCATTCAGTCTTTGCTCACATTAAGGGGCGTACTGTTTGCTGAAATAAGAACTTCGATAATTAACAGCTATGAATAAAACGAAACGCAACCATCTGTACAAAACACAACTGGAAATATACCATTACTAATAGTTATCGTTCCTAATGCGCGTATACTATCTTTTTATATATGTTACGATTTCATTGCAAAATAAAGAAGTTATATGTTGGCTAAAACAGTGAGACATTCTTCTAAAATTATACACCATAAATCACAAGAACCATCTTATTGTGACAGTGCATGCTAAATTATTTAGAAACCTGATAAAATATCAATGATATACATCCACTTCTGACGTGAAGAAATGTATGAACTTAACTACTTCAGAAGTTTGGCCAAATTTACACAAAGTGGTAATAAATCAACCTGACTTCTTTCAACATTTTCAGATATCTGAACCAAAATGATATTTCTGCTTTGGAGATACGGAAATTAAACGGTTCAAAGGGCATAATTAGTTCCTTTCACGTTATTTCAATGCGAATTTCTTAAATTATTTCGTAAATTATTCATTGCGATTTTAGAAACAACTTCAAATCAACCCATCAGGTGAACGTTCAAATTTCATTCCACGAAGGCAGTTAAAGGCAGATGTCATATCTCTATGCAATTCTTCTAAGCTTTTATATTGATATTAATCGGTTATTTTTCAACGGTTTTGTCTTTAATGAAGCCAGTATGTTCAACATTTCAATGCTTTGTAGCTCTATACATACTGCAATATTTTTGACACTCCTATTTATTTACATTTACTTATTTTCTGTTTTGTATCATACGTGGACCGACTATAAATCGTTATTCATCCCATGTCTAGCTTTATTTTTAGATATTCCCAATTTAAGTAAAATAAGAAATAAAAGCTTTTTGTTAGTAGCTGGATTCCTTATTTAAGAATTATAGTGATTGATAATTATATCACCACAAGTAAATATAGATACGCATCCCTGGATCTAGAACAGTAGTCATGTCTCCGAAAATACCAATATCTCTTTTTTTTCTCGTGTCTCGTGTCAAAGTTAAATACAAGACTTAACAACCATTTAAAGACATTTTACTCGTACTTAACAACATAACGAGACTTGCTAAAGGTTTCGAGGTATGTGCGTAAAATTGAGTAAGTTTTCATGTCGCTGCATGTATTACACAGCGTACTGAGACTTTTTCTCCATGTACTTTATTGATATGGTGTATGGCACTCATCGGTGAACTTTCAATGGGTTATGTAACTGGGTGTAATAATCCGGCCACTGGTCAGTTAATTACGTCGACAGCACGCGTGTATCCCGTGAAGTATACATTTACTGATTCTGTATGCTAATCAGAGAGGTATCGGTCAATATCAGATCACTTACTTATACAATTGATTAATTTTGGTAATCTAACATCTAAACACCACACACCATAGCCTATATTGTATTGCTTGAAATATCTTTATTAACATTTCATGAAATTATCCAAAAATCGAAAAAGTTTGAGATCATTAGGTTAAAAATAACTAGCAAACAATTGAAAAAACATAATTAACACTAAGGAAGAGTTTTAAATGTTTAATGAATATATCACAATATCATATGCGTAATAACTATTTAGATTCTTTCAATGATACGTCCTGTAATCTGATCGGGTTTCTTTGTCAGTTGTTATGTCGATCCGCACCCTGTTTCGGAATATATTCTTTGGAATACCAGTTACAGTTCTAGCAGTCTCTAATCAAAGCAAGTAGTAGCGATTTCTCATTCATTGAAGCAATAAATGTTTTTAATTTACACCTTTTCCTAAACATTTTTGTAGATATTTTCACCTTTTACAAAATACCTTACGATAGCAGGGAAAGAAATTTGATTCTCCTCTTTATAACTATATCTGTAGTTTTTGTGATAATACTGATGAGAATATTTTAATATTTTGATAAAATTTTGTTGGAGCAGCATTTTAAATGGATATTATGACCACACAACAAAACAAGAAATATAATACGTATATCATTGAAACGTGTCAGAAAATAATTTGTTGGAAACGTCGTGTAATCGAAATTAGGAGGCCGTTTTAGCTGCTGTTTTTAAGACAGAAACATTTACCCTCTAACAAATAAAATTGTTGCGCTATCGATGAAAGTAACTGCGGTTTTCACCAATATTCAAATGACTACATCAATTTTTTTCTCGAGTAAATAATAGTGCATTTATGACACATATACCATATTGATAAGTTTTTCGACGGTGATTGGCAATTAACATATTGTTGATAATAAAATATAAGCACAGTTCAAATACATGTATGTAGTCGTTGGACGTATTTGTTTCGTCTGTATTTTCAACTGAGGAAATACTTCGTCGTTTCGAAAATTTCTGTAAAAAACGACAAATTATGTGTAACTTAACAAACATTTCCCAAGGCATTGGCGAGAACATAGGTCAATGACCAGTACTGACCAGTGTTCATTTCGATGAAGCTGAAATTGAGATAAACGACCACTTTCGATCTATGTCAACTGAGAGCGTCTGCTCTGTTTATTACGAGGCAGTACAGGATAATAGTTATAGATGTTTCCTATACTTTGCATGCATGTTCTGACTTCTTTTAGATATGTACACGTAACAGGAGCCATTTGAACACTCGGTAACGGGTTTACATAGCGCGAAATCTTGGAAGCCAGACTGTTGAAACAAAGCACCAATTTCGACAACAGCTGGACACAATCTGAAGTCAAGACAAAGCAGTTAATATCACGGGAATAAACAACTTAAAGAACTGATTCAGGCTGGACGCATCATTGCTGGCAATTTCTACATGAAAACTTGCAGTAAACAAGAGATCCGAGAGAAATCTTGGCGCCCAACATCGTTTGATCTTTATTTGTTCTTTGAAAGTTTGATATTTTCCCTTCTTTTCTCTTATCGTCTCTGTTTTTGCTCTTAATGATAAGAAAGATGAACATTCCTTTGGAGAAATAGCGATAGTATGTTTTTACTGCCAAAATCCAAGACATTACCTGGAAGCCATTTTGATTTTCTGATCAGTCCCAAAATCAAAAACAACAGACCAAGGGAAACAAAATGAAACTTGGGAGAGATCCATTCTGTACTTCTTAAGAAATAGAGATAAAAGCGTAACTAGGCGAAATCCAAGATGGCTGCCTGTTGACCATTTTTTTCCTTATTAAACCATCTCAAACTAACTTGCAGTTTCTTCTACTGATGTTTAAGTTTCAGATTCCTAAAGCTTGTAAAGTTGAAATAACCAATGATGTGTTCATCGCAGACGGCTGGTTTGCAAAAAGTGAGCACAGAATTATATACATGCCCATTTTATTTCATCAGCACATGCTTGTTTTATGGGCGGGCTAAGCATATGGGCTACACTTTGATTGCAAGTCAATTTGAACACATAACTGGCCTGAATTGAACTTTATTGTGTTTCTGAATGAAATTAATTTCCAAAGGCATGGTGTAACTGAAGTAGATTGTGTCATATCAATTCTGTCCATGGTTTTGAAGAGGAAATATTCATGAATTCTCTGAAAAAATGAGGAAGTTTTTCTTTAGTGAGAAATTTGGATTATTATGATCTTCTTTAAACTGTATTATCAGTAAAGCATGCATTCTATTTGCTTAAAGTTCTCAAGAACTTTCACAATACTGATACATGTATTTTGAATTGTTTTCAAATCAAAGATCATTCAGATGACATGGAGATTTTCCCCGCTTGTTTATGTTTTATCAGTGTTTTATAACCAGTTTCAGTCTTGAGGTTTGTAGTATATAAATAATTACCACGACTATAGATATCTGATGATTATTGTGGCATTAGGTCACTTTCACCAACTGAACTGACTTTTGCATTGTTTTGTATTTGGAGGAGTCAGAGTGGTCTCCTGACAGCTTTATAGAGGATTTTGCAGAAGGTTGGGGTAAGTTTTGATAGTTTTTGTTTATAAAACCTCACATGAAATAAAAACTCAACTTAGATCCTATGACACTTATGTAATGGAAAGTTATGAGATAAACCAGTTTGTAATTACTCTGTTGTGAAGGTAACATTATTCATACCAAAATATTGGAATCTTACCGAGTAATCAGGCAGATTAATCCAAATCTAAACGAAATAAATTAAAAACATTAACAAATAAAATAATTCTCTCAGTTGTTTCAAATCATTTGAGCACAACATACCTATGTCACTTTTGTAAGTTAACACTAAGTGCATTAGTGGTTAACAGTTTTTTTTTTGTGTCTCTAGAAATTAAAATTATGTTGAGAACACTGTCCTTTTGGACTTATTCAAAATGAAAACAAGTTATGAAGTATATCATACAAACTAATCTTAAATTTACACTTGGAAGGAGTTCACAGGCTTGGATGGATAACTTTTGTGAAACATATTTTTGATGAATCTGGTTAAGCAATTATTTTTATTCATGATAAAGCATTGTATTCAAGACCAGTTTATACAGAAATGACTTTCAGACATTGAGATCTTATTAAGGACAAACCTATTTAATATATTTATAAAAAAAATAACTTTTGAAGATTACTTCATACATTTGTAAACTTCCGTGCAATGAATAGAGTATGTCTCACTCGATTCTGTACCACAAATCTGCAAATTCCAATTGAAACATGAAAATGTGGCTGTATTGCTAAAAAACAAAATAATATGTCATATGTGCAACAATAATATCTTGGAAAGTGTCACTATTTATTCATATGCAAACTTAATGAAATTAAAAATATGTGTGCAAAATCTATTCCACTGTATTACTGCAATAATCCCAATTCTTAAAAAATAAAGTGGACTTGTATGTATATACAAGTGAAACTATTTAAGAATGTATGCTGTTTCTTAGAAAATTGATGTATTTGCTATAGATATATAATTGTATTAGTACTACAATATCATAGTTATCTGATTTCCATTAAATTCTTATAATGATGCATTTACCGTCCATAAAATAACTTGATATTGACTAGTTTATCTGTCCATCTTGTCATGTGTTTAAAATGTGCTATTATATACCACGTTATCAATTGAAATGTGGCTGGGTGACAAATAAAATGAAATGAACCAAATGAACCACTCTCAAAAGTTTGAGGTTGACTGTCCTGAGGCTAAGAACTCTTTGTTTTCCATTCTGGAGCAGCCATGTAATTATAAGCTGCATGCTGAAGATAAGAACAATGATGAAGTGTTTTAGATATATTTTATTTGGATTAAGTTTGCATGTACAGGATAACATCAAATTTATCAATTCACAACAATGACTAAAAAGAGACTTTTAAATCATATTTAGATTAAAATCCAATCTTCTCTAAAAATAAATATATTTAGTTCTGAATGTTTTCCCCCCACCTATATCTGAAATAAAAAAAAACCAATGATATTTTTAACAACATATATTAATTCTGTTGTACAATGTACCTGTAACTGTCATGAAAAAATAAGTAAAAACAAAATACTGCTGAAATCTATTTCTGAAATTTTGTTAAAACTGAAGTACCTAAAACTTTATACAATATTGAATCTCAATTCTTCTTGCACAAATGACGTGTTAACTTGAGTAGATAAATACAATGAAAACTATTTTGATTTTTCCATACATATTTCATTACCTAGTATATGATCCATTTCATCCACTTCAAATTCATTAATAAATTCACATACATTTAACTCAATGACTTAAGCACCTAACAAACAATATCATTAAAACATAACCATATGTACTTTTTGTACTAGTATTATCACAGGAAGTTTAAATCAAATAAATTAAAAAACAAGGCAGCAACAAGATAAAATATACAATAATTTTGTTCTAATCTTCCATAACATGTATAGGGCCAAGTCTTTAAAATGACTTTGAATCCATGATTAAAAAGTCACTTGAATACATCTTCTTATTGGGTCCATTAGTTTGAAAATTAAAAAAAAAAAAAAAAAAAGACTCATATAAGAGAAGTGACACATCATCAAAAATACTTCATGAAGAAAGTACAAGTTTGTTGGACGAGGTTCTTACTCTGTAGACATTGGCTGTTTATAAATATTCTATAAAACTCAAAAAAGGAGGAAAATTTTCTTGTAAAATTGTTAAGATAATCAGGCAGTAAACATCTTGCCACACTTTCATACATATACCCGGTACTAATAACTTTAAGATACAACCTATAGCATAGGAAAGCATGTCTCACAGGAAATAATGAATACAGTTCATAATAACAAAATACAATTCTACAAATTATGAAGGTAAGCATTACTGAAGTTATCACAATGTAACAAGAAAGCATTATTGAAGGTCTTCATTTCTTATTCTATAGGAATATCTTTATCTGTATGTTCTTATGAAATTTCGCCTCTTCTAAAACAGCGGCATGATGATGGGTCCATATATTAATAGATATACTGAGTATCAAGTTTCATGATCGTGTTTGAACTTTGATCACTAAACATTTCCAACAGGATGATGACATAAATGTAAACTTAAATGCTGTGATCTTTTATATGACTATGTTATCATGTTATAAATGGTTTAAAATTAGAACGTTCTTACAAGGCCTGTGTATGGCATACAATAAAATCTTGATATATTGACCGTGGTTTTTATATGGTGTCTCATCTGATCACAGATACTATGTTATTTATGGTCCTCTTTTTTAGCAGTTTATGTGATCTGTACACACTGTGCATGTATATTTTCCTAACATTATCACCAACTCTTAATAATGACAATACAACACAAAATTAAAATTGCATTCAATATACCACGCTATCTTTTATGTTCCTGAATGTTACACATATGCCACTACATTATTTGTTATACAGCTGTGTACGTATTCTGGGGTTATCATAAAGCTCCAGATATTGAAAAACTCTATATCACATTTCTTAAGTCATTACTACTTAACTAGGACTAAGAAAATCAACAAATACTGCTTTTTCATACATTGATTTAGGAAGATTTCCTTTAGAAATTCTCAGAAAAGTTAGAATTGTCGAATATTGATTAAAGGAAATATTTTCAAATAATTATGTACTCAAATGGTGTTATGATGATATGGAAGAAAACAATGACCCTTGGATCCTTAATATAAAACCTTTTAAATGTCGGCCTTGGATACATAATTTAAGATACCAATAATAGTTCTGCTTTCATTGTATTGTTTATAAACGACATTTATTTGAAAATTTTCAACAAGAATGTCTTATGAAAGCTAATCCTTCATCTAAAGGATCTTTATACCAACATCTGGTTGAAGGCATTCAACTCCAGTCATACCTACATAAGCCAGTTAATGTTGATTTTTAGAAACTTATTTCTAGGATCTGCTTATCTGTACATGATTTAGCAATTGAACGTGGGTGATACAGAGATGTACAAGGGGAGAACAAAGTGTATTTTATGTAATGAGAATGATATAGAAGAAAATATCGTTTTATTATTGAATGTAAGTGTTATGCAGATATTCATACCAAATTTATTAAGCCACATTATTTCAATAAGCAAAGTATGTTAGTGTTCAGCTACCCAAAGTCGAAAATATACAAGAACTTAATAATTTAGGAAAGTATCTAACATCAGCAAATAAACGTAGGAAAGATTTATTGTCACAATTAAACATAATGAATGATGGCATAGTGTGCATGATGGTGAGAGTGTGAGTGTCTTTGTCCTTTTGAAATGTTATTTATACAATGAGTTGTATAACTTATGGAAATAAACTGAATTGAATTTGACATTTCAAAGCCTTTCTTCGCATGCCAAGGTTGTTTATAAGGTACCAGTAAAACAGGCCAATCTATGCTGTGGTGGTTAAATGTACCCTTGGACATTTTACCGTAATAGCTCTGGATGGCTTGGGGCCAGCCTTCTGAATGTTTTTGTTCGGCCACTACAAGGAGAGTTGCTTCAAAATGAGTGAATGTTCATGGGGTCACAAACCCAGCGAACAAACTCTTTAGGATTTACTTCAAGTTGGTAACAAATTGCTTAATACAATACCTACAGCAACTTTCCATGAAACTTGTGTTTTTCCATCCAATGGAACCAAATATACTGGCTAGATAAACATAGTGCAAGAATGTTCAGGTCTTATTCAGTAGATTTTGCTTGAATTGGAATTTCATGTTATGATGAATATATCTAAATAAATAAAAGGAGTGTATGCCTATTGATTGTAGGAACATTATAAGGTATCACATAAAATATTATACATTATCTACAGAAGTAAAGAAATGGTTGTAACAGGTTATAACTGGTTTTTGATCCAGTTTCTGACAGGTTTTTGACTACCTACCATAACAAGTTTCATGATGGAAAATAAGTTTTTAAAAAGGAAGAAAATACAAACTGACCTTTACATATGACTAGACAAATATTAATAAAGCTGGAATGACTCAATGCGGCTAAAAAAATCACTGACCTTTCAACTTGATATTTCTTGATACTGAAGAAACAAATTACGATTTTTGAACAAAGATCATGAGAACCCAAGGAATGTGTTGAGTCCTCTGTTAAGTCTTTCCCACATATTTTCATGGGCAGTAGACACCTCGGAATCAGTAGTGGTGTCCTCCTCTGATACAATATCTTCAACACAAGTGTCATGTCGAATACGGAAATATGACTCAATGTAGCCTCTACACATTGGGCATCGATCTATTTGAGTAAAACATGACTGACATACACAAGTATGACGACATGGCAGCAATGCAAAGGCTACAAGGTCCGCCTGACACACAATACATTCTTCAACCTGATCACCACTTAGTTGTTGCCCTGGATTACTTTCTTTTGACAACAGTATGTCTTGGCACATTGATCTCCCTGTTTCTCCATGGGTATTGTGTCTTTGGTGCAAATCATTTCCATATTCTGTGCTATTACTAGCCTCTCTGTAACATTCTATACACAAATCTTTATAAATGTTTCTTAACTTTCCGCACTTGGAACATGAACCTGAGTCTAGAACATTTTCACCCCTGGAAGCACCATCAAAATGAACAAAAGCTTCAGAAAAACTAGGTGAACCTTCACTTTCCTGAACAGACTCTGTATCTTGTGTTTCACCTGGATGTGCAGAACAATGTAGATCTTCTGATGTCGATGTTTCTGATGTGACATTGGTTTGACTGACAGGTTGGGATGCTGTGTGATTGGTCCCCGAGTCAGGTGAGGTGGATATAAACAGTGGCTACAAAACCAAAAGTTTTGTTCTGAAGATTTACCATAATACAAATGTCTACCAACAAATTAAATTTTTCTTATAACATAAAAACTCTACCTCATTGAATTGGACTTTCAAATTCATATATGTAGTACTGCAACATTGATCCAAGAGGCAACAAAATCTCTTATCATCAAAACCACAATAATTTCTATAAGTTCAACAATATGTCTGTCACATTTTATATCAGATTATTTGGGAAACTAGAACACAATATAAGAAGGGAATATATAATTAAAAATATTCTGAATATGCATCAAAATTGTCTGTATATAAAGCAAGGTTACAAAGGCAAATGTTTTACCTGTAATGTAAAGACTCCCTGATTAGAAGTTTTTAGATATTGGTTCAGGATGTGTGAATCCTGCTTGCAAATGTTATCCTTTAAATGAATTACACTGAATACAGCAACCTGACAAAACACAAAAATGTGAAACAGCTGATATGTATAGCAATACTGTTAACCTGACATCTCAAAATAGCAGACTGAATCAACGAACTGAGAAATTAGTTCTTTTTTACATATAAATTATGTTTTCACAATATTGCTTTACAGAATGAATGCAAAGAAAAGATGTTCCTTTTCAAATCTGATAAATAAAATATTGTGTGCTGATTATAAATATTTTCTAGGACTCCATCATGACTTATGTTGATTCCTGCAACCATTAATACAGTCAGTTACATTTGCTGCTTTTTACACTGGATATCACAGAAAATCTTGAACTACCTATACATGTATGCACAATGTATGGGACTGTCACATTTTACCCTGCAAGTCCTGTTTCTTGAAATTAAGTCTTGTAGTGCTCACATTTATTAACTTCCAAAGATGAATTTTGATCAATTGAAATATGTCACAAAAGTGAAGGAAAAAAAAACCTAAGGGGCCTGCATTGCTCACCTGGGTAATTCAGCTATTCAGTCATTTAACAAAGAATTTCATATATGACAATTATTTCTGAAATAATTTCCCTATTCTGTCTTGGCTATGTGGTCAAACAGAAGTCAGATTCACCATTCAAAAAATTGCTTCAAACCAAACTCATACAATATCCTTATACTGGAGAAGGATTTTAAGAACTTAATTTCTGCTTTTGGGCCCTACATCTCTGATGTCAGACTCCTGGTTGATTAATACAAAATTATATTCAAATCAACTAAGTTTGCTTCAAGCCAAATCAAGACAGAATCAAGGCATTCCCACAAAAGAAAGATTTTAGAGACTTTACTCTTCACTATTCGGCCCTGCTCCTCCTGCCCCAGAAGGCTGAGAACCCATTTAAACAAAATTGATTCCCCTTCACCCAAGTATGATTCAGACCAAATTAGGACAGAATTCTGCTATTTCTTCTTCAGAAGAAAAAACTCCTTTATTTCCATCAATTAGGGTCCTGTCCTTCCCACCCTAAGGTACAGAGACCCAAGCTCAGGCCAAATTGGGTGGACATTCCAGTATTTCTGTAGAAGAAGGATTTAAAAAAAGAAAAAAAAGGCTCTATTTCACCTGTTTGTTTGACCAGGTGAGCTAAAAGAAACTTGTTCAGGGAAAACTATTAAAAGTTTCTTTATGCTTTCACTTACAATTTTGGGATTTGTAGCATTTTCCTCCTCTGTAGATTCTGGTAGGTAGGTGATCACTACGACTGGGTATTTTTTTCTTGGAGATTCCCCTAGTTCAGCAGCTGTCATCTCCCCAGGGCATTTAATGTGTTCGTGTCGCAAGTCACAGGGATTCAATCTGAAATACAGGACATACCAGAAACCAATGTATCAATTTCATGGTTTTCTACATTTTGAAATAAATTGTTATTGCAGTGTTCTGACAGAGGGCAAGCTAGTATCTATGTTGATAACCAATACAATGACAAAGCCCAATAATGTCATATTGGTTTGCATACTTAGTTTATCACCCTACGAACAGCCTGTGTCATTATGAGGTATGACACTCTATTAATGACCATCTCACTAAATAACTGAGGGCTGATACTGGAAGTCCCACGGCATGTTCAATTGTCCAAACCATAATAGTACATGATGGTCATTTCTCTCAGCACAAACTGAACCCAGGTGAAATCATCAAACCACACACCTCAGATCTTGTCTGACGTTATTAATCTACCGACTTAGCTACTGAAAGTCAGCACAAAATTTGCAACATAGATATTAAAGTAAGATCATTACTGGAATATGTACCCTTACAATGCAATAATTCTTTAACAGCTGTTCTTCAACATATGCATAACATTTTAGAATTGAGAAAGAAAAAATGAGCAGATTTTTGACAATTGGTTGACATCTTGAATTACATGGAGGAAAATAGAAACATATAGTGGGACAGGTACATATGTATTTGATCAAACAATCCAAGCAGGGTTATGAAGGAAAATGCCTTACTCTTTGTTTTCATTACGGAACAAAGTATAGCCTTCCAGCCAGGACTTGCCATGTAGACGTTGTAAGATGTTTTGCCATGGTGCCTGCATGGCCTTATGGAACTCCACTAGATCTATCCCCCAATACACTTGTAAAATACATTTCTTCAGTAGCGAAAGCTGTATGTGAAGTCCATCTGGTCACATAGAGTCGAAAAAAAAGTAAACTTGATCAATACAGGTCATATGATGTCAATAACATCCTACTGAAAGTTTAAACACCAATATATGCATCATCTGAGAAAACTTCCACTCAGTAATTATGCACATGTAACATTTAAAACAACACTTTTGTGACATAATATCACGGGTAAAAGGCAGATGTATAGTCATTCCAGGGCTCACTGTGAAGTCTGAAAAGGGTGTATATGTGATTTTATAGTAAATACTGACCTCTCATGGAAATGTTCAAAAGATTTACCAACTTTGGTTTGGCAAAGAAGGCATGTTTACAGAAAGTGAATATCAACATTTTAATATCAATACCAACACATGATATTGTCTTGAGCATTTATAAGTTAATTTTAACTGGATCAATATAAATAGATTATTATATTTTCTCTTTGATTTTTTTAAGAAAGTTGCATATATTGGGGCTTTTAACTTTTCATCAATTCATATACATTTGAAACTTTACTGTTTCATATACGAAAAACACACTATGGCAAAAACAATTACTGTAACAACACTGTTACACAGATCTTAGAATTTCATCTCCCAACCCCCCCCCCTTCACCCCTACTCAAAGCAGCTCTCAAAGTTAAACTTATTTTTTCCAGGCAAAAAATCATCCTTGCATAACATGTTGTCATGAGTATGCATAATCAAATGATTATCAGTTAACAAAATATACTTCATACATAAGGACATCCTTTAACTCTTTCGGCGCCAAATATTTCTCACAATGTATAGCTCAGCACCAAATATTTCTCACAATGTACAGCTCAGCGCCAAATATTTTCCGAAAACAAAGGCAAAAACTGTCGACTAAAGTTGCCTATGGCGGCCTGTCTGCATGTCGATTTTAGTCGCCTACGGCGCCAAAAGGGTTAAAAACTTGTCCAACCACTTATAGCGTTCTGAGATGAAAATTCTTAACACTTTAACATGATACGTTATATAAAAAATACTTGCTAACTAAAATTAATTTAAAAACTCAAACTTTAGTATTTGATGTTTGTAAAAATCCTCTCCAGCTTCAGCAAATCTCACCTTTGAGACTACTACTTGGCGTCATTTTCACAGAGAATGGGTTGACCATGTCTGTAACACATCTTTCAACAGCAAGATTGACTTGTTGCACAGATGTTGAATTGAGATTCATAAATATATTTTCATTGTTCAATCTGAAAAAAAAAAAAAAAAAAAATGAAATTTTATAATATATATGATAGAATAAAATCTTTTATAACATGACCATTAGAAGATTTGAGTGTGATGTTTTGATAAATACATGTCACCTACATCAGACAAATAACCAGTGTGAAGCATACTAGCACTGATGTAGGTTGTGTAAGAGATGGTAAGGAATTAATTTTCAGTTGAATTTATAACATGTACGCTAAGGTTGAAAATAGTTTGAGGTGATAGTAAACAGATTATAGAAAAATAAAAGGTGTGCAAGATGGAATGCTAGGCTTTGTTTAACACTTAATCATTGATGTGAGAGAGTCTCTGGCACACCTCATCTCTTCAAAATGGTGTTTTGTCGGATGGAGGTAACTGTGAAGTCTTTGAAACGACACATTCAAATCTTCTACTGGTTGTGTTATAAGAACTTTTATTCTGTTGACATGTACAGTAAAGTGTACTATCAATTTCAAGGAGAAAAATCAAACTACTTGTAATTTCCTCTCATGAACCTAGTAGTGAGTATTTCTGAACCCAAACCAATGATTTTTTTTTTTTACCAATTCAAGAACATGTAGACAAATGATCAGGCATTCATGTTTTGAAATTCATCGAAGATTTAAGTTGATTAGACTGTATAGAATTTGACAAATTGGTGACACATGAGCCTGAGTTATGAGCAACTATCAGGTATATAAATTTAACTCATCCAGGTTGTGGCCTGAACAGTCTTTTTTCTAGTTGCACATTAGACCTGTCTTATCAGATCGATTTAACATTTCAATTTTTGTACCAGTAGATAAATCCCATATATCATATATGATGTCGTAGAACACGCTTTCAAGGGGGAAGGGGTTAAGTCAAAGAGGGGGAGAGATGGGGAAAGGGATGAGGGGTAGTTGGCTGCAGGTGGAACAGTGTGCTAGGGGGTTTCGAGATCTAAATCTACCGTAATCATTTTCATGTTTATTGAATAATCAAACCTCAAGGGTCTTGACTCTTGGTAAAAGTCCGATTATGGACATATCAAACGTTCAAACTCTCATTTTTAACAGTTGAAACGACCCTGCTCATCCCTTCGTATCATGATATCCCTAGACGGTTTATATTGCCAGTGCGGTCTTCATATAAACAGTAAAATCGCAAAAAGTCTTAAATATTTTTTCTTAAAAACTGTAGTGATGTCACGAGATGTCAAAGTTTACACCAAGCAAAATCCAGACGTGTTGGTCTTTAAAAAAAAATGCCCCCAAAAACAGAAAAAAATCCACTACCTCTCACTGACCTTACCTTAAAATGAACACAACCATAACAATAAAACACACGATTACTGTTAGAACTGAGTAGAAACTTGAATAATCTGCAAACCAGAAGAGCATCATCGACAAGTCGTCTGCCATGTTGGTATTATTCTTAGCCTCCTTCCGATGAAGAGTTCCATTATGAAAATCGCGTGTAAATGATGCCTTTTATTGGCCGATTCAAACGCCCAAGTAACGCAAATAATAATGAGTCTATGGATGTATCTATATGAGTTAAAAACCTTTCGACACCAAACGTATTTTCGGATGTTAATCGTCAAAGATTAAAGTACTTAAAGTACATATTTCAACAGAATTCCGTCATTGCTCAGAAATTTATAAAGCCTTTAAGTGATTGGTCGATAATATTGACCTTTTACCTATGGTAGTACGTATTGTATTTTTTGATTGGTTGAATATATAATCACGCCAATTCTCATTGGTCACTTATTAAAGTTAGCGTGTTATGTACCGAATAACAAAGGATAGAGGTAAATATCATGGTGACCAGTTCTAAATCAGAAAATGTCTCACAATATTGATTCATATATCGTCCAGAAACTTAATGAAATGCGAGTAAATAGAGTTATGTGTGATCTGGAACTTGTGGCTGAAGATGGGACGTGTGTGTTAGTGCACAGTGCCGTGTGGGTCGCAGCATTTGAAGATCCTTCCTGTCTGAGAGAAATGGGGAAGAAGTACACGTTATCATCAAAACAATTGGATATCTATGGAATTAGTGGAAGTGTGCTGGCAACTGTTGTAGACTTCATATATGGAATTCACGTGGAACCTAGTGATGAACTGAAAAGAGCTCTTGGAAAAATTGGAATGAAGAATTGGTTAAAATACCTACCTGCTGAAAAATGTCACGGGGAATTAAAGAAAAACTTTCATGGGAAAGATAATGATGAAACAAACAACAAAAACCTTACAGAACATTTAAATTTCAATAGAAGTTTTGCATCAACATCAGAATCGTTTACGCTTAAGGTTGAAAGTGATTACAATGATATGGAAAGTAATTACAACATACAATATCAAAAAGACAAAATGGAAAAGTTAAGTACAATTGATGAACCAGAACAAAGATTTTCAGAATGTGAAAACAAGGATTTTGATATCAGCAGAGTAAAAAGTGAACCAATTTCCCCTGGTGCTTCACAATGTTCATCTGAATCATTCAGCTTCACCGGTGGAATGTCTACTTCATCTGTTGTTGATTCAGATCAAATTGGAATTGACAGTACAGGAGTTTCAAAGGTGGAGCCCTCAGATGATGTCCCGCAACCTGCAAACCAAATTCTGCATACCGCATCACTGTTTGAAGCGACAAGTGAGAATGGTTCTGAAAAACTTTCTGAAGTAAATTCTGAAACAGCTCATGTAGGTCCTGTGGTTTTGAATGTGCTAAGTCTGGCTGACAACCCATGTAAAAGTTTGAAAGGGAGAAGATATTCGAAAAAGACTAAAAAACCAACATCTTCCCCACGGAGACTGCAAATCTTGCTTCCCAAACAAACACAAAACATGCCATATAAGAAACCATCAGCTTCTCCAACAGTATACAACATGTCATCTAGTGACACCTCAGAAGCAGGGAATGAACCTTTTGATCCAATTGGTTCTGTCAAGGATCATCCTTATGGCACAGCTGGATTTACTACATCAACCCCATTGAAAAGTGCAATAAGACATCCTCTTGGTCCAGAGCCTGTCAAACTATTTGTGAATAATTCTAACTTAAATTCCTTACAATTACGCGGAGCTACTGTGAACATAGCTGGAAATCCCAATGCAACAAATACATTAAATATCAAAAGTGTTCCATCTTTGTATTTTCCATCAGGATCATCCAATGTTGTTACAACAATGACACCAAAAACAACATCTGTGTGTTATTCAGTTAGAGCACCTGCTGCAGTAACATCTATGGACCTAGGTAAAAATACTGTTACTAAGAACTTGGAGGTAGCTCACAGTTCATACAATTCAAATACTCTGCCTCTTGGGCCTTTTCCTAATTTGCAAACTCTTGGAGCAAATCCATCTTCAAGTGTAATTGGAACTGCTGGATCAGCTCTTGCAAAGCCAATAGTGCTTGGACCCCCAGTAATTGGGCAAGTTCCAGTTTCTAACACCTTGACAACAGGGCCAATCATAGGTAACTTTGGAAGCAAGGTTTTACCAAACTCTACTACAACCTCATTGTCGCAGACTATCTCAGTTGGAGTAACCAGTTCTACTTCAAAAAACAATGTGGCTTTACAGAACAATGTCAGTGGAATCAATATTTTTAATAAGCAATTAGGACATTTTGTTTTAGTGAATTCCAATAGTCCTGGTAATCAGCAAATGATTCCAGAATTCCGTTTTGTTGGACCACCTCTAGCTGGATCAGTATCCTCTGCAAATACTTTGCAGAATTCCTTACCATTTGCAACTACATCAGCACCCACCAGATTCAGCTGTTTGAAAAATGTTATTGTTCCTTCTCAGTCAAACTCTAGTGGTATCCAAGTAAAACTCATTCAACCAAAAGGAGAGACAAAAATGTCTACAAAACTGACTGGCACCACAAACCAGAAATGTGATGAGCCTTCTTCATCAACCTTTCCCAAGATCACAGATTGTGAAGGAAAATCATTGGATACTGGTTCGTGCATTGAAGACATGTCTGCTTCTGTTAAAAAAACACTAGATATGCTAGAATCATCATCAGTTTCTTGGTGTCAAGATTCTACAGACATTGCTAGAAATGATTCAACTGGCAACCAGCAAGAATCTGCCAATTTGATAGCTAATACAACAGACGATGAAAAGCCCTATGTAATTGATCTAGGTTGTGAGGATGCTGATGATGACATAAATCCGCTTGAAATTCCCATTGCAAAGAATACTGTCAGAAATATAAGAATGAGACAGGTTCCTGGTATACTAAAGAATGCAGCTTTACAGTCTCCGAATAATGATGCAATAGCTAAAACTGATTCCACACAACTATCCTTACCTGTCAGAAGAAGGGGTCGTCCTCCTAAAAATCATTCAAGGAATTTGATATCAGAAGAATCAATATCTAATTATGTCAAAACAAAGAAAAGAATGAAATCCAAAAGGAAATCTGAATTACCAAAATGTTCCAGTGAACATTTAGATAGTGATCTACTTTCCAAGTTCCGACCAATTGCACCAAAAGCATTGAAATTATTGCCAAACTGATTTCATAAAATGTAAATTTGCTTAAAAGATAAGGGAAAAAACATTAATTGGACTCTTTGCTGACAAATTGTTGTAGTAAAAGGATGTAGGATTTATAGAGCTCTAGCTTTGCATTTTGAAAAAATAACAATGTAATCCCATGCGTTATTGTGCATCCTCACTACTCCAGTGGTTGTGGTCTCTTTTGCACCCTTGGAACATGTCGTGGCACAATTGAAGGCGCAAGCAAAGTAATTTGGTTTCAGGAGAAGAAAACTGACCAATCACAGGCTGATCTATGCCTTTCAAAGATTACAGAGGAGTAACCCTCAACTTCAAAGCCATTACAATATACCATTATTAACCTTGAGATTCATTTGACGTTCATCAAAGCAACAAACTATAGTCATTTCATCTTGTTCTCAAGGTGTCACACATGGAAGCTTCAATTTTGCCATGTTCCAGGGTTTGAGAAAGTGATTGTAACCCCTTAAGTATTGAGGATGGTTTTTGTGTTGTATGTTTGTTCTAAACTAATATTTCTTTTTACTTTAATGAATACAGCAGGTTTTTAAAGCAAAATGGCTATTTATAACATTTATTTAACTTGTACAGAAAATTTATTTGAGATTTGGAAATGATATTTTGGCAGACCTCTTCTTAAAACAAACTTCTTCCAACCTATTGCTTTTTTTAGTAAAGGTTTCATTTAGGACAAATATAGATTAATTAATAAGCATTCATTATCATATGCCAGGACAGTACTTGTTGTGGTATTGCATTATCTGTCTATCTGTCTGTTATTTGTCCACAGATCTTCTCCCAGATTTTTACCTCTCTCTTTCCTAGTTTTGTAGGCAAATCCATCATGACATGAGGTTGTGATTTTTTTTCAAACAATAGTTTGATTGGCTGTCTGTAGAAGATTTTGACTTCCTCTTTTTATTTTCATAATGTTAATTTTGTCTGCAGATCATTTCAGCAGATTTCTTTTAACTTGGTAGGCTTATATTTATCACTTTGACTATAAATTTGTGATTTCCTGACTAGCAGTTGGATTCAACTGTATTAGAAGAGTTACTTCCCCTGGTTATTTTCATGATGTTAATTTTATCTGCAGAACATTTCAGCAGATTTATTTTTACTTGGTAGGCTTATATTTATCACTTTGACTATGAAGTTGTGATTTCCTGACTAGCAGTTGGATTCAACTGTATTTAGAAGAGTTACTTCCCCTTGATATTTTCATAATGTTAATCTGCTCTATTAGTTTACATGTGATTTCTTTCAAACTTTATTAACAATGTATGAAGTTGTGTTTTCCTAAATAAAAACTTGGTGGGTTTTGTAATCATTACATGCAGCTGTGTCCATCATGTTTATGCTTCCCGAAAATGATCAGGGAGAGCATATAGTCTTTGCAATGTCTTTCTGTCCATCCATCCATCCATGTCGAGATCATCACTTTGCCTACAGTGAAACAAGGATCATGAAATTTGATGTATTCAATGATCATACTATTGGGATTTGCTGTGTATCAAATACAGGGCCTTCGACACCTCAATTTCCGAGTTGCTGCCCCTCATTGAAATTTTGTGTTTGGAACAAAACTTTTTATGCATTTAAGCTAGGATAATGAAACGTTGTGTATACATTCATCATACTAAGACGATGCACCATGTACAAAATTAAGGGCTTGCAACCAATTAATTACAAAGTTAGTTTTAACTAGAGCATAATTTTAAATTGCTTTCATTTGTATCAGGAGAATGAAACTTGAGGGATATTTGGACAATACTAAGGCAATGTGCAGTGTATCAAATTACAGAGTTATTGCCCTTTGTTAAAAAATTCTTGTTCAGAGCATACTTTTCACCATAGTAAAGCAAGGAACATGATATTCACTTTATATCTTGATCATACTTTAACAATGTGCTGTAATGAAATTCAGGGCCCATGATAAGAGTGTTAATGCCAATTCTTAAACATATCTTGTCCAGAGCATAACTTGGCTCGCCTTTAAGTCAGCATAATGAAACTTGGTGTATGTTTTAGCCATTACTGCTCTTTGTTAAAATGTTGTGTCCAATTAAGCAGGGGAACATTCATCAGTTTCACTGATACTCTTGTGTAGAAGAGTTATATTCCTTTGTTACTTTTCTAACCCATTTTGAAAATTGTAGGCATGGAATCAAAACTATTAATCACTGTTTTATTTTCATGATTTCATGAACAGCAGTTTGATTCATCACTATTTCGAAGACATGTTTCCTTTTTTCCAGGATTTTAATGTCTAGAGATTTGGCACAACCCTTCTCTCTAAAACCTTCTATCATCAAAATATATTTTGACACAATATTATCATTTCAATATTTGTATTAGTTTTGACATAATAAATCACAAAAATTTCTTAAGCATGGAACGCATGTAAATTGTTCAATGTAAATGGTACTATGGTTGAAAATTTACACCAGGAGATTTTCATTTAGTTAATGTAGACCAACTACAGGTACCAGCCTCATCTGTCAATACAGTAATACTACTGTAGTAATAATTTATGAGTATTGCCAGACAAGGCTGGTACCTGTGGACCATCTCTTGTCATCCGGATATCATTACCAAACTATTTAACTGCAGTAGCAATTTTTTTTTTCATGGAAAGAAAACCAAATCAAAGTTAGAAATCTATTTTGTTTTAACATAATTAAAACTACCCATCTTGCAATTTCTTCAAAGAAAGAATGTACTTTTAAAAGTCTGGTTTTTTGATGGTTCTGATATTTATTAATTTTATTTTGTCCTTGAAAATAGAGAAAATCAGAGCCCCTCAAGAAACATGAGGCCATCATCAGGTGTAATTACTTTCCTGTTGAAACTATTTGCCTACTACATACTAGTTATATGTATATGTAAGTTGTATTTGGGACCCAATTTATTAACAATGTAGACATCTACAATAACACATATAATTCAATTATCTTTATATATTTTATATTAAAAATCAAATTCTTGACAACAAGAAAAATAATTTTTCGATATAACAAGATCGATTCACTTTCTGATGTAAAAGAAATGAGTTTTTATATCAGAAAAACAAAACTGATATCAAAAACTCATTTTCTGCAGGATCTGATTGAGTACATTTATTTTTTATCATCAATTAGTTTGGTTGCCATTTTTAATCTGACAACATGTGAAAAATATTCACTCTGAAACTATTCCAAAGGAGAACTCATTTAGTGATAAAAGCTTGCTTATCTATTTTCTGATTGAAATCTCTCTCTCTCTCTCTCTCTCTCTCTCTCTCTCTCTCTCTCTCTCCCTTTCTCTCTGTCTCTTTCTCTCTCTCTCTCCTATTCTCTCTGTCTCTTTCGCTCTCTCTCTAAAGAATTCCTTTTTTCTGATCTCAAATAATCATTTTTGGTTTCAAGAATTATTATCTGATGTCTGAAAATAATGAAAAAATGATAAAACAGCACCATGTATACCAGTGGCTGTTAATGTATTGTTGATATCTTGCTGTCATCATTTGGAATCCCTTCGTTTCAAACGTATTCATATATTGACATAGACATCATGAACTATTTATTTTATCAATTGTACATTATCAATTGATTTCATCTGTTTTGCATTATGGTTTTAATGCTTTTATTTTGTAGGAGATGTTATGTATTTGTATGTGAAATGCCCACCTCCCACCAAGATATGTATTCTGTGTATTGATTGTTTATTTTTTATCTACCTGTAAAAAAGTCTCATTTACCATATCTGGTCAAAATAGCATCAGCATCCTAGAAATATCACTGAATCAGAACATCATTCACTGTTGACTTAGCTTAGACATTCTAAATTTGAAAACTTTGAAAGAAGTTCAGATGTGATGACAATTTTATGTTGTCTGATTATAAAATGTTGTTGTGATAGGTACATGTCTTTATAAAACATTGATGTATTTGTGACATGAACATGTATACATGTATTAACAATGCGAAGATAGAATGAAATATACAAATTTAGTGTGAACACATGAAGGTTTTAGTATTATTTATTAATCATCCAATGAAAGTTTCAGTTGATATTTTAATAAGACAGTAGCTTTATCACCATATATGAAAGCAACACTCCCTTATTTGCTTAAATTATACCAGTTTGAAAACTTAATAGCAATTAACAATCAAAAGATGTTTGTCTGTCCATAATTTGTTTTTATGATCATATGCAGTTAAAATCAAGAGTACACAACAGGAGACTAATGGGGACATGCATGTGAAATCTGCGATAGCCTCATCCAGAATTTCTGGAAAATTTGCCATAAAACTTTTTTCCAAGATAGCCACTTCTCAGCCATTCTCAACAAATAGCATTGTTAAAATTAATCATGACTGTCTTTTGGCTACTTTTTTTTTTGGTGGTTGGTCCTAAAATCAAAGGGCACATCTATGGAGAACCTACCTGCGAAAACCTATACAGTATATAAAATTTGAGAATGATCCATTGTTTTCTCCAGAATTAGCAATAACAAGAACAGGTGATTTGAAAAAAATGTCTTAATTAAAGGTAATATATTTTGATGATTTTTGTACAATAACAAAAATTTCAGGAAGAAAAAAAAATGATGTGAAAATACTCTGGTGCTTGTACAAAAGAAACAATACAGGTGTATTGTTGAAGTTTTGGTTTGAGTATTATGTAATATGGATAAAAAACTTCTTTGAAAGTGTTTGAACAAGTCTATTTTCTCATCATCAAGTCAATTTTCTTCAGCTGGAACTTCAATTGGAATTGTTTTACCTCAACTGGTCTGCTTGCATTAGAAATTCACAAAATATTTGTTTAATTTTCCTCATGCAGGAATCTTTAAACAAAACCAAACATTCCTAAAACTTATCATGTTAAGGTTCTACAGCTGTGACCTTGACCTATAACTAGACTTTACCAGATTAAAGCTTTAGAAAGGAATCTAGAAAATTACACAACCCTATAATGTTGAAGCATATAAGATTCTATTGTTTTGATCCCATTTTGAATGTTTGAGCTTTGCTACTGCTTGTGTCCTGATTTTGATGTCAAAATTACTTTTGTGAGGTTTATAAATGTAAATGTAATTACAAACAAGAGTGGCAAACCTTAAAGATCAAAAACCTTGACAGATACATGGAAGGACGACATGACCTCAATGTAAGATAATAAATTATAATGTAATTTGAGTGATTTCTGAAATATGAAGTACATAAAAGAAGAATAGACCAGTTGATAAGTTTATTATCAGCAACATCATTGTCAATTTTTTCCAAATGTAATATTTTTAAATATCATAAAATATCTCTGGTTTCATATAAATGGTAATAGTAAAGAAAGATTTTTGACAAAACCGAAGTATATATATATCAACTCTTCAACTGTTTGAGGTTACTTTTGTGAGAGAACATCCCAGATAAACCTTGTTTTGTCAAAGTCTTTAGAATCAGAATGGAAGATCCAGATAAAGAGAATTCTGAAGCCATAAAGATTTCACATTAAATCATCTGCCCTCTATTACAAGACAGAACACCCAAAACAAATGATTTTTGTTTGTAAATAATGGCTTTACTATGAATCACTCAACAAGACCTTTGGTCCTTAAGAGTGACTGAAAAATAAAATTAAAAATGTACATGTGCATGGAGAACCTTATAAGTTTGCATGGTTATGACATTTCTTCATCAACATTCAAACAGGGTAAAATTGTCGAAGTCCTGTTATTTTCAGACACAAAATTCTCACAGAATTGCTGACAGATACAATAGTGAAAAAACATACCTCTGTCAACACAAAAACATCCTGGGTAATAATTGGAGACTTTTTCACTCCATACATTTATTGGCATGCTATATAGTAGCAATCTACCACCAAAAGGTACATGTATTATTCAAACCAACAAGGCTCCACTGAGGATATTCCATATTTTTCCTATGGTCAACTCTGGTCTTGTGACAATCCTGTTCCACCCTGAGATTCACTAGACATGGCACCAGCTCCTTCACACAGAACCTCTGGCTCAGGTGGGCCACCAGAATCCTGTTCAGACTGTTTGGGGGTTTTCGCAGCATTGGATGCTGGGTTTTTGGGATTACTCCACTTTTTCTGCTTCTTTCCATCCTCCTGTTCAGAGAAAAATATGACCGACTTGTATTTCCAGGATTTGAAATATAAGGAAACAAGATGTGTTTATGAAACACTATGCCCCCAGTTGTAACAAAATTAAAATAGCATGGTATAAAAACAAAACTATGTACATGTATTTACAACTGTCTTTAAACTGCAATAAGCCCAAGGAATCAATACAATATTTCTGATTTACAATCATGTATTTCTGATATCTCAAATTTAGATGAAATTTTGCCAACACATGAACTATAGAAAATTTTACAGAGAAACATGACTGATTTGGATAGCTATAGTAAAGAAAATGTAGTTCAGTGTATGTGATTAAGAATTGTAGTGATGGTGACTCCATTACTGTATACAACAAACAATTACCACTTGAACAAGGTGCTAGTGTATAACTGAACAGTGTGGACTCCCACATCAGAGAGTTTTACATGACTTTTGAAAATTGCACACTTTCCATGCCTGCTGCCATATTTGCAGATGTTAATAGAATGCTTTCTTCTGAATGTGAGTATATCATTGTATTTTATTACCATGTCAAGCAGAATTCAAAGTCACAGTCATTGATTTGGTATGGAACACAGTTGTTTAACAAATATCCCTTCATGAATGCATGGTGAGAAAGTGGTACACTGTATATTTAGCTAGGAAATATTTGTCTCATATAATGATGAAAAATAAAGTTTTCATGATGTTTGCAATATTGATTTTTGTGATATATTGTCAAAACAAGTGTTACATTGCATGTACCCTATATAAAAGTCACACATCAGTAAAATTCCTTTAAAGCATTGATTATGATACTGGAACCAACTCCCATCACTACCTATTGAGGGAGTTGAGAGTTTCTAAGATATCGTTACCAGTCTACCATTTTGTATTTAAACTTTGACAAAGTGAGATCGGTATAACTGGCATTCCTTTGTTTACGTGGAGGAGGTTGGAAGTTTCAGCTTTCTAAGGATGTTTTTTTATAGCTACAGGTCAATCATTCTATTTATATACCTGTATGAAGTGAGATAACTAAGTTTAGTTTACTCCAAGGTTTACCTGGAGAGATTCAGGTGTTTCTAGAGGTATCGTTACTGGTCCATCATTCTGTATATGAACTTGCATGTAAGCTCCAAATACTCCATCTACAACAAAACAATGTTATCAGGAAAACATGATTATCAAAGAGAGCAAAAATCTATTTCTTTTGACCCAAGAAAATGTCCTACAAATGATCGGATTTGAACTAGCAATCTAAAGGAAAATTTCCATCCACCTATTCCATCAGCATCTTCTCCCCTACCTTCTTGGCAGTCAAGCTTACTGATTGTAGTGAAATGAAGGGGAGTTAACAGCCAAAGTTAATTTGATAATTAACCTGTTCTCTCAAATCATATGATTTTACAATTGTGAGGAAATCATTTCACTCTTTTCTGCTTTTTTGCTCAAACTTTTTATACCCAAATGACATCAACCTTTGATTTTTGATGGATCATATGCTTCTCCCATCTGTCTGATAAATTCTGCGTAGAACTCTTGCGATTTTTCAGGTGGCATAGCAGCATGGAAGTCTGGCTTGTTACCCTTCAAAACCATACAAAGCGTGAACTGCAACAAAACACAAAAAACAAAATATATTCTCACATTCCGTAAATTATATGGTACTACATTGAATAATTTAACAAACAAGAGGTCCCAGAGGGATCTTGGCACCCATTATTGTTTGATCTTTATTTGTTCTTTATAAGTTGGATCTTATCCTTTCTCTTTTCTGTTTTTGCTATTAATAATAAGAAATAAGATATCCTTTGCAGAAATAGCAATAATAATCTTTAACTGCCAATCCAAGATGGTCACCATTTTGTTTTTTTCTTAATAGTCCTAAAACCAAATGGGTACAACTAAGGACCAGGAGGAATCTACAAATGAAATGTGAGAAACATTCATGCAGTAGTTATCAAGAAATAGCAATAACAAACTTTTAAAGTAAAAATCCAAGATGGCTGCCTGCCCGCCATTTTGATTTTCTAATCAGTCCAAAAATCAAAGCGGCACAACAAGGTCAAAGGGTAACCCATAATGGAAATTTGAGAGAAATTCATAGGATGCTTCTCAATAAAAATAAATAACAACTTTACTAGGCAAAATTCAAGATGGCAGCCTGTTTGCCATTTCCTTTTTTTGTCAGACCTTAAATTTAACTGGCATAACTTTGGACCGAGGGGAACCTACATATGAAATTTGAGAGAGATCCATTGAACACTTCTCAAGAATGAATTAATAGCGATAATAAACTTTAATAGGAAAAGTGTAAAATGGCCGCCTGTTTCTCTGATCAGACCCAAAATAAAACCAGCACAACGAAGGTCCAAGGAAAGTTCCATCTTTTACTTCTCAAGAAATAGCAATAACAAACTTCCTTGATAAAAATCCAAGATGACTCTCAGCCATTTTGATTTTCAGATCAATCCCAAAATTAAATGGGTACAACTAGATACCAAGGGAAAATCTACACATGAAATTTGAGAAAGATCCATCCAATACTTCTCAAGAAATAGATATAACAAAAATTGTTTACGGATGGACAGGCGAAGGATCATGGATGTAGGACGATTTGTATAGCCCACCATCTGAGCAAGTTTCAATTAGAACACACACCAAGCATCATCAGTAAGTAGGATATCTCTTGGCCGAGGCTCCATCAGGGCGTTAATATATTGGCCTCTATCCCTGAAGTATGTAGATATTGGAAAATCAATTACAATATCAAATAAAAAACTACTATACCTACCTGACTCACACACAAAACTTCATAGTTTTTCTCCATAACATTTTTTGACCATCTCTTCCCTTGATCATCGTCAAATAACCTCAGGTTGAGAATTTTCCGTACCCTATAAAATGAAAATTGTTGTTCATATCCTGATTTTTTTTTTCACTTTCAACAGGATAGATTTTATACAAATGTGTTTCATGCTTCAAACAAAGTGATTATGTGCACTTTACTAAATATTTTTCCAAGAAACTCCTGTAAATTACTTATCAAAATACAAAAAACAAAATAGCTAAAGGCACACTTACCAAACAACAGAAAAAACAATATAAAAAACATTTTTTCAGATCGATCATAAAATTACTAGTTTTCTTCAATTACATGTACCTGGTAGTTATCTTTTATTTTTGTTTTAGTAATTCACATTGTAATAGTTACATGTATTCCATCTGTTTTGGTGTATCTTTTTGGGTAATTCCAACCAGCACACATAGTCCCTTTCCAATAGAACTTACAGTTTCTCCCTCAACTGAAATTAGAATATGTTTATATGTGAAGGTAAAAAATCAATACTACCCGGTTGTTCCCAAGTCAACAATAAGGTAAATGCCAGCATTCCATAGGCAAAGTACTGGTATTTGTGGGTTTGACTCCTAATATCAAGAGTGCAAATTTTGCTAGTCTACTTTAAAAGTAATATATACATAATGAATGTTTACAGAAGCCACTCTTATATCATGCTAAAATTAAATTTGATTTATGGATAACATCACATGAAAGGAATAATGGATGAGTCTTCAATAATCACACTTTCCATCATTCCTATAACAAGAGTATCAGTGAAACTGATGGATGCTCCCCGAAAACGATTTCACTGGACACATATTTCAACAAAGGACCATAATTCTGTAATCAAGGGGTTGCAGGCCCTAAATTTGATATACAGCACTTTCTGTTAGTATGACAAATATGACACCAAATTGTGTGAAGGTCAATGTACAGGTAAAAGGAATTAATAAATATATCATGTCTTGAATTCCACGGGGGCAATATAATTTCTGGAGATTTGCGGATCAAACGAACACTTTCATATTAATATGAGAAGATTCAGTAAATAATTATTTAAGGAACAAAGATCTACAATTCAACTATAAGTTAATGGATGCCCGTTATTTAATGAGTATTGACAGACGAGGATTAATATCTAAACAGATGAAGTGAAAGTAGAGTGATGACAGCTGTCAAATTCCACATCTGTGTTATGGTGATGATGTATACGAGGCATAAAGAATACCATACCAGCAACTTTGGCTTGAGTAACTCTTTGAATTAGTACTTTCATCATTGGAGAGCAAAACAAATACTTAATCGAATTATAGGTGAAAGCTAATGCAATACATGTGTGTCGGTACTCGCGTGTAACGCCATATACCGGAAACGGAAGTCTCGCTAGTCGTTACTGTCACCAAGGGAACAGCGGGAAGCACAGGTACTGTCTATCTACTGCAAATAGTGATATTTTCATGAATGCTTCCGTTAGTTATTCAACAATTGGTCTGAAAATTCGCGTATTTAAGAAAGGTACTGCATCGGTATATCTTGCTGACTACATGTGTTTATTGTGAGTTTGTAACATATGTTGTATTTGCTAACAAACGCATTGGAAAAAATAGCTGATTCCCAAATGTGAACGTCCTTTCAATTTTACTTTGCTGTCATTTAATAGAGTGATGATTCCATGCTTATGGCAATGAAAAGTGATTGATATGTTACACATAACATGTGTCACTAATGAAAAAAATCCTTGCATTCCTTACAGGGTTTTCCTATTAGAAGAGTGAAAAACTAACAAAATGGACCAAGACAGTATACAAACCAGGCCTCCAGAGCCAATTACTATCACAGTCCTGAGGGCAAGGAACTTGGTGAGTAGAACATTTTCAGTTTATTGCGTAACTTTATTTAGTAAACATTTCACTTTTTATCAGATGAACATGTGACGATTAATGTTTGACAATGATATCTATCAATTCTTTTGAAATCTGCATGTCTCGTCCATTGAGCATCAGCTCTTCCAATAAATCTCTCACATGGTTTCAATTCTTATAAACAATGAAGGTCATGAGATATTTTATTTACAGAAAGGGACAAAGGCTGACAGTGTCCAAGTGATGGTAAAGGTGGAATTTGGAGAGAAAACCCTTGGAGATTCTCCAAAAGTGGAGTGTTCTCCTGAAGCACCAGCTGAACTCAACTTCAGCACCACCATCAATTGTACCTATGATGACCCTTTGGCCTTGGATGAAATAGCTCACAAACCAGTTGTCTGTAGGTTTTCAAGAAAAATAACTTTACATAAAAAAGTGAAATTCATTTTTAAAATATCTGTCCTATGATAATAAATCCAAGATGGACAATGTTTATAGAAGAAAGTATATTTACTGTCAAATATGTTTGTATCTAAAAGAGGATCTGTCCATCAATTAACAGATGTTTGCTGTTAGATTAAAAAAAAAAAAAAAAACCCAAAACTTGATATGTATAAAAATATTTTCATTGAAATATAATATCAGAATATGACAGTTACACAATTAATCAGTGTATTATCTACAAGAAGATAAGATCTAATCGGAACCTTTTCAGAAGACATTGGTGTTAAGTTTTAAAAAGGATATTTCACAATTCTACACTAAGAATTTAAACTAGAATAACATTGTGTTTATTACAGTGACAGTCATTGAAGGTTTGCCTAAAGAGAAGAAACAGAAGGAAGAAAAGACAGCATTGTTGGGACAATGCACTGTTGACTTACTTCCACTTGTCAAAGGTTCGTGAGGGGGAAAGAAAAGAGGATAAAATGATCATTTTGAGATACTTTTTTATTTAACTTATTTTGAAAAATCATTGGAAATATATATTTCAATGCTTGAAAAACTTACCTTATTTCATGATTTATTATAACTTGTTTTAAAAAGGTGAGACAAAACACAAGTATACATTAGTGGTCAACCCCTTGCCTGGTTCACCTCTGGAAGGAATCCCACCTGAGCATGCCAAGGTCAGTGTTGTACAAATACTTTATTTAGAACTATATCTTGGATAGTCAAATCAAATTAAAACAGTAATTCCTAAAGAAATATATCAATCTCCATCATAGATTTTGAATCTCATGATATCCACCCACCTCAAGTGTCAATGTCGAAGAGTGACTGACTACCACCATGTCAAGTAAAACACAATTTGTTTAGAATAGAAGTACAGTGGGTAGGGATTTGTTGATTTGTGTTGGATTTTCACATTTTCTACACAAGATTTCAGGCAATCTACTATTGGTTTGATAATCATGAATACATGAGCTAGATTAATTGTACAGATATTTTGTTCATAGTTGTTGTGTAATATTACAGGAAGTAAACTGTATCGTTTGTAGTCAAATATTTTATATATATATATATATATGCAATATGTTTAAAACTGTTTTTATATTTCAGCCCGAGCTGGATGTTGTGGTTTCCGTCAATGAGCCACTGATGGACTCACCCCAGGCCAGTGCAGGAAACTTGATGACAATTACTATGGAATCACTGCTGTCCCCTCCAGAGTCCTGGACATTAGCTGGTTCCCAGTACTGCTATGCTGCTGCACTGCCCATCCCAGTCACTGCTGAGGTCAGTTGGCGAGAAATATATATCTTTACAAAATTATTGTCACTGACCACATCTAAAATTTTGTCCAATAGACTAACCATTGGACTTGTTTAATAAATTATTTATGGTGTGACAACTATCGTGAGATCTTCTACATCTTGTTTTAAAACCATTTATAACTTACTTTTGAAAAATCTTCATTGAAAGATTTTGTCGTTTGGTGGTATTTATCTATAACCAATTTAGAATATGATATTGCTGATTCAAAACATGACATCACAATTTTTTTTCTGTAGAAAGAGGCACCAATTATTTTTGCTGGTGGAGCACTGAAGCCAGGTGCTGACAAGGAAGTTCCAAACAAACAGAAGAAGTGGGCCATGCCAGGATCTGCCACAGGCAATGCTGTTTATATTCCTGACTGGTAAGCAGAGCTTAATGAAGTACCTAAGAAGTATAAGTCTTTCATTTTACTCATATTTGGGAACTCAGATATACAATTTGACAGGTCTTCAAAAAATACATCAAGCTACCTGTAATAGTTGTGAATAACAATGAAACAGGTATACAGTGATCAGTAGATGTTACATTTAAATGTCTATAGTTGATATGCCACATTATTTACTTTCATTCTATTTTCCTGATTCATATCATGGTACAAAGTATCAACACTTTTTAAGCAAAACATAATTTATGGTAGCCTTAATCTTACTTTTGTGTGATTTTTTAAAACTGTCTTATTATTTTTTTTCTAATTATTTGTTTTTTTTGTTTTTAAATTAGTATCAATTTCATATTATTTTCTCTACTTGTTTGTTTGTTACAGCTATATCTCCAATGACAGTATAGAAGATGAGGATGGAGAACTTCGTGCCAAAGAGGACAGAGATCACAGGATGATTTCCGAGTCTGAGAAACTTCGAGTTCCATGGAATACAGAAAGGAGATGCTACATGGAAAATTCAGCTGTAAGAAGGTAGGATACAATTACTGAATGGTTATTAGAATTTCTTATCTATGTTTTTGTTGTGTATTTGAATTAAAGGGAGATAATTTCATAAAAATGACAGTTTGTTGTGTATTTGAATTAAAGGGAGATAATTTCATAAAAATGACAGTAACATGCAAAGAATTTTTTTTTTTGATTCTGAGATATTATAATGATGAAATCAGATATGGCATTCAGCAATATTAAATATTCATTATTCTATTTGATGGATCTGGGGCTCCAGGTCTACACTACATGTTGGGCCCTGAATTATAATCTTATTGTCTCTTACAGTTTCCAAGACAAGATTGCCAAATGTCGCTATTGGCCTGTTGAGATAATGAGACTACCACCTCCAGCTGCAAACAAGGGCAAGAAGGTAGGCATGCAAAGACAATTATGTGAGAAAAATCAGGGTTTTTGGAATTTTCATGCTTTTGAACAAACTGTTCTTTGTTAATGATTTGCTTACAAAGAGTGATTTCAAACATTCATGCCACAAATTCCATTTCAGATACAAGTTCACCCTCTGATTAAAATTAGTTTGTTAGATGTTAAACTTACAGAGCAGAATTAGGCTTCCCACACAATTATTCGACAAACATGTAGGGCATTTCTTCACTTGTTTTGGATGGGGCCTTTCTGTCTCAGGAGGGGAAAAATTAATGATTTGGGAAGTAACGTTGTTGGTGTAAATTTTAGAAATTTAGAATAGTTTCAGTTAAGAACAGAACCCACTAGCATTCCCCAAAAGTCCTCTAAAAAACCTGGACTTGTAACTCTAATTTCTGTCAGAATTAATGCTTCTAATGTATGGGATACCTCTGAGAGCATTACTAATTAACATACAACTATTCTGCATGTAAGTTTGAAAGTTGTTAATTCACAAGAGTCTGCAAATTACAGTCTTGTATATATATACTATTTGATAATTAGTACAATTAGATGTTGTAAATTGTTTTCTGAATGAAGGACCATACTGTATCAAGCACACCATTTTTTTTCCCTTTTTTTCTTTCTTCAATGTTCTTTTTAACACAATAGTTTTTTTTTTGTTAGATTCCCTATTTTAAAAGATTAAACATTTTCTTTTAAAGTTTAATTATTATAGGAAAAAACAAGCAGAGAAACAATCATTGTCTGATTTTTGGGGAAGTCATCAACATAAATGTGATTCTCATTTCAATGTAAAGCTTTGTGAAAAAAATAATGTCATACAGATTTTAAGTTCTACATCAATTTCACAGCATGCAGCTAGTGTAAGTATATATAGACTGTAGATGCAGGATTGACTTTGTTAGATCTGGTCCTGCCTCCATACCCTAACCAAGATCAGTATATTAATCGCGCACTAAAGTGTAATGCAGAATTTAAAACCCATTGACTGTGAATGTTCTACCCATTGTTGCACTGTAGATATTCCTGACTGCACTGCCTCATATTAGCTTTGCTGATGAAAAGATGAATATAGTGTAAATCTAGGATTGTTGATTCTTAAAGAAATGTATAAATGACAACAAACTTAATAAGTTTTAACTCATGAAATCACTTACTAGATAAAATCTCTGCACAACTCATTTTAAAAATGTGATTAAATGTTTAAAACAATCATCACATTAGACCAGAAAATAGAAAACAATTTCTGATTTTTCAAAATATTTTCATCACTTATGTAGAGATTTTGAATGCACATCCTAATAAAATAAAAGTAATGTCGGATTTATACTATCTAATGAAATTTAGTACATTGCATTCTACCTAAACTAGACCCTGTCTACTAGTCTAAATCATTGCCTAGTCCAGATTTTTGCCTGTACAAACGCATGAATTTATTTTGAACAATCTTAAGGTTTGACTGTTTACATAATGGAACACTCTATAAAATGATGATGCTACTAATGTGGCTACCATGATGGTCGATTTAGACAGAGAACACTGTGCTACTTAAAACAATGACAAGAAATTTACATCTGAATGTACTTGTACTAATTATACAAGTGTCTTACAGTGAGAAAATCCAGTAACAATAATAAAAACTTGATCATAGCGGCTTCATAACAGCCAGTAAAATAGGACATGTCTCTGACATACTTGTGAGGAAGGCCACTTATGTGTTGAGGAAAATTAATCGATTATAATGAGACAGAATATTCAAGGTTGTCATGTAAACCAATTGCGGATCTGAGGTTTGCTTGATCTTGATAACAGTGATGCATTGATTAGACAAGATTTCCTGTTAATTTTATGTATCAGTAAGAAAAAGCTTTACTATAATGAACTGCATGAAAAATCACTTGATATCTTATTTGACATATTTTTTGTTTTGTTTTACACATTTTACTCTTTAGCTTTCCTGAGAAATTAAAGCAATATGTTAAATAGTTCATAATATACATTTACAATAGAAACTAATCAGTGAGCATGCATGACAATAAAGCTTGTATATATTAAATCATATATGATATATATATATCATTATTTTGATATTCATGTAGAAACATGTTTAGTTTAATGTGCTTGTAAATAATCTAAGCATCAGAAACAAGTAAACATACCAAACAATTAGAGTAAATTTATTTGTTTATGAACATTATTGGAAAATATTATTTAAATCAAAATTGTATCTGATTATTGTCTTTTTTAAATCTTCATTGGAATCTAGTTAGTTTCTCAGGAGAAAACATATTCACCGCTTTTTTAAATGATTTGTGTTTTGAAAATGTACCTTTTTGTAATACTGATTTATACAACCACTGTTTCGGATTGTCTAAGTCAAGGTGAACGAGATTCCACTGATATATTAGATATCACAGTGTTATGTTCCATTCTTATATTTCCCCTTTAATGTGATCATGATTTGTACTTGTGTGTCCTTTATTTCGTTTACTGGCTGCACAACAGCGCCAGGGAAATCCTGGTGCTACAGGGAAGTCAAAGGTTGGTAGGCAATCTCAAACACGGCTTGAGTACAGATGTAGCTGGTGTGCACACTAGATAGATGTGCTATACGTGTGTCAGAAATGTGATGATGTAATTCATTGTACCTCATTTTGGAAGGTTCTTGGACTTATGGGTAAAGTAGAGACATTACAAGCATTGAATATGGGGAAGAAATTTCATTGATGTAGGAAATAATCTCTGTTTAGTTTCGTTTAATGCAGTTATAGTTTTATTCTTATCAATGTGTTATTTCATGTTTACAAATTAGTATCAATTCTATATCAATATCTTTTTAACATCCTAAAAGTATCAACTTACAACAGATACGAAATAAAGTAAGACTAATAGATCTAGAACCTTTTCAAAAGCTATTATTTGCAGTGATATAGAATTGTCCTTAGGGATATCTTAACATTCACTTTCTTAAATTTCATCATAATTCAAATTTTTATAAATACATTAATAGGGTTCAAACTAGAAATGGTTTTCATTGTTTTGACCCAAATGTGAGGGCAATCTACAGAATTACTTTGGCTAAATATGGGCATGATTTTAATTGTTATGTTGTTGTTCTATTTTTTTTTTATTTATGTTGTTTATTTTTTATGCTTAATTTTTAGCCCCCATCATCAGATGGTGGGCTGTTCAAATCGCCCTATGTCTGTGGTCTGTCATTCCGTCTATCCATCCATCATCTGTCATTTGTCTGTCTGTGAGAAGTACTTTTTTGGATCTTTCTAATATTTCATAATGTCATCTTGAATTTTTTCAATGAAGTTTGTTATTGCTATTTCATGAGAAATCTTAGATGGATCTCTCTTAAATTTCCTATGTAGGTTCTCCTTTGTCCCTAGTTTTGCCCATCAGATTTTGGGTATGATCCAAAGCAAAATCGTCGACAGATGGCTATCTTTGATTTTGACCTAGAAAGTTTATAGTCGCTATGTATTGAGACTACAGCATAGATTTTTCTCAAATTCACGTGTATGTTTCCCTTGATCCCTAGTTGTGTGATTGATTTTGGTACTGATCTAAAAAAGGAAATAGCCAACAGGTAGCCATCTTAGCATTTGATTTTGAAAGTTTGTTATCAATGCTTCTCGAGAAATGCTGCAAGGATATTTATCAGATTTCATGTACAGGTTACTCATTGTCCCTAGTTGTGCCTGTTTGAATTTGGGACTGATCAGAAAATAGGATCTCTCCCAAATTTCTTTGTATGTTCCCTTTGGTCTCTACTTGTGCCAGTTTGATTTTGGGACTGACCAGAAAAGACCAAATGGCTTTCAGTTGACCATCTTGGATTTGGCAGGTAAAGATTATCATTGCTAATTCTACAAAGGAATATTCAAATTTCTTATCATTAAGAGCAAAAACAGAGAAAAGAAGAAAAAAAATGGAAAAGATCCAACATTAAAGAGCATATAAAGATCAAACGATGGTGGGCGCCAAGATCCCTCTGGGATCTCTCCTTATTTATTAGATGTGTTTTACTTTTCACCCATAGGTTTTTTGTTTTCAACAAATTTACTATAGCATGTATGCTTTAGATCACAAGATTCAGAAATGTAGCACATTATGAAGAGAAGAGTGATGTTTTGAAGTTCTTTCTTTCATTTGTGTTTATTTTAGTCTGTGTTTTGATTTTGAATATTTGATCACTTTTTTCAATTCTTGTCTTGAAAGTGTGGAATTTCATTTGAATCCATAATCATCAGATGATGGGCTATTCAAATTATTCTTTGTCTGTGGTTCGTACATCGTCCATCCATCGTCCACCTGTAAACAACTTTTAATATCTCTATTTCATGAGAAGTACTTGAATGAATCTCTATCAAATTTAATATGTAGGTTCTTTGTTCCTAGTTGTGCCCATTTGATTTTGGGACTGATGAGGAAATACAAAATGGCTGAGAGGTGACCATCTTGAATTTGACAATTATTATTGCTACTTCTGTAAAGGACTGTTTAAACTTTGTATCATTGAGAGCAAAATAGAATACAGAAAAAAATGAAAAGGTCCAATTTTTAAAGAACAATTTAATAAAACAATGGCTGGCACCAAGATTCCTCTGGGATCACTTGTTTCTATATATATATATTCTTATATATGAAAGTGTTTCATATTTTGAAGCTCTCAGTTTAGTTAAGTATACTCTTAATTCATAAAAATCAATTTCATTTGTACTATCCTCATTGTCTATAACATGTTATTCCCAACCAAAACTTCTTGTAAAATGTTTCTGTATCTCCCTTATAAATCCAGTGTACCCTGTTTTGTTATAAAGTTTTCATTATTATTTTATATGATCATTGTATTTCCTGGAAATCTGAGCAGTTTGATTCAAATAAGAGCTTGCACTGTGGATGTATAAGTCTATTGTACCTATCATGATTGTGAAACATGAATTGATTTTTATCAGTTCGTAACTAAATAGCAATGACCAAAACTTCGATAACTTCAGGTATCAGTTTTGAGTTACAATTTGATTATATAGACTAAAATTGAAGGGATTCTCCTTAGACCTGTACAGTGAATATTTGGATGGCATATAGCAGAGAAAGAGCTCTAATTTGAATAAAACACTGGAGTATCTTCAGACCTACTAGATATCAAATTTCATCAAATTTCAACTTAACTGGTAATTGATATTGTCCTATCATTTTCAAACTCATATTAAATCTGCTTATTTAAAAACAGGAAGAGGAAGGTTCTATCAGTTACCATGGTGTGGCTTACATCAACCTAGCCCCTCTGCTGTATCCTGGAGGTAAGTATCATGAAATCCCTATCCTATTTACTTCACAATAAGCCCAGGAGTCAAACATCATCTCTGATTCAAAGTCAACCTCATGTTACTTTATTTATATGCAAAAACACATTTCAGACTTTGGGTCATTAATTTGATCAGAGTACACAAATATCAGCTGATGGCAGTAAATGACCAACATTTTCAATACTGAAAACACACTTTGATAATTCTAACTATTTTTCACTTTTTTTTAGAATTGCCTTATTGACCATACATGTACTTTCTTGAAGATGTTTTCCAAGTCATTGTAAAATATTGTTATGGTACAATAAGTCTTGCTTTAAAAACTCATTTATTTAATATTGCAGTGAAGAGAATTCGAGGTGCTTATAGGGTGCATGCCTATACTGACCATGCTTTACATGAGAAGGTAAATGATTGGTCAATCAGAATTTTATAAGTTTAACACTAAATAATAGTTTTTCTTGATCATCCCATTTAGAGTTTCTTAGTCTCAAAAAATATCCGGTTTTTCATTTTCAGATAATATATACATGTATATTGATTAATGATTCAGAATTATATATCTAGATAAAAGATTATTATTTTGAAAACATAACTTTAGAAGTAGATGAAGTCAAGAAAATGTGTAGATTATTATTAAATAAATTCTCTTCCAACATTCGAAATATTTGAAGTGAAAGTCATATTTAAGATATTAAAATTTAAAAAAAAAATAAATAAAATATCTTTTTGAAACCTTAAAATGTTCAGACCAAGAGAAAGAATGGTTATGGTGAAGAGGCTGGAAGGATAGCATTTAACATCCTCAATCGTAACAGTGCTTCGCCTTTCCCAAAGAAAACAGGGAAAGAAAAGGATGAGAAAAAGGAAAAAGAAGTTAAGAAGGGGGTATGTACCTGTGATTTTACTTGTGAATAAATTTGTTTAAATATAATTTTCATATTCTAATCAAGTTCATTTATCTTTTAACAGGTGGTTATGTGGTCTTCTCTGTGTATTTCATTTTTCAATAATTTTCAAAAAATTAAATGCCAAGGAATTTTCAGATTTGATTGTTTTTTCATTATTTGGTTTAACTGTTTTTTATTGATTTTCGACAAGATCTAAATTTTGAAATATCAATTATTTATTCATTTATTCATTTTTCTGAATTAGGAAGAATATCAATGATTTGTATTTTTATTGTCAAAAGAATTGGAAATGTTCAATAGCTCGAGCTATCCAATGCACGCTTTCTCCCTTAATTACATTTAGGATAATTATTGCTACACATCCTCTGCACAGGAACTTCACTGCTGCTTGATGGAGTTAGTGTACATAGCAAGTATGAAGCTATTCAGTGCAACATTAAGAGCTTGTTAGAAAAAAACCCGAGGAACAATAAATGTTATACAGTAAATAAAATATTGTATGAACTATATGTAGTCTCACCTTTTTCTAATGCCCACCCTCTCCTATATTTTTTTCGGTACAAATAAAGTAACTTAATAGCAAGGTGATTTTTTTAATAATCATTGAAACCAAAGATGTGAAGCTGATAATTCTAGAACTGACTTTCTTGTTTTTTGATAATTTCTTGTGACAAATATGACGGAACTATGTGCATGGTATTTCAGCGTTCCAGTAGTGTAGCCCATCATGAGGTTGGTACTGGTAGGCGTGATTTAGGCGTGATGACCATGTGACAGTCATGTGACTGTCATGTGACACCCGTGTGACAATAGTAGTGTTAGTCTATGGAGAGTTTCCATGTGTTCAATGAATGGCATGATAGACAATCTATAAAAGCAACAGGATTGGACATTTTCAAGCCTTTATGTGATTTAGGTTTCATCAATATTTTTTTATTCTAATTTCTATTTCTTTTTCTAGTTCTCTGTTTATTTTGTTTTGCTGTTAACAGATTTTGAATATGAAATTTCCTATCATACTATCTTGTACATTATGTGTATCAGCTGCATTTAGGCAGGTTTCTTTGCCAATACAGTTTCACTTTTTGACTTCTTTGATCTTTGGTTTTTGTCCTCAGTTCTAATTTGTTTCTTTTTGTTTAGTGATAATATCCTGCCCTAGACATCCATAACTATTTCTTATTTTGTGTTTAAAAAACTTGATTTTGGTAGATATTGTTTTTGGTGTCGTGTTGATTTCAGTTTGGTCTTAATTTCTTAAATTTGCATGCATGTCCAGTGAAATGTGAAGATGTTTTTTTACCAGAGATAGATTTTTTACATTGGATAGAAATGACCCATCATTTTTTTTGAAAATATGGCATTGTGATTTCTATTTGCAAATCTTTTAAAATTCTTTTATTGATAGTTTATTATCAGTATTGGTAAATTATCAATGAAATGAAATTGAAGTTAAATTGATCATTTCTTTTTTTTGTTTGGTTTTTGTTTTGTGTTTTTGCAAACCTTTCTCGTTTCTCAGAGGACATATTACCCTCAATGTGAAAAAAACAGGTTTATTTGTTTTAAGATGTTGCCGATAGTTATCAGAAAAAGTGTGGTATTAAGGCATTATGTCAGGGTCATTATTGTTGAACCCATGTCTAAGGGGATTGATTGATTTTTCAGTGTTGAAATTGAAACTTTTCACAATGCACTGAAAGATTCAGGAAGATTTTCAGAGGATTCAAGAATGTTCCGACTAACAATCCTAAATTCTTGTTTTTTTTATTTGTAGTAATGTTCACATATCTTAAAAAAATAAATATAAATTAATTGTTTTGAACATTTAAAAGAAAGTCAGCATTTTAAATAATTCATCATTTACATCAATTGGACCCTTTCATTGAAAATATTGTCATAGAGGATGTATGCTGCCATTCATATGAATCATATGCTTTGCATCAGAGAAAATATTTAAATAATTGGACTAGCATCATCAAAATAATTTCTAAACAAGTGCAAACATCCTTGAGCAACATGCAGTTTTATCACTTAATTCATTCATTCATTCAAGCTGTTTTACATGTTTCAACTAGTGAAATTCTTTCAGAAAAGAAATTTTGTAAGCTAGGCAGCATACAACCTTAAGTAAAATTTCTTCAAATCCTCATTCAAATTGATCATGCACTGGATCCACTAATGCAAATCAAAATAATAACTTTGGCACTAGATGGTATGTATCGTTTTCCAGCGCTCCATGAGTATTGCATCACAGCATCACGGAGGTCATACACTCAATCCCCCAGAGGTCTGTCTATAACCTATAACTCCACACTAGTTTGACAGGGTGCTCACTTTTCTTATCAATAGACTGCTTTGTTAACGGTGTAAGGCATTTGAGTGATTCATTGGAGTGGACATATATACAACCGATATCTTTATACCTACAGGCATAAGCTTTGTTTTACTCTGCTTTGAAATGTATATATAAAGTTAACTTAGACATACTGTAGAAAGTTTTGAATTTTGTGAGCAGATTTTAATGTACAGATGAATTGAATATATTTTAGAAATATAGAATGAAAATTGACAAATATGTCTTTTGTTTTTCCATTGTTTTTTTTCTTTTCATATGATTTGGTTTTACTTTTTTACTCTGTGAAAAATGTAAATGAAGAATAATTCCCAGTTTTGAAAAAAAAAATCTTTTTCGGAAATTTTTAATGTTGTTTCCTGAATTATCCAAGGTAGAAATTGCTCACAAAAAGTTACTTAACTACAGTAACTTGTTTATTTAGACTAATATGCAAAGTGTCAGACAAAACAACAAAAAAAAAACAAAAACGAAAAAAAAAAAAAAAAATACAAAAGGAATTAAGATGATAATTTTTCATGTATTTGAGCTGTTCACTCATGAGTTTTCCATTTCACATTTCAATATCATAAATAATTCACTTTTTTCACAAAACATGCATTGAGATCTCATTACTTTGCTCTCAAATATACATATTTATATGATATCTGAAATATATTTTGGTGTTGGTGCACAAAGGGTGTAATAGTATCACTTTTAGTTTTGTTTGAAAATTATTAATCACAATTACCAGGTATTTTATTTGCTATTAGCAACATTGTCCAGGGCAGTTAAATGTTTGAAGAGCAAAAATTAACATTTTGCAAGAAAATGTAGACATATCACAGTGAAAAGATGCTTTTTTAAAAAAAATTCAAATATTTATAAACTCCGAAAGTACAATCTTAATGGGGGGAAAAAAAAAATGAAAAAAATTGGTTTGAATTCATCAATATCATAAAAATCAAATTTTTAAAATGAAAAATGTCATCCTTTCATTGTGAAGACTGACAGACCGTTGGTGTTGGATGGATTGTTAACTGAGTTGATTGTTACTTCTGGAAAACTTTAAAATTCAATGAAGTCAAAAGAAAAGTACCATTATGTTGATAATATTGGCACATTATGGCCATATGACAGTGAGCAGCTTTTGTTACCTCTCAAAATATGTCCTACAAAACAAATTTTCATTTCAAATTGGTGTGTAATACATTATTATGGTGATGGGATTTTTGAAGCCATAAATTGACAGGAGCATGCCTGGAATAGATCAGAAATGGTGACAGATGCATGGCGGATTATGTCTATTTAAGTTTTGCTATCCAAATGAAGCATAGAAATCTCTGTTTGCTGTAGAAGTATAATATTTAATCAAAATTTTACTTTTTTTATAAAACTATAATTGCATGTTACTAGTTTTTTTTATTAAGTTATATGTAGTTGGATTATGGTGAAAATATCATTATGAAGATTAATTCAGTCTAAAGGTTTTCATAAAGTGTTAATTCAATCATCATAAATTTTAGTTGCTGTTGTATAATTATTAAAATGCTTTTTTCCCCAACTTTTTATAGTAAATCTTTGATTAGCATGAATTGTTAAATTAATTTGTGTTATTTGTCAATAAATCAAAAGGAATCATGATTAATTTTGATGAAAAATTTGTATAAAACTTCATTTTTGAGGGATGGGGAGATGTAGAGGGGTCAGATATCATAGAATTATTAAACGTAATTGAGCATGGTTTATGAAAAATTATATATATAATCAAATTATCTAGATTTACAAGTATATTGTGACCATTTTCCAACAGGATTCCCCACACAATTTCACGGCTCCAGCGCCGAAGGTAAACCGAGTATTATAGTAACAGTTTAGGTCTGACAACCAGAGTAAGGTCACCAGAATATTTGTGTATCTCTCAATAGGCTCTAGGAAAAGGACAATTGAGTAGTTGAAACAGATCAACATTTTGTCAAGTCATAAAGCAGATTAAAACTATTTATCAGATCATTGCAAAATTATATGGAATATGTATAACCAAGTGCCTTCAAAAATCAAATAAATTGGTCTATTTTGACAGGATATCAAGATAGAGTGGGCTTATTTTGCAGATTTCAATAGAAATCAGAGCTATAGTTTATTTGATATGACAGCATGTCAGAATACTCAGGTGTCCAATTTGACAGATTCAAGTGTATACTTTATCAAGCAAACTAAATTATTATTCTACATTTGGTACAAATGAAGTATTCTGGTGACTAATACATATATTAAGATGCATGATTGATAGCAATCATCTTTACACTAAAATTATCTAAAAAAAATGTCTGTCATGCACGGAAACAACACAAAATTATAGAAGAATTGCCTTTTCTCTTTTTTTTTTCATTGTCCCTTGCTAGATGTCTATAGATCTGTTAAATTGCACAATACTAAAGATATCTTATGTACAAGCACTTCTCCATCCCAAAAACAACTTATTTTAAAAATTGCGTCTACTTTGCCTATCTGTGTAAAGTCCAAATCTTCCATGAAGAACTGTATCTTACTACAGTTCATCTGTTTAAAATTTTTACTTTTCATTTGTCAAATTTGTGAAGAAAAAATTTCACTGTAAAGATTGTCATATACTGTTTGAATGTAAATAGAAGGAAATTATATACCAACCAAATGGGTAATATCTCCATTATTCATCATATCTGTGAGGGCAAGGGGTTCTTATTTCATTAAGTGTATGGCGTTGTACTACTGGCATTTACAGTTAAAAATTAAGTTTTATTTTAGAAATCTTCTGATTTTAAATCTATCAGACTTGAATATCATTTTCAGTATTTATTTTTTGACTGTATGTCAGATAATTAACGTTACAAAATATATGTCAAAAATTAATTTGTGGAAGTCTTTGGGAGTTTTCCTGTAATGATATGTCAGGTTTATCTTGCCTGCAGGATCACAGTATAGGTGCTAAGTCAGAGATGGGATCTCATATGGTAAATAGCTGTCCAGTGGGGCCAATATGCTTCACTAACATTCCCTAACTTCAGAAAAGCTTCAGATTTCACATAGGAAATTACTTTTAAGACGTAGGAACATTTTCATTACTGAAGAAGTTTTCCGGCACTAAAATGCAAACAAATGCTTTTAAATGGAAAAACGTATGTTAAGGATTTTTCTGAAGTTAGAAATCGTTTGTGAAATGGTTTGATTTCCTGTAAAGTTTAGTTGGTTTGCCACCTCTCATAGCTTAAGAGGTCTGTTCCCAGATCGACCTGCCGTGACTACACTCATTATAGAGAATGTCAAAACTTTAGATGTATAACAGGCTGCACCAAACACCCGCTTTAGGTTTGCACTTTATAGTCGTAGATGTACCTAATGATACTTAAAATACAGGTAAGAGAGTAGTAGAATATCTGTTATATAGAGATAGCTGTAAATCAGTATTAGATTCTATTTCTAGAAAAAAAAAAATTTAAAAAGTTGTTCATAATGTCAGACTCTCATGTATTGACTTGATTTTTCTTCTTCTTGATTATTAAATTCTATTTTGATGTTTTTGTTTGTAGGTTTAAAAAAATAATTCCGTTATGAAAGTTCAGTTGTATGTTTTCACAAAATTGTATGTGTATTGACAAATTAATTGAAGCGATTTGAAAACAACACAAATGTTGATAACAGCAATGATGAAAACAATTCTGTTCTATTTTGGTTAAGTGTTCTGTGTGATAGAAATGGTAGATGATGTAGATATTTATTTGTGTGATTTCTGTAGGATTTCTTCAATTTGATCTGTCATAATTGCCATAACATATTGGGTGTTTATTAGTATTTTTAAACAATTTAAAATGGAGTAAATTACGGTATGTAACACGCTTTGAGATGCTTTTTAATACATTTGATTCAATTCTAGAGAATGCCTTTTAATGAAATAGTTTACATTCGGTTTTTATGATAGGCAAACAAGTATACAGATCAATTATAATACTTTTACTTTGTAAAATTACCATACAACAATTTTGCTCCAATATTTACTCTACAAACAAAGTAACTAAAATTTGAAAATACTATTTTTTATTAATACATATGCCATCACATATAAATTTGTGATGAATGTATGAAAAATAGATACAAAAAAATGATAATTTAACAAATTGATTGAAATAACTAAAGTTGAAAAAAGGTGATAATTAAGAGAAACTGAAAGATGTAAAAGTGTAATTTGATTAGTAGTGTTTTTTCTCCAAAAAGAGTAATGCCTTGTATTTTTTGTTATCAACTGAACTGCATGGTCAGATGTACAGTGTAGATGTTATGTTCTACTTGAGTGGTAGACTGTGTGGTGTGGTAGATGAGTGGGTCTGTTGACTGTGAAATGTGTGATAATTAGACTCCAAATACAAGAAATCTTGTCTACAAGAGATTTAAATGAAATATCATAGCATTCCTATTTTTATGAGTTATAACAAATTTTGAAATTGTAAAATATTCATTTTGTACAAATATTTCTATATAAGATGTTTATTCAAATAAATTCATTCCACTTCTTTGTTTAAATCCAAGTTTTTGATAAATCACAATAATACTGGTATTTTAGAAGAACTTATAAAAATATAAATCTGACAATGATCAGTAATGGCACTGATAATTTAAAACATGGTGTTCAAAATTGTTTGTTCCTCAAAATTTACCAGATAATACCTAAGCATTCAAAAAATTGTTCTTTTTTCCAGAAATTATAACAGATTTCTTCCAAATAGAAAAAAAAACACAATTTATTGTAAATTCTCATTACTGGTACATATACACTAAGACCTGGAATAATTTGTATTTAATGAATCATCGTTTTTAGACGAGTATTGTGTGTGTAATATATATAATAAAATGTGTACTTATTTATATTTTTGACACTAGTGGTATGAACAGTATAACCATATGATTTGAATATTGACATATACATATCATATTTATGTTTTTCGTTGAGTTATAATCACAAAATATATGTAATCACATACTTTATACTGTACCCAGGTATACCAGAGAACATAATCATATTATCTTATATACATGTATATTTGTAAACAAAATTATCACGTTCATATGTATCAGCACCTACAAAACATTTTTTGATGAAAAATTCTATACAATATTAATATCTTCAATGTTTTTAGATCACATTTCACATAATCAACATCGCATTGTTGAAAGAAAAAATTTATGAAAACTTTACATATAGTGATAGCAAGATCAACTTTATCATTGATGCACAATAAAATTCTGCACAAGAATGAAACACAATTTCACTGCATGTATTAATGTTGTTAATTTCCTTACAGTGATGTTTGTTTGTTTTTAATATCTATCTAACTTGTTGTTGATTGTGATAAAGCATCATCTGTAACTACTAGAATATGAAAATAGGGCCAGGGAAATTTCCGTAAAGCTTCTGAAGCTGACATGGAGATCTCCAACCTCTGTTGCAATGTTTCTTTTGTGGCGCTATACAATATCTCTGTATGTTTTAGGCTTCTCAGACAATCAAGTCAGACACTGGATCTGAGGTGGACGGCCAAGCACCTGTCAATGTAGAAGGTCAGCAGTATGTAGATTCCAAGTCCTACATCACACTGGAAATCTCTCTGACCAGTCCCCTTATCCCGAAACGTCCCCCAGAGGAGCTCGCCAGACGGTCAGTATATGATATTGTGTATTGTTTATGAACAGCAGAAGATATATTGTATTTGATAATGTTAATGTCAAGCATTGAAAAACTGATTTGTCTAAGATAAGATAAAAATAAATGACATTTCTAGAACATTCATCCATTATTGAATCAAGAGGGCCAAAACATTCTTTAACTGGTGGGCTTGTTACAGGACAATGAAGTAATATTTATATTAGTATTTCTGTGCAACAAAAATACTTGTGAGTGGGCTTGTTTCAAGGAAAGGGCTTATTGCATTTCGAACATGGTATTGCATGATGATATTGATAAGTTTATTGAAAAAAATATTTCTTAAACCAAACAATCCTACACATTCATCATTTTTAAATGTCTAAAAAAACCTTCAGATGTCTCTTTATTGTTACATATAGAGGGAAAAAAATAAATAAACAAGTATACAAACAAAGAAAAAGGCGGAAGGATTTGTACTTCTGGGTGTTTATCAATATACAGATGGGTCTGTAACTAAACATTAAACATTCATCTTACAGAGTGGCAGAATACATCCCACCCAGACCACTGTTTCCCAAGCGCACTGATGGAGCACAGAGGGTAAGATCTTGTATTCTTTTTGTTGATATAATATTTAGCAGAGTCCTCTTCCTGTAGTTTTGATGATGTTTTTTTCTTCATTTTTTCGTTTTCTTTTAAACTGTATTTATTTTTCTTAAAAGATTGCAAAAGAATAAGTGCACTAATACAATGAAGGATTTCCAATCAGTTTATGATCCACTAGAAATGATATACCAAGTATCTAGGTATTCAAGGACATGACAAACTCAAACTTATACATTACGGTAAATAGATTGGCTATGAAGTATCAAAATTTTCTACTTGAAATTTCAGTCAGTGGAAGACTTCCATAACCAAGTTGCCAGTGTAGCTAACCTGATTTTGGATGAATTCAGGTAAGAATGAAAACAAAAAAAAATTTGGGGGTTAAAATGGGAAGTATACAAAACATATTTTTTGCCTGATTCTTTGCATGATTCCAAAATGAGTTTTAAATTTCTTGGGAAGATGATATATTAATGTTGAACATTTCTTAACACAGGGATCAGTTTGGTGATGAACTGAAGTTAGATGAACCTGTAGAGTCTAACGACAGCATGGAGACCAGGTAAGAGCCACTATAGATTTTCTTCATTAATTATCTTCCCTAATTACAAATTGTCAAATGGTCATATTTTTGTTATAAAAAGTTATCTGGATTTAAGAATAACCAGTAGATATTTCAATTTTCAAGGTATGTTTCTTGTCAAAAAATTTTAAATAAAATTTACGTTATCAAAGATCAAATAACAAACAAACAATATTTTGTGGATAAACCTGACTGTCATATATATTACAAGAAAAATGCAGTTTTGAGGATATCGCCCTGATGCAATGTATCTGGCATTCCTCTTACATGACATGTGATCAGTAATTGATTAGCAGGTCAAAAACATGCATTCCATTAACCATTCCTGGAATTTCTAATCATTGTAATCCAAGTATCAATCATGGAGCATTAATCAGTGCAGTTTAATAGACAAACCAACTATCAATTAATAATTGATCATAAACAGGTAAATTGAAATTATACCAGCTTATTTACCTATTTTCCATAGTGAGATCCACTGTCATCCAACAAATTACTGATCCTGGTAACAGACATCATATAGATATGTAGATATCATATGTAGATATCATATTAAACCTAAAACAAACCTTAAATATACTGTGAGTCCACTGTAGAACATCATCGCTACAGTAACTCAAATCACTTGCGCAAACAGCTTCCTTTCACATACAGCAGTTTCCATCAGCTTAAGTGAATCCTGCAGGTTCCTAAATGTCCCAAAACATGTATAAACCTATAGTCTGCAACTTATATTGTCCTGTGAACACTCCATGATGGCAGGCCTGAAAGAACAAGAGGCCCATAGGTGTATCACTCACCTAGCTTTATTTGGCTGAAGTCGCTTCATCTAAACTAAAAGAAATAAAAATCTAAATTTCTAACCACACAATACACACTACATTTCCCCATGAAGCCCTGCCCTTCTGTCAGGGAGTTAGCCAAACAATTCATGCTTCATACCAAATTGGGACAGAATCCAATCATTCCTTTGGGAGAAGTCTGATTTTAAAGAATTGGCTCTATTTCCCCTTTTTGGCCTTGCCTCTCCCACCCCTGGAACCAGAGACCCCAGTTTATACAAAATTGAGTCCTCTTCACCAAAGAATGCTTCAGACCAAATTTGGCCAAAATCCAATCATCCCTATGGGAGGAGTAGGATTTTAAAGAATTTACTCTATCTCCCTTATTGGGCTCTGCCCCCTCTGACTCCAGAAGACTGAGACCCACAGTTTATACAAAATTGAGTCCCCTTTACCAAAGAATTCTTCAAACCACTCTCCCATTATATTATGGTTGCACATGCAGCTACCATTTGCTTTGCTTCGATGTGATGTTCGATAATGGGAGTTATGCTTTGTTACATGATAAATCATATTTCCATGGCAACCATTTTGTATCGAAACAGGAGACAGAAACTGATCTATGAGCTGAACTCGTCTGGGAAGTACTTTGCCTTTAAGGAGCAGCTGAAGCATGCTGTGGTGAAGATTGTGAGAGAGAAGTATCTAAAGACCACCACCTTCGATAACAGACAGGAACTCCAGGTAAAGTGCAAGAATGAAACCTCAGTACCAAACTTTTGAATAATTTTTTTAGTAAAATTACAGCGTAAATTATTTTCAGTCCTTGAAACACTGAAATTTGAAATAAAATAGAAATCCTCAACTTCAGATATATTATAGGTCATAAATTGAATACAAAAACATCTGAGTATGTTCTGATATATTCTGAAATAATTAATAATCATAATATGAATTAATCTCAATTATAAAACCTTTATCCAAAAACAAAATTTCAGATTAAAAGATAGATACATTGTATGTGTTGAATCTTCTAACTGTTTTTTTGCTGTTCCTTTATTTTAGACCTTCCTGAGCGAGCTGTATGTCTACCTGATAGACCAGATGCATGTTGCTTTGGGCAGAAGCTTGGCCCTTGAGGACCAACCACCTGTGCCCACTCCTCTTACAGACTCTGCTCAACTCAAGCACTTTGCCCGTGAGGCAGAGGTCAATGAGAACTTTGAACTGGCTACTAAGTACTACCAAGAAGTGAGTTATCATAGCAACAGATTAAGATTTTTTGTATTTGTATCAACATCCGGATTTCGTATTTTTCACTCAGTGTCTATAGCAACAGGGTAAAAATTTTAGTAACCATAGCAACAATGTCAAAATTTTAGTATCCAAAATAACTATGTGACTCAATGAGATCTCAATGAAGTAAAAAAAAAAAAAAAAAAATGTTGAATCAGAGATTAATATCTTGTAGCATATAATTTGACTAGTATACCTGGTTTATCAAGAATCAGTAGTTGTTTTATTATTATTATTATTTTTTCTATCAAACTATTTCCATATTTCTTCAGAGAATTGCCCGCAACAAGAATGATCCTACCAATTGGTTTGAGTATGGCACATTCTGTCTGTACATCAACGACATCACAAAAGCTGAGGAATGCTTTAAGGAGTGTATCGCCATTGACCAGAAACACCTGCAGGGACTGCTGCTGTATGGCGTTGTGTGTACTTTGTTGGAGAAACACGAAGCCGCCGAGACATTCTTTGAAGCAGCAACATGTGTTGATCCTCGTAGCATCCTCGCCTGGACCATGCTAGGTAGGGAATTACTTGGGGAGACTTGAATTAATAGTTTTTTACAGATTCATCAAGATATTTTTCACTGTCTGATTCAAGATACAAGTTCCCAGATTATTTTTTGCTCCATTTATTTCCATCTTGATAAATCAGTTGTGGATACGATCAAACTGATATTCAGCATTGCATGTCCTTACTACATAATGAAGAAAAACATCATTGAGTCACTTAAATTACAAAGACAACTCTAAAAAAATACTTCCAAAGGAATTTGATTTGAAAATGAATTCTGGAAAATTTTGTTTTCAAGGTTTGTTTTATGACACGGTGAACAATGAGATTGGGGCAGAAATGGCATACATTGAAGCAAACAAGCTGAATCAGGCGGCTGCCTGGTCCTCTGTCCGACAACAGAGGGAGGAAGAGATGGCTAAAGAAAAGAAGGATATGGACGTTACTGGGGAAGGTATGGCTTATATAAGATTAAGTTTATGTTATAGAGACATCTTTCCAGTTTGAATCTTGGTTATTGTGACGTTTTGTATTATCTGGCATGGATCTATAACATCCCTATTTTGTATTATATGGTATACAAACAATGTTTCTGACGATCTGTTCAAATTAACTGATATGTTAGGTCTCCTAAGGTGTCATATTAGACAGGCTTATAATGTAATGCATGTGAAATCAATGTCTGTCAGGTTATTAGCAATATGGGCATTTTCAAAAGATTAAAGGCCAAAATCATTTGGTAGAGTGTTTCACAGTATCTGGTGATACCTTACTGAGATATATATTGTAAATCCACCCGAGACCTAGTTGCATGTTAAATGTTGAATACACTTTATATTCACTGGCTTAAATTGCATTTTTTTGTGAATCACATTTACTTTTTCATTTCATCACTGAAACGTTTTAAATAATATTTTTATATGCAAGTCTAGAGTCTGACTTTTTTTCAGAAATGCCATGAGAAATATTACATTTGACTGTACTAATCATTTGTTTAAAAACAATAATAATCTGACCCTGTATTCTTCTAAACTTGAGTTACATCTATTTATTGCATTATTTTGATTATCGAATCCACACCCATTTAAAACTTAATATCATTTTGTGTACAATCAAAATATGGTAAATTTTTGTTTTTCCTTCAAGTAATCCCGCAGAAGCTTATTCATGATTACTGGACTTCTTACCCGAAAATTTTTTCTCAATCCAATTTTTGACATGCATTAATCGGTTTTACTATGTATTTGGAGTTATGAAGGACAAACTCTGCATTAGTTTTACTATGTATTTAGTGTTTTAAAGAAGAAACTCTTTGGCATCCATTGCTGACCCATTTTTCAGAACTTGAGGCCCCACCTCCTGGGGACCAAGGAGGACTGGCTCCTCCCACAGCTGTTGCATCAGACACCAAACAGCCATCCCCACCCTCGAGTGAGAAGCCTCCAACCTCTGCCAGGTCTGGAGGTGGTCGTTCGATGTCTGACAGGAGACAGTCTGCCACACGAAGATCAGGTACTGTTCAGTTATTGGTGATTCTGTTGGATAATTATTTACTCAGATCCACACATCTCTGCAATGTTAGTGATAAATCTAAGATCTTTTGATTCATACAGCTGGAAAATGAAAGCCAATGTTTTACCTATGCATACCTCGACAAGAGATTTTTTTTTTTTTTTTTTTTATATTTCACAGATTTTGTAAATGAAGGACAAAACACTGTAGGAAAACACAGCTTGTTGATTATCTTGTTAATCATTTTTATGTTCCATGTAGTGTAAGGGTTTTATCTAAAATGGTTCCCATATTTGTAACTCATCACTGACTTAGATGATGGAAACATCTAAAACAAAAGCTGAAATTTCATTGAATTTCTATTTTGGATTATGATTAAATTTTGAAAACCGTGAAACATATAAACAAAAGAAAACAATTAAATATCCATATTTAACTGATTTTTTATCACACTTTAATGTTCTTAGTGAATGGTTAGAGAAATAATGATTTATTTTTTATATATCAGAATAAATGACAGAAATTAAATCACAATTTTGATTGTTTCCCCATTATCAGGAGCATCAAAGCTCCATGGATTGGATAAATCAAAGAATCAATAATTGCATTTAAAATTAATTCAAGCGAAACAATAAAAGACAGTATATATAAATTTAACCCTTTTTTTGGTTAACCCCCAGTTAAGCCCAAGAGTAAGTATAGAGACCCAGCTGCACTCTTTTATTTATGGGCAAGCGACATTTTCACAACAGAATGGTGACAACAACCTTTTGCTTATTTTGAATGTCAACTGCATGCTTCATATGGGCACATCAATCTGCAGGTGTATCAAAATATGTTTTGCACTTTTTTTGTGAATATTTTTTTTACAGGCAGTATTTCATTTACCCTTCTGATGTTTGCTATGAACCCTTCAGGTTTTTAGAAGAAGTTATCTCTAGTGAAGGACTAAATAATAATTATAAAGAGGCAACCTTAGACTACAAAATGTGTTTCGTTAATTAATACTGGAAGTTGTGTTACGAAAAGTACTGGTTCTTTGAAACAACAACAGTTTCATTGAATTAAAAAAAAACAAAAAAATGACTATACAGTGAGCTCCTTCATAAAAGAATTGATTAAAAATGAAATTCAAAAAGAATTAGTTTTTCTTCTTTTCAATATATATATACACATAAATTGTCTTTGGACTCATTGGCAAAAGTTCAGGGATGTCATATATATAATATATGTACAATGAAAGTATTTTCATATAGTTGTTGAAAAAGTAAAGTCAGGGCATACAAAATATAAGTTAATAGGGGGAAAATAATAATAAAATATCATTAATGTTGATTTTTTTTTCCCCTCATCATTAACAGTTTGCATTAATCATGAAATTGGAAGTTTTCTGTTGTTGATAAAATTATGATAAGGAAAAAAAAAAAAAAAACCCACTTTCCTGAAAAGAAAAGCTATCGCAACAAAAACAAAACTCTGAGTTTTCATTTTTCTGTGTAGTTTTGGTTTGATTTCAGGGGGAGTTAAAGTTACCATTCCACTACAGAAGTATAGCACAGATTTTGATGACATGTACTCTTGGCATATTAATGGTGCAATGTAATACTTGTTTAAAATGTTTACAAATCAGAGTTTTCATGTGTATGATATGGTATTAGTGAAAAGGCTCAGAAATGTGTGACTATGTTTAACTTATGTTATCTGTAGAACCTCACCTACACCCTGACAATTCCGGCACAGGTACAGTACACACGTGTGAGGTAGAACTGCATGTACTGCTGTTACAGTGTTTGGAGTTTTGTGTGAGGCTGAGACTCACAATACCCCATCCCCAATCTTTCTATCTATGATCACGCACACGTCGGACAACAAATTCTGCATGTATCCAGATCGCATTGTTTGTTTACATATCCCTGTATCATGTACAGATTTATAAGTGTTTGGTTGATTACATTTTCCAATACCACCAATATATTATTTTTCTCCTATTTTCTATTCCCAGTGAAATTTCAAATCTTACTTTTAAACCCCATGTCATATATCAAAATTAATCCATTCAACTTTTGAAATAATGAAACAAACTATATGTTTATTATTATCATGCTTATTAAATAAATATTATTTCATATTCCATAAATTTATTACCTACATATGTATGACAAGAGGCCGTAAAGTTTACTTACATGATAAAGAATATTATCCATAAAGGTTCTGTAAGGACTTTGAATGTGTATCTAAATCATGTTAGACAGTTTGCTATACATATATTTTTATCCTTTGAAGTAACAGTTATTAGAGAAAGACTTTTAGTTGCATGAAAAATCTGTAAATATAACATGTAATTCATAATCTTATTCTGCTTGTCTTTAAGAGATTTAAATCTATCTGATATCAAATACCATTAAACTACTTTAAAATTATAAAATCTGCTAGCTAAGGTGGTAAACTCTTGTGAGAGTAGAGAAATGTAATTTAATATTTTACATGTACTGTGTTTTCAAAGATATATTACCATACATCACCTCCACATTGCTGTTCATTGAATTGTTATTGCCATTTCATTCATTGAATCGTTATTGCCATTTCATTATCATATGCATTGCATAAACTCTTTGCCATCGACACTTTCTATAATCACTCAATTAACCTGCTATGGATTTGGTAACTACTGACACCAGGTGAATTTGTTGAATTTTAACTAAACAATTTGTAACAGGAGAAGAAAAAATTGAATGAGAAATTCCAACTAACCAAGTCCCCAAGTGTTTGAAGGAGATTTTTGTTGTTGAAATAACTGTGTTTTTGTAGGAGTAAGTTATTCATGTTCAAGTAGTCCACACAGAATTGGTGATTGTTAGAATTTAATGAGTATGCGGAATTGATTTTGTGCTTTTTTCACCAAACACAAAGAAAGCGAATGTTCCCTTTTTTCAAACCGTATCATTTTCAGAATAACACTTTGAATACATAAGGTGTTTCAGACTTAAATACCATGAAATACAGGAGTATTATGTTGGAAACAAAATCTTTTAGTACAAGTGTGATAATCAAAGTAAATGGCATATAGTACATTCTTGGTGCCTGTGTATAACTAGATAAGAGTTATGTATCTATATACAATTGTATGTATCTTTTTAAAATTTTAACAACATTTTATTTCAATGTATATAATATATAAATAGAAAATAACATTATATATTCTATTTATTTTCAAAATAATGACACAAAGTGCATATTATATCTTAATAGGTAACGGAACACTAAAACTTCAATTTCTGGAAATATCTATATTTTCAGCGGGTTTTCTTTATATGGACTTCCTAGATATTTAGCTGATGACATAAGATATATTGTACGTTTTCCCCATATTAAATTTTCCCTAAAATTGATAAGTGTGTTAGAGTCTTTTTTTTTCGATGAGAGAAAAGTACAAGAAACCCTAAAAAAAAAATAAAGATATTTTCATGCATATCACAGTATATTTATGGATGAATTAAAGAAAAAGAAATAAGCTAGCCTAACTGAACATGTTGTGCATTTTACTTTTTATTAGGGAGCAAACTAAAGAGTGACAGTAGCATGTCACGTCCTGGAAGTCAACTGAAGCTTGGTAGTCAAAGAGGTACACCACAGCCTGCTGATGACACCCAAGAGGAACCACCCCCAAGGGAGCCCACTCCCATCCCTAAGTCCAGTGTGTACATGCAGGCCATTGATTGGTTGCTTGAGGTCAAGGCAGTACCTGTAAGTCATATGCCATTATTCAACATTTAATCAGCCAATATGCTACAAATATCAGATAGAAAATTTAAGTGAAGATAAATAGATACAAAATGTTAAGATTTTCAAATAGAATACCTAAATAATGTTTGTTTAATATACATTTTTATTGCTTACAGTTCACAGAGAGGGCTTTAGCCCATGAGCTGTTAACACCCACAGGTGGCCCAACCTCTAGCTACCATATCTGTTATGCTCGTCTCAAACTACAGAAGAAGGAGTTCAGCGATGCAGAGGAGAGCCTCACTGAAGCACTTCAGTTTGACCATCAGGTATGTTGGAGAAATCAGGATAACTAAATACTGTAAAAACTGAACTTACTTCAGGAATCTTCCGATTTTACCTAAATCATTTCACAATAGGCCCATGTTCGGTGATAAACCCACCCATGTTTATGTCTGTTATGTATTTCACTGGCCTGTAGACTACTCCTCAACATTGAGTTAGAGACGTGGTTAAGCTCCCTGGGCATATTGCAGGATATAAAATGTCTTACACTGAAATGCATTTGATCTTTATGCTCAGCTGAATCTATTCCTACACTAGTTCATAAACATACATATTATCATATTAGGATAAGATTTTGTTAAGAAAAAAAAAAAAAAAAATGAAATAGAGAGAGGAAAATGGAAAATAGAGATGTTCCTCTATAGATATTATTATTACATTGAAAACAACCAATAAAAATACCAAAAATAATTGTAGTTATCTTATGAATAACTAACTGTTGAATTTTTTTCTATTGCAGAACCCTGATGCCTGGGCATTGTTAGGTCATGTAAAATATATGACAGGAGACACAACCAATGCAAGGGACTGTTATGAACGCACCATATCCTTTGTGTCAGATGCTTCAGAAATGCATTCGATCTACCTACGTCTGGCATCCATATACTTACAGGATCGCAAGGTAAATATCTTCAGTTTTCTCAATACGATAAGCAAGAATATTTCACAGACAGAAGCTGGAGCTTGTCTCTTCAAAGACTTCCTCCTGGAAAACTGTCAGTTTCCCTGCCTACAGAACCTTCTTATGCTCAGTACACCAGAGCAGAAGTCTTGAAATATCCATCAGTTTTCTGCATAATTGGGAATATATGAATCAGTTGTGTTACTTATTTTAGTTGAACAAATTAATTTCTGTTTCAGTTTGAAGATGCCAAAAATACATTCCTGCTGGCATGTAAGAGGTCTCCTTCCTGTGTGTCCTGGTTAGGTGTCGGTATAGCCTGCTACAGGGTAAGTTTTCATCAGTCTTGTACCAGTATTACGTAACATAGACTAGTTGTCACCAAACACTTATTCCTACCGACCTGCCTTTCTCAAAATGCAGAAACTGTTTCCATCTTCAGTCCTAACTTAAATTGGATACATTTTTTTTTTCAATTTTGAGTTAAACTGTATCCAAAATGAGACAGCTCGATCCAGAACCATGGCAGGATATTGGTTCCCTTTTAGAGCTATTTAAAGTACAAACATCCTTCATTGATTTTTTAAAAAAAGTATTTGGCTTCAGTCAATGACTATTTTTGATGATACTACATATGATCTTTTGGCATTCGTCTTTGCAGCTGGATGAACTCTCAGAGGCGGAGGATGCTCTGTCAGAGGCAAATATCCTAAACAACACTGACCCAGAGGTGTGGGCTTACCTTTCATTGGTTTGTCTCAAGACTGGACGCCAACTAGAGGCAGAACAGGCTTACAAATATGCTCTGAAGGTAAGGAATATTTGTCATCATATTGGGGCAACTCCCTTGCTTTCACCAAACAGATTTTATTGGAATCTTTTCAAGTTGCCTATTTTTTTTCTCTCTTAAACTCAACTTCTTTTCTATATCCTGTTCAGTTTTCAGAGTCTGTAATTATCTTTGCTTTCTTTCAGGTAAATCTGCAAGATCAGGAACTACTGACTGAGATACAGGAGGTACAACAAGCAGTGGGATTTGGCAATCCAGAATTTTAAAATCAATAGACTCTTATGAATATTTATATGAACTACAATCCTTTATAATCTATTTTTAAACTACTGTGCTACCCTAAAAGCAAGGTCAAAATCACAAGAAGAACTGAAGAGGATTACAAAAGGTGATGGGAATACTATTGAGTATCAAAGGATTTAAATCATATTAAAAAAACAAAGCAGGATATATATATCAAATCAAATATCATGCAGAACAATTGGGAAAGGGGAAGATATTTTTCCTGGTGTTTGCAGAATTACACATTTGATGGGTGAGAATTTTATATGTTGCTATGGAACAATTCAGCAAAAACAAATTACAAACATGACATAAATTGAATAATTTAATAGGATAACTGATGAAAAATTTGCATCTATTGAAGACAAATTAAAACATGTAGCTACTGTATACACTTGTATTTCATACATTAATTTGTAAATGATTTGATGATGCTTTGTTATATTCTGTAACAGCATTAGTGTATTAAAACCAATCTTCTATCAAATATTTTATGAGTTTTCACTCTCTAGAATCATTTCATAATGCATACTATTTTTGCAGTTTTAAATCTAGCACCTATATGAATTCCAATGTTTGAAAAATATCGAACAAACCATTAAAACAAAAACATACACACAAAAAACCCAATCAATCCACAAAACCCTGACTCAGACAGGGATCATTCAAATACACTGGCTTAGGCAGCTTACTGTGTCCCAGATTCCAAATGTCAGAGACATATAACTTCATCAATATAGGAGGGACATCATATGATTATCAGCTTATTTCTTGTCTAATTCCTAAGACTTCAGATGTCGGGAGACGTGGACCATCCTAAACATGGTGTGAATGACATACTTTTGTTGACATAAACAATTTATCCCAGATCCAAGATGTTAAAGATATGGACCACCATTAACCTGGACAGCATTACATACTACCATTTGTTAAGGCAATTTATCCTTGATTCAGGATGTCAGAGGCTTAAATGGTCATGAACCTGGAGGGCACCACATGTTTCCATTGGTATCTGGCAGCTCTTTGTAAGCAATATCCCAGATCCATGGTTTGTCTGATAAGGGGAAAAAAAAAATTTAAAACAACACTGATAAAAACATTCAAGAAATTATGTTATCAATTATATCTTAATAAGTCCTGACATAGAAATGACAGTGATTATCTTTTAAGGTGACAAAGATTAGAATGATTTTTACTATTGACTCTGTATACCATATATCCAGCATCATCACATGACAGATTTTATTAATAGAAGCAAATCATTTTAGTAATTTAATCTTTGCTCCTAAATTTTCTTTCCATCATAGTGAATTATATTTAATCTACTGACCTGCCTTACTGTAAGGTGTCACAGGCAGATCGTAAGGTAATGGAAATACTCCATCAATACTGTCAACATCGCTTGAAGTCTTGAATATCCCTTTCTTTTCCTATTGCAACAAAAATGGTGATCGGTGATGAATTTTAGAAGAAAATTTTTTCATATAACAAATTTTCTATTGCTATTGCTTTTTAATTCAGTAAATCAGCTGCACTTATTCTGATATTTTTTTGTTAATTACAATTTTCCAATAATTCTCATGCAAAAAATTTATTAGAGTATAAGATAAATGTTGTTATACAATATGTTGTGAAACTAAAGCTATTCTGCTTTAAAGAAGAACAAAATCTAGATATCGGAATGTACACATTTATCTCTGGTGGGGAACTGACCGACTCAAAATAACTGGCACTACAGCCATGAATAAAGCTTACACAGAATAGATTACAACTCTGCAGGCATCAAGACACTGAATCTAAACATTTTATCTCGGACTACCTTTAGACACTCTCTGACATGGTGTGTAAGAAGGGCTTCAACTTACAAAGAATTTTGGTATGAAGAGGACCCCTAACTCGTAGGACCGTATCATCAGCTGACTTCCTTTCTTTTCCATTGCTCCCCAAGCTGCCTTGGACAAGTTCGCACTGTGTAACATAAACCACATATTTGAAATTTTATCATCTCCTAGTCTACAGGATCATGAAATGAGAGGTGAGGAGGAATTCACAAGGGATACTCCCTACCAGAGGAAACGTGAAGAGTTTCTGGCCAATGCAACGTACATCTAGCTACAGGTTAGAAAAATTGCTGCAATGTAATCTTTATTTACTAAAAAAATACTATATAGTTGTAACACACCTCGTTACCAGGAACCATGCCAACTCCTTCCCCGATGGTGATGATCGTCCATATGTCTTGATGTGAGGCATGGCTCTACTCCTGCCACGACCATCAGACTTCCATCGGCTGTGTACACAAAAGACAGAAATTAATCATACAGCAATTATTTTAGTTAAGATGTCAACATTGTTCCCTTCAAATAATGCAACAAGTTCCAAGAAAATAGCAATATATTTCATCTTAACAAATTTTGGCTCTCATCAAATACTTGATCTGCAAACAGATATTTCTGTTCAAGTCTGAATGTGGGCACTTGCAAAGACATATTTTATGATTAAATCCAAATGTATGTCTTAGATATCGATGCCTAATCATTGCCTTAAGGAGCACCTTGAAGTATGCAAACTTACTTTAGGAATGTATGAAGATATGGCTGTTTGCGAGCCACATGAATACTGTAGGGAATTGAGCCTCCAGCTGGATATCCCTCCAAACTGGTTCGAACGTTATCTTTGGTTGGAAATATCTGAAGTTAAAACAGGACTTTTCATACATCAAAATTTGTTTCTGTAAAGATAAACTTTGTCTCTGGAAAATAAAATTGTCAAAATCAGTTGGTTTTTTAATAGAATGCATTCAAGTTTTGACTGCTGAAGGGTAAAAAAAGATTATTCTTAAACCAAACTTTCAAACAAAATTTGCAGAAGAATACCTTAAAATCATAAACCATGTTATATGCCACCATTTACCAATATTTTTTTTCCGCTAACTCTTTGGAAATTTTAACTTTGTACAGTAACACTATGCAAAAACATCTCTAAAGAAAATATCCCAAAAGAACACTTTACCAGCTGTAGTGGTATGGTCATCAACGGTACTGAACTGGTTCCCCGGACCGTGGCCAGAGATTGGAACCATTCCGTACTAAGCCATGTCTCCTTCGACGGTCCTAACGTCCCAACACTGGAGTACTGACCAATGACTGGCCAGGTCTTCACCAGCTCCTTCTCGGGACCATGGTCATGGAGCAGACGGCGTAACCTCATGTGACCAAAGCGACTCTTTCTGTCACCAGCATGTCTGCCTGGACACGAACCAACAATAAATACTCTGGAAGGTAAAAAATCTTCTGGAATTTTCAAATGATAGATTACAGAAATCATGATAAAGACATATTTTGGTAATTAAAAAAGCATAAGTAAATCATATACTGATTCTGAACCCATACTTTTTACACAATATGAATTAATATTCTTGCAAGTAAAAAAAAAAAAAAAAAAAACAGATTCCAGTAAATCATATTTATCACAAAATGAGGTATTATACCAGATTATCCAAAGAATGAATTGCCCCCATATTGAAATAATGCATTGACAATTTATGAGTGACTACCTAGTGCAGAATACAGTCCAAATTTGTTATCTTGAAGTGGGCAGGACCCAGATAAAATTCAAATCATCAGAGTGATCGAATTAAGTGAGCTAGAATGTTTGGGTTAAATTTGAAAGGGACCATGGAAATACTTCATGTTATAGTAAACTTTTGGTCAGTCCACAGAAAATAAAATAACTATTGTTGATGTTGTTTGAATTAAACAAAATTATGCTTGTGAAATATCGGTCAACAATGTCTAAAGTCAGGACGATGTGCTTAAAAAAAGCAAGGCAGGAAACTACCGATCAGTAAAGTCATTTTCTGAAATAAAATATGCCAATTATTATATAATTCTCTTTTGAAACACTTTCTTCACTGAAAATTTATTTTAATGTTAAGAAAGTATAGGTTGTCTTTTGTTCTACATGGCTTTTGTTCTACATCACCTTGGATATCACGACGAAGAAACCATGTTAAATGTAGCCCGAGATGTGAAGTGAAACACTGTTGCTTTTTGACAATACACATGCCGACATCCTGTGGTCAGTATATACCGCTCACTTGTAATGCATATACAGAGTTGGGGCCAGCTGGCACAAGCATGGTATTGATGGCAAGGTATGAAAGAAATCACACTAAGTCAAAGCTAAATAAGTGACATGTAAGTGAATATTTTGGTGTTACCATGTGCTTACAATGGTCATTTACAGCTCGCTATCCACAATGTTCAACGTTGGTATGAATAGAGACCACATGGAGCGAATATTGCAATGCTAACATCTTTATCAATAGTTATATGTGCAGTCTCACAATAGGCGTCTGTTCAAACAAATTGATTTGTCAGTGAAACAAGACTAGAGAAATTTCACAACAGCTATATTCAGTTTTCTTTTGTTATCTGACACTGACCTAGCAGATGACATGTCATGACAGGAGATATGATCCTTCCAGTCCTTCAGCTGGTAAGCCTGGTATGCACCAACATACTCCAGCAAATCTCGTTTGAACCCTGTCGGAGACTCCCCCTGTGTATTGCTTGGTTTAGGGAGCTTGGGAAACAGTGGACTGATCCACATCCTTTATAAAGTAGAAATATATACTGCCTTAAATTGTCTATCATTATTGTGTACAACTCTTTCTTGCTAGTGATTATTTGTATCTTAAAATTAAAATATGTTTCATTCAAAATTCTGTAACACCTCCAGCTTTCAATTCATTTAAATAATCTTTATAATACATAATATAAAACAACAATATTATCAAGATGAATTTCATAAATGATATAATTTTTTAAATTCTAGATACCAACTAGTTGAGAATATCTGCATTGAATTTAATTTTGCAGTTTTAACTTAAGTATCAAGAAAACATTTTCAAGTGGATCCAAACCTCAGAAAGTGTAGATTATATTACATCTGTATACATGGACACCAATGCAAATACATGCTCTATATATTTAACCATCCTTACATAACTTTTGCAAACAGAATTGTCCATCAAAATGTTGAAAGACATACCCCTGTGTTTTTTGGAACCAGTCTCGCTCTATCATATTGGATGTATGTATGACTACACGCATTCCATTGTCATACAACAGGAACATCATCTTCCTACACAGCAAAAATAAAGATAAACCATCACTGAATGGAAACATTGTATCATATCTAGTAGCAATTATTATACAGGTTTGCACCTTTTAGTGAGTTTATAATACAAAAGCTTTATACATATGTACTATAATATCAAATTATACACTGAAGTTGAATTGGACCAGTCAAGGTTTCAAAATCAATGGCTAGAAACATAGAGATTATACAGAACCTCCATAAATTTAAACATGCATGGGGAGCAATACATACGTGTGATGTGTACCATACGGCATATCCAGACGAGCCTTAAAGAGTCAACAAGATATACATCAATATTGAGACAATAAATAATTCATTGATACTTTTCTTAAAACTGCCAGATCCAAAACAATTTCAACATCTTTATTCAACAAGCCAGAATAAAATATTTCTTAATTTTACAAAATGTAAAATTTTATACTTGTGAATTTGTGAATAATTATAATAATCAAATCTTAACTCCTAAATTTGAGTTAAAATTATGCCCCCCCCCCTCCCCCCCCCCTCTCCTTCCCCTGCTTATTGTGGGACAATTTGATAATTTATATATATACTGTATATTTATACATATATAGATGTACCTGACAAAAGCGTATATTAGAGTAGGCAGATCCCTCAGCCTCTAAACTGGCCTTGTTTGGGCCCTTAAATCCATGGACCAGCAGGAGAGGTTTGGATCTGTATACAACACAATATTTTACACATATTATAATTGACAGAAGTTGCAGTAAATATTATGTTGAAATTAATACACACATTTTATTTTCAGAAATTATCTAAATGCATTTTCAATACAAATTGAAATCATTTTCAAATACCAGTATATGACTTCTCAGTGATCATAAACTATAGATATGTATACATGCCCATATTTATATATATATTTAACATTTGGTGTTTATAAACATACACATATGTCAAATTAAACAGGTGAGTTTAATTTTCAAATTTCACCTATACTTACATTGCACTTAGAAATACAATTGCTATACTGTTCAGAGAATATGATTTCTCCCTCATTTGTATTTTCTTTATTTCTGAAAATGGATTTATAGTGTACAAATATATACATACCTAAACTGTTCTGGATACTGTTTCATCAACCAAGGAATCTCAAACATGTAGTTGAACTAAAAACAAAAGTACAAAACACAATATATATATGCTTAGTTTTAACCTCCATTAAGAAACCTAAGCGAGGAATTTCTCTGTCTTCATCTACCATGATTTATGAGAATTTATACCATAACACATGAATATATCTAATAGAAGACATTATTACCTGACATGACGCTACCAAATTTCCCATGTCTGCAGACAGTATATCTGAGAAAAAATATTCAAGAGCTTTTATTGGTACTCAGTGAACATATGGTCATTAGCTTTCAATAGTTGACTTTGGGGGAAAACCTGCAAATGTCATAAACATGCAAGATATTTGTCTGCATGCACTTTTCTAACAGGCACCATGTTAAATTAATCTTTCTGAAATTACTTCCTCAAAGGTCATATATTTTTTTTCACATTGTCTTCTAAGATTGTATGTAGAAAATCTGCTGTACAATGATAATATATATAATAAGTCTGGTGCTGAAACAAATTTTTACATTTTTTTGCCATTTGCTGAATTACTGAAGGAAAATTAGAATACATGATTCCTGGATAATTCACATCAGTGATGCCATAATTGTACAGCACAAAAAATACACAAATATATGTAGAATATCTCATATCCTTTTGTTTCATTTTGTACCTTTCACATCCATGGTGCAAGACCTGTTGTACTTATTATCAATGCCATGAACTTTTGTAAGGAAGAAACTAAGTGGTTGTCCATCATTAAAATTTCTGGATGGTGTCATAGGGCCTCTTGCTACTGGGGATCCTCCAGTCTTCATCTTTTTGGCTGGAGGACGTGAAGTGGAACTTGTTGAAGGTCTCTGCTCATCATTATCATCCACTGAAAGATTTAAAACAATCGTTCACAAGAGTCTAGGACTTTTCATTTTCATATCGACTAAGATCACCATCATAGTCACTTGGCATTCAAGCTGTGTTGGCAATCACCTTTCAATATCCATATTTTCTTGCAGTTTTCAGTAAATTATTCAAGTTTTGCTATCAGTATAGCTTGCCATTTGATTCCAAATCATACCTCTAAATATCATCTTATTTCCCTGAAAACCATTAAAATGTCGCATTAAACTAAATCTATAAAATATAATGATACCTGGATGCTGAAACTCCTCTCTGTGTGATGGGTTTTTTCTATAGCATTTTGAGCCATACTGACAAACAGGGCTTTCCTTTTTGTTTGTAGATGTTTCTTTGTCTATAATTAATGTATGCTTTCTCTTTAGACTTGATGGTGTAGAAGAATCTCTTTTTTCATCTGCTGAGTTCGACCTCTTTTGTAAAGAATTGTCCTTGTGCTGGATACTATTATGCACTAAAGACTGTTGCTGACTAGATTGAGTTTTCACAGTGTTTCTATGATAACTATCTTCTTTATGAGTGTTGGTATCAGATTCTCTGATGAATACTTTATGTGAATTTTTACTACTTTCACCGTCTTTAGAATAGCTAATAGATGGTGTCTTGAGGTCTTTTGACTTTTTTTCAGGTTTTCTTAAATATTCAGTTTCTTCTTCAGAGTCAGATATTTCATGAGTTTTACTACATCGTCGTTTCACTTCCAGTTCCACCCTTTGCCTTTTGTTGTACTTTATTTTTTCACTTGATGATGCTGAATGTTCTAATGATTTCTTGGAAGTATTATTACTATTAAATGACATGTTTTTAGATACGCTCTCCCAATCAGCATTGTTAGGAGAAAGGGTCACATCCGAATCAGAATTAGACACATAATGGGGTGTTTTTGAGGTATTCTTCCCTTCAATGCTACAGCTCAAACGTTCCTGTTCTAGTTCTGGGTCCAACGTAACATCAGAATCACTGTCAGAAACAAAGTTTGAAGATGTTGTCCTGTTGGCAGTGTTCTTAAGATCATTCTGTAGAGTCAAAGCAGATTCTGCATCAAACTGTAATGAAATCAAATGGTAAAACTATATATATATATACATATTTGATTGTGTCTTCCTTCTTTTCAGAAGATATAATATGGCTGGTATATAACACAACTGGTCTCGACACCAGTATACCTGCTTTGTCAGCATATAGCTAATTTCTTCCTTTAACGATGAATCGACGAATATCTATCAATTTCAGTATATTTATGAGACAGATTGCGTTTGAGTGAGACGTCAACAATTTTTATAATAAACAATGACATCTAAATTCATTTACTTGGGCTTGAAGCTGTCTTGCAAAATCTTCGTCACTGAAATTTGCCGCCATATTGTTAAAACTGCTTCCGGTTTAGTTTCGTAATAAAATGTAATTTAAACGAGGTAGGAGGACATTATGGTTATTGAGTATCATTTTTTTCTCGTTATAAATCCTGGATTTCCCTCGAAGACAAATGGTTAATGATACTAAATTTCACTGATTTCGAAAACATTGCTAGTTCTGCTTGTCAATGTCAATGTCAACAAAGATGGAAGACATTCTTTACCAGTAGGAACTTGTTCGATGCATTTTCACCTACAAATCGCATAGCTTCCATTACTGATCGCAGCTGGTGGTACAAGAGAAAATAATTACTACACCAATTTCTGAACTGTAAGGAATATTAGATATATAGATAGCCATTACCAAAATGTGTCTCGGTGACTGCCGAACTTAGCCATGTTGAGACATGTGCCGTTTCGGCGGTCAGGTTTGAAATTTAATAGTTTCTGTGTATTGACAAATTGAAGATTTACTTTCATTATTAACAGGTAGATTGGATTGCAATGTTTCCCCCATATTAAAGTAAATTTAATTAATAAACTATAGTAAGTTTGTATTTTTGAACAACGTGTGTTCTGTAAATAATTATCAGAGCATTAGACATCGTTTCTTGATTTGATTTCAGATGGCAGAAGTACATGTCATAGGACAAATAGTAGGTGCTACAGGATTTCCTGAACATAGCCTTTTCTGTAAATGGGGTATCCACATGGGTAAGATTATATTCCTCTAATATCACCAATCTCCCAGCGGGAGTCGTACACCTGTATATAACATTAGACACAGAAATGGTATATGGGTTATATATGTTAATGTATTATTACTGAACATGATACGCAAAATATGACTAGACAACTAAATTGAAGTTTATACTTAAATTTAGATGGTTTCTTATCCTCATTATGCTTTGTTTATTCAAAAGAAGTAAAGAGTTGTAAAGTGTAAATGACAGAAAAGACAAATTTTTACTGAGAGATGTTTACTGAAAGTGATTTATCTAATAGAAACTTGATGTAACAGTTGCCGCTGAAGAAACCGTGTTATAACATAGGCCATATATAGATAAGTAGGCCGATACTATTTTCAGATAACTTTATTATCCAAAATGATGGAGGTCTGAAACATACAAAAAGTAACATTGTAAATAAAATCAACTATCTGTTGGTAAGACATAAGTAATAGACTAACAAGTAAATACATAATCCTCTATCCCTCCCCGAGTCATTTATAAGTATTTTAAATGACTGATTTAATGTTTTTGTCCTTGTGGGAAATATGGATGGAATAAGTCTATTACTGTTCATTGTCACTGAAAATGTGATATGCCTTAACACTGTTATTACATTGTGAGATCAAATTATGTATCAATTAACAGTAAATGTAACATACAAAGAAAATGAAATTAAAATGATAAGGTACTATTTGTACATTAATTAAAAAGTAGAAAAGTAGAACTGTCATTGGGCAGACTACCCTCCAGTTCGGGGATTATTCTGCCCCATTTAATGCTCATAATCACTAAGCCATTTTGGCTCTTGTCGTTGTCGATTAGGACGTCTTGGGGTAAGGTCAACGGATAGTTGCTCTGGTCTGTTTGTCACGATCCTCCTGGGTGTGACTGGTGTTGCAGGTGAGGTAGTTGGAGGATGTGGTGACGGCGGTAGCCTGGGCGATGCTGGAGAGGGAGACGAATTAACCATTTGTGGGGATCCGTCCAATGCCAAGGGTGTTTGCGGTTTAGATTGGACTGTATGAGACGTCCTATCCTGCACAGGAGGTGGACTGTTACTCAGATCTTGTGAAGCTGGTGCACGCTTACTGATCCCTTGTGGATTGATGTCCAGACTGGGCTTCAAAGGATTTGCCGGGACCACTGGAGTTCCGCTCGTCGGTGGTGTAAAGTTTGGAATGTCCCTTTTGAAGTAATGTTTCAAGTCCTGCTCTATGGATTGCTTTTCAGGGGGAGAATACACAGGTGTATACTTGCGTAGAAACTTTCGATTGCGAAGCGTGATTCTGCCCGACCCGTCGATACGTACGACGTATTGGTCATATTGGTGAACCTCTATAACAGTTCCGGTTTTATCCCATTTTCTCGGATATGGTCCAGTTTGGTTTTGAATCCTGACGAGGTCTCCAACTTTTAGTGGCAGCAGACGCTTCGTATGTTCAGCTAAGCGTTCGGCGGTCTTCATGTGTCTGATACGTAAAGCCTCTTCTCTCAGGGTAAGCGTATCACTCCATGTCTCGTGTGGCTTATAGCGGCCTGGTAAGATTGGGATGAAGTCTCGAATGGCCCGCCCAAAAACACACATTGCTGGCGATAATTTCGTATCCCTGTCTGGAGTGTTACGGTATTGCAGCACTGCACGCTGGAAGGAGTCTGTGTCCAATTCACCATTTGGACCAGTGTTGTTTGTGATCATGCGCTTCACAGTCTTCACGCCAACTTCTGCTCTACAATTGCTATGAGGAAAGGCTACAGAAGAAAGCCTGTGGTGCACACCCCATGTTTTTAGGAAATCTCTGGTTGTTGAAGCTGTAAATTCCGGGCCGCCATCAGAAGACAGTTCATCTGGTATTCCAAATGTGACGAATGTGCGGCGTAAGCAATCAACAAGGCCAGATGCGCCATCTTGTGCCCTTTCAACAATTGGCCAATTTGAGTATCTGTCTACAATCACCAGGTAATTGCCGCCTTTGTAGTGGAAAAAGTCGGCACAAACACACTGAAATGGATATAAGGGGTAGACAGATGGAGTTGGCGGGGCGCTGGGTTGGGATGGGGCATTTCTGTTGCAATGGTTGCATGAGTTTCTAAGCTTGGTGATGTCGTTGCATATGCCGGGCCAAAACACAGATGTTTCTGCTCTTGACATCATGGATGAAATGCCTTGGTGGGCTGAGTGTAGCGCTGTCAGCACGTCTGTTCTCAATGAAGGTGGTATCACTATTCTGTCCTTATATATGATGACTCCATCGATAGTGGAGAGGTTGTTACGGAACTGATGATATTCTCTCAGGGGAACTGGAAGATCGTTTCGTGTTTCTGGGATGCCACTTTCAATCATCTGTACGAGCTGGAACATGTACTCGTCGCTTGTTGTGGCAGTCCTTATTCTATCCCAGGTTATACACTGAAGTGAGGTGACTGATGACAATGCTGTCGAGTAGAAGATAGCTTCGCTACTTTTCAATGGGATTTCCAGTGTGTCATCTGCGATTTTGTGATTATGTGTTTGGATGGTATGTTGCGCCTCATTCTTGTTGCAGATATGAACAGAAGCAATATCATCGATTAAAACCATGCTATCAGATTTCCCAACTGGGTGACGAGAAACGGTATCAGCAGCTCGATGTTTGGCGCCGGGCACGTGTAACATTGTGAATTTGTAACGTAGAGTTTTCTCTTTTAGGTTACGAAGTCTTGAATTAGGAATATCTTCTAGTGATCTGTCACCAAAAAGTTTGATTAAGGGCTTGTGATCCACAGCGATGATTA